ATTGACCTCCTTGGTGCTGAAGTTGCTGAAGACTTCAAAAAGGCAGTTCGAGAGGAAGAGGAGGCCGATGAAGCTCGTAAATCACGCATAGTTGAGCAGCCATCGCCACCAACAAGCCGTCAACACGAATTTGGCATTCACTACTCGACTATGTGTCCAGATGTTACCTTGGAAAATTCAAGTCCCATAACCTACAGGTCACCCAAGAGCGAAGTTACAAATGGAAGCAAGAGCATCTTGATTGTTGACGATACCATGACATTGCCTTTGCCTATGATGACCGGCGCATTGGCCGTGAGCCCATCGGTCGGCTCGTTCGCTGATACATTTTTGCATCCATCACATGGTCCTACGCCACCAACGACACCGCCAGGCGTTCTCTTCGCTGGAACTCCAAGACGATCATCCCATCTTCTAGGACATACCGTGAATCGTAGTTTATCATTAGAGGGCCTTCCTTCGCTGATCGGTGACTCACGGCCATCAAGAGACTATGAGCACCCTCTCGGACCCCGACCAATACCTACACATTCAATGAGACTTCACAGTCAAACTTACCGAGTCAGAAAATCTGCATCACTGCGTCGTTATGCGTCTTTTCAGAGTGGTTTTACTCAACACCACAGGAGCGAGCGTAGCTTTGATGCTACCACATTCACAGAAGAAGCATCGATTGCAGAAAGCTTCTCTCGAAATGCACCTATTCCACGGCCACTGCGAGTACTCAGGAGAAGGCCAGGTGGAGATCTGAGGGCCGTTGGTAATGTTGGAGATCTTAATACTGCTCATGTTCGACCAATGTCAACAGGCTCCATCACGACATATTCCGATTCTGTCCGAAGTTCATATCTTCTTGGGAGTGGGGATGACGGCCAATACGTCGACGTAGTCAACAGTGATTATGATGGAACCCAAGGCCATGTAGAGACATTCTCATTAGGGGCACTAGCTGAGATCACGCCCAAAGCTCGTGTATCCTTCTTCGACACCCATTCATCTCAACCTGTGATGCGTCCGTCTTTCGAAAAAGAAGCTCAGATGCTTGCCCAAATTCCAGATGATGTTGATGACGATGGCGGCGTTGAATCAGCTCTTCTAAAACTCGAAGGGAAATTTGAACATAGGCGTTCCCACACCTCAGGCGGTGAACTATCTGGGAGGTTTGAGAATGAGGGAAACACCAACAGTTTTGGCGGCAGTCCATATGATGACAGTAACGTTACTTTAAATGATGAGGAAGAAGAGAAGCGCAGACATAGACAGCGAAACGTCGTGGACTCGACCATTTTCAACCTAGCCCCATCTACATATCAGGAAGCTTCAACCAAGGCGGAACGTAGAACTTTTGCATACCAGCCAAGAGGAGTGTCAAGAACTTCATCAGTACCAGAGTCAAGTGGTCTCACCGATTCCTTCTTTGAAGGTTCTTTCCTTGATGGTGCTTTTAGCGAGAATGAAAGCTATGAAAGACCTACACGGAATTGGTCAGAACGATCGATCCTTGAAGGCCCTAATGAAGGGGGTCAAGGATCGATGGATAACAGTCCGCACTCTTCTCGTCCTGGTTCTTTTGATTTCATAACCGAAACGGAAAGCTTGCGAAGAATGCGCCCTGGTGCAAAAGAAAATGTTGGTGAAGGTGGCAACCATTCATTCCTCAACATTGACAGTGACCTTTCATCCGAAATGTCTGTTATCTCAAAGTCCGAATACACTGAAGAGGTATCAAATATGCCTGCTCCAAATTCCCTTGCTTTGAGACGGGGAGCAGGAGTCAAGGAGATGCCCCACTCATCTCGATCACTACATCAACCCCCTTCGCCTCCAATGACCTTGGTACAGGCATTGAACATGTCTCCAAACACTGCGAATATCCCTCAGGTCCATGATTACCAGCTACAACAAGGGCATCGTTTACCACCAACGCCAGACATCACCCCTACTAGTGCCCTTGGATTAGGCGGGTTTGGTAGAGACGCCTTGCGACCCAGTGGTACAAGTGAAGCTTCTCGCAAAACGTCTGTTCACCTGCCATTCATTCTTGCATTTGATTCGAGAGTTCTTGCTCAACAATTCACTCTCATTGAGAAAGATGCCTTGAATGAAATTGATTGGAAGGATCTCATTGAAATGCGCTGGAGAGATGCTGCCACAGATACTCGCTCATGGGTTGACTTCCTTCGCTCTTCCGAACCTCGCGGGGTGGAAGTCGTCATCGCACGGTTCAACATAATGGTTAAGTGGGCCGTGTCTGAAATCGTTCTGACAGGCGATCTGGAAGAACGAGTTCGATGCATCATCAAGTATATTCACATTGCCGTTAATTGTCGCAAATATCGAAACTTTGCTACAATGACACAACTCACTGTAGCCTTGACTTCGAAGGATATCTCCCGTCTCACCTCAACGTGGGCCCACGTTCCAGCATCCGATATACAAACACTTAACGAATTGGAAGAACTTGTAACACCCACAAGTAATTTTCATAACTTGAGAGCCGAGATGGAAGGCTCCGGTGCAGACCAAGGCTGCATTCCATTTGTCGGAATCTATACTCACGATCTCATCGTCAACTCAGAGCGTCCAAGTCAATTTGCAAGTACTCCAACAACGGAACCTTTGGTGAACTTTGAGAGATGTCGATGCGATGCCACGATCATCAAGAATCTACTTAGATTGCTTGAGGCTAGCCAGCTGTATAGGTTCCTTCCAATTGAAGGCATTACCGAAAGGTGTTTATGGATGGCAGCATTACGAGATGAAGACATTGCAAAATATGGAAGATCAATCCAGAATTGATCACTCAGATTAATCGTGCCTCTATTGCACTCTCGATAATTTCCATGGAAACAGGCTAGCCGGTTGGTTGCCATCCTTTCTCGATCGACCTAATCTACGAAACTTTCGAATTCATCAAAAGATGGATAAAACAACAACTTCTTTGTAATAACAAATTCAAATTTTGGGACCTTTTGTTTAAAATTTTGTAATGTGTGTTTCAGCACCGTATTCGAACTTCATACCTCTCATCTTGAGACAGCTTTGAAGGATTCTTTTCATGTATTTTCTTCCCTTTTTATTGGTCCCAAGTTTCTAAAAGCCCAGCATAGCCTGCGCGTCACCACGACGGCTTAACATAATATTTCCTTATTGCTATTACAGTCTGGCTTCGGACTCTTTTTCTACGACCATGACTGTCACGATTTGTATTTCATTGGTTCGCTGTATTATTCTTTTTCCTCTCGCCTATCTCCATGGAGTGCTAGGCTTTCAAGCGACTTTGTGGTGTTAGCTCGATAGATGGGTGGATGGAGACGGGGATTTTGCTCCAAATGTTTCAGGGGGGCGCTGCTACAGATTGGCAAGATTGGAATGTAAATGGAAGAGAGGGAAATACTTTATCAAAACCCGAGGGGTAGGGAGCATTATCTCTTGTATCGTAATGGCGGATCGGCTTGACCTCGGGTGGAATGGATGGGATGGATGGATGTAAAAGATAAGCGAGTCGTATACCCCTTTGTGTGTTACTTGTCTGCTTGCGAGACGGTCGGTTGAGTGGTAGTGGTAGAGAAGCCGGAATGGCTAGATGAGATATCAATGAATGAAAAAAGAGAGATTTCGATCTAGCTACGCGATGCTCATGTGAACTTATCAATCATCATCTTACCTCTGAGTGATATCCAATGTATGTATATTAGGTTATTAGACGATGCATCTTTTAAATCCAAAATTAATCATAACTGAATCGAAATCGTACTACACATGCTGAAATTCCCTCTCCCATTTAGCCTTACATAATTGAACATCCCCCATCGCTTAACCCACCATCACCATTAGAACCCGCTTTTCCTCCCCCAGCAGCCAGAACGGCGGTGCGGCTGATATCTTCCCATACTTCTGCTACTAGCTCGCCGGTCATGGATGAACATCTGATGAGATGTGCGTCAGTGGTTTGCTGGGGATGGATGATAAATATTGCGTTTCTGCTTCGCGTTGGGTTTGTAAGAGAGGAAAAGGGAGGAAGGGGAAGAACGGGATATGAAATATGGAGTATGAAGTATGAGAAAGATGAAAAAGAACATGAAGATGAATCAAACGCACTCCATATATCGATCGCATCTCAATTCCTGCGCAATGCGATGGCCTTCTTGCGGATAGATAATCCCATTGGGATCTTTTTCGGATCGGAGATCACGCTTGAGAGCGAGGAGGAGGATGGGAAGTTCGTATTGGAAGGCGGTTTGGAGTTCTTTGGCCCACTGTGTGGAGGGTTAGTTTGGCTTCTTTTGTTTGTGTGTTGGGTGATGTATTTGTGTATTTCTATCCTTTACATGATTTTTACTCGTTCGCTTGTCACGGGAAATGGGCATTAGGCATGAAGGGAATTGGATATACATACAAATCTCTGTAGATTGACCAAACTCAGCCGATTCGAAACGGCATAGCAGAGTACAACAACATTAGGTCTTAATGTTTTCCAATCGGTAGGCGAAGATGTGTCGTAGAAATTTAAGCGGTAAGGGATGTTGGAGAAGCGGATACCAAAGGTAAATGGTTGGTGGGAATCAAGGAGGAGGTGGGCTTGTTTTGAGGTGGCGGAGGGGGAAAGATTGGATGGGGGTTGGCTGGAAGGGAGGATAAGTTTGGGTTTTTGGGGTGGATGAGGGAGGGGGGAAAACTCACGATAAGAAGGTTGATTTGCCGACTTCGGAATCGCCCAGGAGTAGAACGGTTGTTTCTATAGGAGGGGGTCCTAGTTGGGTATCATCCATGGTTGATTCTATGAATGCCTAGTCTCATGTTTACTCAAACAATGAATGTGACTTGGAGTAGTCGTTGTGGAGTAGGGTTGATAGGAGTGCAGAGGGGTAAGGTTACGATAAGCGATAAGGAATTCACCCCTGTTGCATCTAAGAGCTTATTGGCTCGAAGATTCATGAGTCAATAAAAAATCGGACAAACAATATCATTGAAGAAATTCTCATGATTTGATTTCATGAATGTTCGTCCGGAAACCCTGGAGAAGAGAAGGGCTTTTGATACCACAGAAGTATTTACGAGCTTTCTTTACAAAAGATAATTGGATTCCCGACGCAGAGAGAAGTGCAAGAGAGAGAAGATCGAAGAAGATGGGGGGAACGACGGATTATAGCGATTGGTCGCATGAGAATTTGATCAAGAGGGTTACTCAATTAGAGAAGGAGCTTAAAAGCAATACGAAAAGGTACTGATTAGTCTTCTCCGGATCCTCAGAAATCATTATTGATCAAACCCCAGCGTAACCCCTCTCCCCAAACGAAATCTCCAGAAACCCCGCCGTGAACGCGATTTCGACCCCTCCAAATACAACACTCGACTCATAGCTCTCAAACTTGCATATTTGGGAAAACGATACAATGGATTCGAACATCATGCACACCCAACACCTTTGACTACCATTGAAGAAGAATTGTGGCAGGCGTTGAATAAGGCTCGTCTTATATTTCCTCAAGGGGTCAATCCTCTGGCGCCGGGAGAAGTCAATTGGGAGGGATGCGAATATTCGAAATGTGGGAGGACGGATAAGGGTGTTAGTGCTTTTGGACAGGTCATCGGGATTAGAGTTAGGAGTAACCGACCACTGCCTAAATCGAAAGCGAAATCCACACAAGAAGAATCTGTAGAGGGAGAAGCTGGTGAAGAGGAAGATATGTATAATACGTATCCGAGAGAAAACGGCATCGAAGTCACGTCCGCGCCGCTATCCCCATCTGCAGGCGTCCCAGGACCACAGGGTTCCGATAGTGGAACGTTCAATTTGTCGGATCCGGAGATTCAGGAAAGTCTTGATTTTGATCATATCACTGATGAGATACCTTATCCACAAGTTCTCAATCGTCTTCTACCACCCGATATTCGTATATTAGCGTGGTGCCCATCACCACCTGTGGATTTCTCTGCTCGTTTCTCCTGTCGCGAACGCCGTTATCGATATTTCTTTACTCAGCCTGCGTTTTCTCCTATTCCTTCTCAGTTGGAACATGGTACATCGGCTAGTAAGATGAAAGACGGATGGTTAGACATCGATGCTATGAGGGAAGCGGCGAGGTTGTATGAGGGGTTGCATGATTTTAGGAACTTTTGCAAGGTGGATCCGGGAAAACAAATCACCAATTTTGAAAGGAGGATCTTTTATGCGAATATCGAGGAGGTGGATGACTACACAAGCTCGCTGGCTTATGTTAATGGAAGTTCATTCCTTGATGAATCAGTTCGTTCCAAAAAGGATGGTGAAAGTAAGGCTCCTAAAGTCTATACTTTCGACCTTCATGGTTCGGCATTCCTTTGGCATCAAGTACGTCACATGGTTGCGATTTTGTTTCTGGTAGGGCAAGGTCTAGAGAAACCTTCTGTGGTATCGGAATTATTGGACGTGGACAAGAATCCAGGAAGACCTACTTATGAAATGGCAACCGATACTCCTCTTGTTCTCTGGGACTGTATCTTTCCCCACGAAGATGACGAGTCTCGAACCGACGCTTTGGATTGGCATTACATAGGCGACTCGCCCGGATTCTCCGAGGGTAAATTTGGACAAGCGGGTTTGATGGATGATTTATGGAAAGTCTGGAGAGAACGTAAAATCGACTCGATTCTCGCGGGTGAATTGATGGGGATTGTGAGTCGTCAAGGAGTGGATGCGAGTGAGCTAAGTGGAGGTAAAGGAGGGAAAGGAAGGAGTCAGAAGGTTTTCGATGGGAGTGACAGTCCGAGGTTTGCGGGGAAGTATACAAAGGTTATGGATAAGACGAGGATGGAGACAGTGGAGGTGGTTAATGAGAGGTATGTGGTTAGAAAGGGGTTGGTGGCTAAGGATCAAAAGAAGGGGTTTAAGAGGATGGAGAAGGAGGGAGAAGGGAAGAAGGATGGAGAATAGTGTTATAAATTAGACAGAAAGAGGAAGGAAATTACACATATCAATTTAAATATAAAAATCTCAACACAACTAAATTCGCAATTAGAAATCTATCTGAAATTTGCAATTTGTTGTAGCAGAACTTCGGAGAACTGTAAGATGGCCATCATTATTCTAGTTAGCAAGAGATAACAGCAGCAAAAAGGTACAAGTTTGCAATTATTGAAAGTAGCAAAGTTGCTTCGTGGATAGCTTACCAACAAATGTATGGTAAGTCGATGATTCACAAGCGGGTGGTGGTGAAGACATCCATATTGTTTCGCCGCAATAGCTCGGCATTTATAGAGTCCGCTTGTCATCAGACAAAATTAGTAAATTTCTAATTAGATGGAATACTGTCACACAAAAATGGCCTCTAGATAAGTGGGATTCTTCATATATGATTAAAAATTCTCAGTGCGTGAAAGGTCCGACAATGAAGCTCGCATACGGCAACACGAGCCGCAAGGTTTCTATGTGAAAACTTCAAATGGATCGATTTACTGCCTATAGCTATCATCCAGGTATTCTTCTCCAGCCTGCGAAGTTATCAGAGGAATTCGATCAGAGTAAGTAACATAGAGACCTACACTATCCATACTTTTAGGATCGGCAGTGTCACAAATCATTCTGTTAGTTTCCAGTTGCATCCACCACTATCGGTGATAGCTACATGCTATGTCGAGATAACTTGTTACAGACGCATATAAATGAAGGGGTGAGGTTTGAAAACTCTTGAATTTGATTCAATTCGTTAGAAATTGGATAGGCCTAAAGAATGAACAATAAGACTCAAGTTCTTTTCGCCCAAAAGATGACCACAAAGATTTAGCAATCGACCCAATGATAGATCAGACATTGCAGGAAAGGCTACTCTGAACAGCTAATCCCTCTCGAGCAAAAAAATCCATGATTTCCCCCCATAATTTCTTTCCCAATTCGTCTCCTTGCTCACTGCGAACAAGCTCTGACTCGAGCTTTACCTGCATTTCACTCAAGTATCGTCCATGTGTTTTCCGAGGTCCTGATACCGCCGCATCGACTAAGCATCTAGCACCATCTAAAGCCGACCTGCCAACCAAGATCAATATCGCGCACGGATGAGACGTTCTGATCTGGAGAGAAGAATCTCACGAGCGGCTTCTAATCCGAGATCGGCATTTGCGCCTGTAACCAAAACGGCACTCTTTGAAAGATTGACGAGTTTGAGTTTAGGAATATTAGTAAACTAGGCTCTAAGAAAATCCATAATGGCAATAGAGAATGATGGTTTGATGATTTGTTGGCTGGCACCGATTTTAGGAGATGGGGATTTTAGGCTGGAACACGTTGATCATGAAGTGGGTTAGGGGCACAGCTGCATGTTGTAATATCTGATCACCAACCGAACATCCTGTGCCCCTCAATATAAACAACTCTATTCACTTTGATCATATCATGTAATCCCAAAAAGCGTTCAATCGAAAACATCTTGGTCCATCATGACTAAGGTTCGGTGCCCATTCAGACTTGACAGGTTGAATGAGTGACGGTGAGAGGTCAGCCTATCATAAAGGTCTTTCCGACCATGAGTTATGTCAGTATTGTGCTTACATTGGTGCCATAATAGTGATTTGCTTAATGTAGATAATCATTCGCAGATGTTACGAGCTCAGAGGTGTGGTGCTGTAAAACTCACTTGAATTTAAGGTTGGTTCTGGTTAATTAGAAGGCTTGAACCTCACGAACATGTTTTGTTCCCCTATGCACAACAGAAATATGGACAGAGGTTGAATTAAATATCATATATCACCCTTTGTTTCAAAGGGAGTTGTCACAATTGTTTCTATTTCATTTCACACTTCAACTCCAGGCGACTTTAGACTTCCTGGTATGAAATTTCGATTGCACTTGCAATTTCACTACCAGACTCCGGAAATTCTCGTTTGAACATCATGAGAAAACTTGTCTAAAAGGGATGGGCTCAGTGAATGCTTAATCAAAATACCATCTGATATACTCTGCGGCTCATCTTATCATCTATCATAATCCTATTTATCATATCCTTATCCAATGCAAACCGATTTTCCTCCTCTATTTCTCGCCCCGCATATCCACTATAGTTCTATCTCAGTCCATCTAATCCCTCCCGCTAGCAATCAACTGTTCCATAATATCCGCAAACCTGGCTGGTACACTACCTCTCTCCTGCTTCGCCTCTCCAACCGCCAAAAGCACCTTCTTAATACCCACACCTACACTATCACTTTCCGTGTATTGTTTTAGTTGATTCAAGGACTCTTGCAAATCGCCTTCATTGTCGAACGCTTTAACTTCCCGCAAGATAGTTGCTAGTTCGCTGAAAGTATTGACGTTAGGGACTGCGAGTTCACGGTTGAAAATGGGTTGGAGATCAAGTTGTTTGAGGACACTGCGTTGAGATGTGGTACCTATAATCAAGAGACGACGTTGCTAGAAAGTTGTCAGTATTATGGTATGGATAGAAAGGTAGAGGACTTACATTTGGTGGTTGCTTGGTGAGCAGAACCATAAGGGCTTGTAGTACTGCGTTTGAAAATCGGGGACCAATAGGAACCCATTCGATAATACGCTCAATATTATCTATGACAACAATATTTTGAGGAGATTTGTATGCATCCATAAAGACTTTGTTGAGATATTGAATTTTTTGTGCATCACCAAATCCCACCATATTCTCGGCGGAAACAAGCTTGATGAAGGGAAATTCTGAACTCTTGGCAATGGCTGCTGCGAGGGCAGTCTTTCCAGAACCAGGGGGTCCATGAAGAAGCACTGAGAGGAGAGATGTTGTTTGTGACTGTCTTACGAGATCTATGAATAGACGACCATCTTTGAGAATGGTATCAATGTGCCTACTGAAAGGCAAGATACCTGCTGCCATGGCGCCTTCAAGTTCTTCTTCAGACACACCGAACGCGGCTTTGACTTCTTCAAGAGCATGCATGAAATCGCTTCTGTTGACCTTCATATTTTCGATATCATCGCTAACACCTGCTACGGTGCCAACTTTGACGTGTCGATTGAAAGCAAATGATGAAGCTGACTTGACTAGACCACCAATTTCAGCTCCCGAGAAATTCTTGGTGAGATGAGCGAGTTCAGCAACATCGACATCTGTATCCATGACATCATTCTTTAACATCTTGGAAGTGTGAATCTTCAGAATTTGTGCTCTGCCGGCTTCATCTGGGAGTGAAATTTCCATGTGAACTTCTAGACGTCCAGGTCTAAGAAGAGCGTCATCAATCATATCCATACGATTGGTCATTCCAATAAGGAGAATGTTATTGAGCTGGTCAACACCATCGAGCTTAGACAACAGTTGATTGACTACACTGTCGCCAACACCAGTTCCGCCGCCTGCTCCACTTCCTCTTTGTTTGCAAACAGCATCCAATTCGTCGAAAATGATAATATGAAGGCCACTCTCGTCTCCCTTTTCCTTGTACTCCTTTTCGGCATCGGCAAAAAGCTTTCGGATATTTTCTTCGGATTGACCAACGTATTTATTAAGTACTTCGGGACCGTTTATAACCTTTGGCTCTCTTGAATTCAACATCTTTCCAATTTGACGAGCAATGAGTGTCTTTCCAGTACCCGGAGGACCAAAGAGAAGAATACCTTTCACGTGCTGGATGCCCAATTTCTCGATTAAACCAGGGGGGAAAATACGAGAAGCGAAAGCTCTTCGGAAAATAGCACTGAACTCTGTATCTAGACCACCAATACCCATATTTTCGAATTTGAAATCCGGTGCAATGATGGAATTGGCGGCCGGCCGCTTACTCGATCCCTTCAACTTAATGGGCGATTTCGAATCCTTATAGAATGTGATAGGCGTCGTTCTAACTAGAATACCCCGAGCTTGTGGAGCGCTGACAGTGGGAGACGGTTCGGCATTTTTCTCCATACTCAGATCGGACAATTGAACAGTTTTAACAAGAAATGACAAAGGGACATTCTTGTGATCCATTAGCAGCCTTTGACCAGGAGCAAAGACTTGGTTCTCGAACCACTTGATGAATACACTAGCCAATTCATCTTGGTCGTAAGGTACGTCTGTAAATTTCTTCGCTGACGCAAATCCGACCTCGACGTCCAGAGCACCAAGGTAAGCTTGTGGGCCTTGGTAAAAAGGATCGTATGTTTCAGCGTTTATTCTATCCAGCATTCCGACATTGCACCACGTTCTTTGTGGATCCGATAAACTTATGCATCCTGGAGGGAAGCCATCCAATGGCCTTGCAGTCACAACAAACATGCCATTCAATATGAGATATATATCTGATCCGTCCTGGTTGGGTGGAAAGTCCATAGGAGATACAGCGGATCTTGTAATAATGTTAGCACAAGCAGTGCATTGCATTTTAACTACAGATACTCACAAATTGCCAAAAATGTATTGATTCGCCTTTGTTTTATCTTCGACTTTGGCGATACTAAGCTGCGCTCTTCGGGGAGACATTGGGCCTCTGCCACCAACAGGTTGTCTCATGGGCATAGCTTGTCTTGGAGAGGTCATAGGAGACTTTTCTTGACGTCCTGCATAACCATTTCCATCATAACCACCCATGGCAGTGTCTTCCCGGGGAGGTGCTGGTGCTCTGCCATAACCTGCAGGCGGTTGGTCTCTTGATGATCTTGGCCCCGAGCCAAATAGGTTATTACGGAGATTCATAATTTCGTTGGCAAATTCGTGTGTAAGGAAGGATGATTGTTTATTGAGACTCGATAATACGAGAGGCTTTGTAAGATTCAAAGAAAGCGTGGAGATGAAACTCGTTTTAAGTTCTTATGTACACGAGGCAAAACAGTGTCGGTAGTCGTAGTCGTAGCCTGCTGCGGAGTGGTTGATCTTCAGGGGATTTCGCGAGGCACCAGCCTTATGATATCGAAAATCAAACTGTCCTTTCAACAATGACTCAAAGTTCAAAGAGAACAGATATAATTTTGTAAGTGAATAAAGTATCACTAAGATCCTCTATCTCCTTGAAATTCTGAGTAAACTATGAAAATATGAAGTTTCCAAAGTGGACAGTGCCATTCATGTTGCGACTGCTGTCTCTTGCAGGTTTGACATCAGCAAGCGGCGACCGAGCACAGCTAATGATTGGATTGGCCTTGTCTTCTCCAACCCCAGAATCCTTATCGCAACCTCTCAGCCTTGATCTAGATTTCTTTGTCCAAAGCGGGGATCAACAACTTCGTTTACCAATCATGCCTCTGTAAGTTTCGCTATTTTAATTATTTAAGATCAGATAACTGACTTTTACTAGTCATTTGTTGGGCAAAAAGTCGTGGAATGTCTACAACAAAGATAATATCGAGAAAGTCCGGCGTGATGAAGCTATTGCAAAGGCCAAGGAGGAGGCGGAGGAGCAACAGATGCAAGAGTTAGATGCGGAACGTCGCATGCAAATACTACGAGGAGAAATACCTACACCTCTGTCAATAGAAGACAAACCAGAAGAGCAAAATGACCCGCATGAGAGACGCTCGCATGGCTCCGGCGAAGAACGCAAGCGGAGACCTAGGAAACGAAATGGGGAAAACGAAACTGACTTCGAGATGCGCGTTGCAGCTCAAGATTCACAGTCTACAAAGAATGAACGTCAAATTGTTTTACGAAAACCTACAGATGCGCCATTAGTTGATCACGCGGGACATATTGATTTATTTCCCCAAGAACGTCCACAGAAACTCCGAGTAGAGAAGAATGCAGAGGTGGAGCACGAAAAGGAGAAGAAGAAGAAAGAATACGAAGATCAATATACAATGCGATTTTCGAATGCGGCAGGTTTCAAACAAGCTCTCGATAATCCATGGTATTCGAAAGCAACGGCAGAGGTGAAATCTATTGATGAAGATAACCCGGGCAAGGACGCATGGGGTAATGAAGATCCAAGACGAAAAGAAAGAGATGCAGCGAGGATTATTTCAAACGATCCATTGGCTGCCATGAGACAGGGTGCTGCTCAAGTACGACAGGTAAAGAAGGAAAGAGAACAGTGGATGAAAGAGAAAGAGAGAGAAGTCAAGGAACTGGAGGCAGAGGAGCGAAGAAACAAAAGAAAACGAAGACATACTGATGATATAGACGACGACGACCTGGAAGGGTTTAGTTTGGACGGACCTGAAAAGAGGTCACGAAGCTCCCATCATAGAACTGATCCGGAGCACGAGAAGGAACGAGAACGTAGGCATCGACATCGCCGGAGGTCAGAAAGGGATGAAAGTGATCGACATCGACACAGACATCGTCATCATCATCATCGTCATCATCATCATCATAGAGATGAGTAGATCTATTACTTTAACATTACAATTTATAGCTTTAATTTGAGATACCCTTAATACTCAATCTTAACCTCAAACATGTCCCCCTTGACAAGTTCTCCCAAATCACCAGCTTCCATCTCCTCCAGTGCCTTCTTAACCTCCTTGTACGTTCCCTCTGAGAGACCTTCCTTCCGACTACTGTAAATATCCAGCCCCTGCGGTGTAAATAAACTCGGCGCAAACCAAGTAACAACCCACCTCTCTTTCTCGCCCTTCTGTGGCCCCTCCGTGATCTCTCTCTCCCCCCAACCCAAAACCTCCCAATGACTACTCGCAATCTTCAACCAACCCTTTCCTCTCCAATTCCAAGCCCCATCTCCATCTGGTGTATCGATGCCTTGTATACTTTTCGGCTGCGGCATCCATGTTTTAGAGGTGGGTGTAGAGGTCACTTCGTCGTCAAGAAGAGGCGCTGCATGAGGAGAGGTAGGTGGTATGATTTTATAGGTTATGCGAACGTTTTTCGCCTTCTTCCACATGGGAAGTGTGGAATGCGTGACAGACCAGGTGTGTTGAAGCCATTCAAGAGGTGGAGTGGTGAAGGTGGGTGAGGGGTGGTTGTATTTGAGGGGAGAGCGGATGATTATTTTGGATGTGTCAGTCATGTCTGCGACAAATTAGACTATAAAGGAGAAATTTCTGCAATGTGTGAAAGTGACATGTACTCTCAATTTCGGACTCTTCGTACGAAATGAGGTTCTCGTTTTGTAAGGCGCGATGTAGCTAAGCCGTGACGATCAATTGAAACAAAGCGCCACAGAAGTATTGTAATTTTGGCACAATCTCGCTCATCGTACACTCCCTACCGGTATACTGTGCCTAATCTCTAGATCTCAGTATATTTACTGTACACAGAAACAGCAGATAGTCTATAATCCATATTGAGATGCAGTGAATTTCTTCATCAAACCAAAGTGAATGTAAGAAAGTAATCGAGAACCCTGGGAGCTTATCAAGTGAATCAGAGCTTGGCGAAGCTCCTGTGGATCCAATCGCAACCACCCTCTGCAAGGCTATGTGCCTAGCCTCACCAAAGTAAACAAAAACCCATCAAAACGCCCCTCGCCGTCGCACCTCAAAAATTCTGTCAAAACCCCCGGGGTATTTTTTTCGAGATCGCGCAATCTTCACCTTTTCAAATCCGCAATAAAATTTATACATTTCCCAAAAAGCCCCGGGTTTGACTTTCCCCTCAGACGTGCAACAAAACTTTCGAGAAGTTAAAGGTTACGAGGCTGACCTACCAACTCAACATCCGCAACTTCATTTCCAGCAACAACAATAACGACTGCGTTATAAATCATGGATGATATCGAACTCGAAGATGATTCTGCCGCTATGGCAGCCATGATGGGCTTCTCTGGTTTCGGAAATCAAGACTCTCGTTCTAAGAAACGTAAATTCAATGCTGCGACAGATGCATTTGTCGAAGGCGCAGAGTTAGAAAAGATTGATCGGGGAGGGAAGAAGGGACAGGGAAGTGGTGGGAATCAAATTCCGTTGGGAAAGATGAGAGTTATGGGAGAGAAAGTCGAGGAGAAGAGGAATGATGAAGAGATTGATTTGGGGGATGATGAAGATGCAGAGGATGAGGGACCAAGATATTTGGATACTAGTGCGCCGCCTCCGATATTTGATGGGATCGAGGGAGGGGAAATTGCCTTAGGTCAGGATGGTATATCAGATGATCCGGTGGCAGTGGAGGAAAAGCGCAAAGCACAGGAGCAGATTGATGCAATTCTAGCTGCTGCACCTGAATCTGCCGAGAAGAATGCGTCGCAACCAGTTTCGGGACACCCACATGGGCTTCCGGAAAGACCAGTGCATAGTGATATTGGATTTACAGGAAACAGTGGGAATAGGAGGGGAGGAAAGGGTGGAGGGAGTGATGCAGGAAGCATGGCAAGTTCAAGGCCGAGTGGACGGGGTGCATTTAACAAGACATGGTATGAGGGATACTACGATCGAAGTTTCAACGAGAATCCATGGGCAAAATTGGAGGAAAGGATGGGACTGGAGGCTAAGGGTACTTGGGTATGAATGTAGAAGGGACATGGAGATACTTATAGAGGACATATACAGACCGTTCTTGCAAGATCACTTCTGATTTTGGGGAGACAATGCCTGGGAGACTGAAAGGCAGTACAAATTGCGGCGCAAATCTCGTTGTAGCATGAGAATAGGCATCTGATGCCCAAGGGGAGAAGTGGGGAGAGAAGCAAACATAAATAGATATGTGAAATAGTATTGGACTTCGGCTGCCTTGCTTCACGTACAACAAATAAGATTGCATTTTGTACAACGGGGTAACATTCAAGAACATCTCCTGAAATTTGATAGCAATATTCGATTAATTCCTAGACATCGGAAGGGTATATCTTAGTAGAGATCTAGAATACAATGAGTTTACAGCTAATCAGCGAAACCCTCAAACTCAACATCAGCATCATCCTCGATCTTTCTCTTTTTCACCTGCTCAATCAAATCCTGTAATTCTTTCTCCTTTGCTTGCTCTTCTTTCTTTTCTTCGTCTGTCATCTTTTCCAGTCTTTCGATCTCTCTCTTTCTCTTCTTCTTTTCTCGCTTCAACTCTTTGAGATCTTGTTTCTCGTGTTTCTGACTCCAAGCTTCCCTTTGCTTCCTCTTTGCGATTTGCTCTTCAGTTGGTACATATGGCCCGGCATTCTTCGCTTCCTCCATCGCCACTCTTCTTGCTTTCTCTCTGATCTTATCTTTATATGCATACTCAGACATATCTAATTTGATGCCCAAGGTTTTGTCACCTTCCCACTTCTTTAGTTCAGGCATTTTTGGTAACCTTACAAGTGCCCAAGCATTGCCCAGGTCAGTCCAGTCAAGATCTGCGACTCTGAATATACTACTTGCTTGATGTTTTGAATACGCCTGAACCCAACTGACAAACGCACGTTGTCCTTTATCATAGAGAGCACGATCTGCGAGAACTTCTTTGCGCATCTTTGAAATGAGAATTTTAGCAGCCTCATCAGTCGTGCTGATTTCAGGCCGTTTGAGGGGTGTAATTGGAGTTTTACGAATCTCAAGAAATGGGATATAATCTTCCTCGCGTCCTGGTTGTAGAAAAATGACACTCAATCCTTTCCGCCCAGCTCGGCCCGCTCTTCCGCATCTGTGAAGAAACACTTTCGGGTCTGACGGTGGATCGATTTGTACTACCAAGTCGACCTGAGGTATGTCAAGACCTCTTGCGGCAACATCTGTAGTGAGAAGTATCGTCGGGGTGACTGCTGCAACATATTTGGAGAAATTTCTTTGCCTTACGTTGGGTGGGTGCTTGCCATGTAAGGAGACTAGACCAAATTGTTTAGGCAATACTGCCTCAAGTAAAGGTTGGAAGTAATCGACGGCGGCGCAAGTCGAAAGATAGATGATAGATTTCTGAGGAGTTGGTTCAAGCTGTGATAGTAAAGATAGCAACGCAGGAAACTTGTGGGTTGGTGGAGTCAGTAAGTAAGACATTTGAAGACTCGCAGGGGTCATTTTATCACCCCCTCCAGCCCCTTTAACCTTCACAGCGATTTTCACTGGATTCCTCAGACCGACCCTGACTATTTCCCCTACTGCTTCACTGACACTGGCACTGAAAAGACCTGTCCTCCTCTGCTTCGGCAGACGACCGAGAATCTTCTGTAAATCATCCTTGAAACCCAGATCCAATAACCTATCTGCCTCGTCCATCACCAAAACCTCAAAGGAAGATTGTGGGCAATGAACATGCGGAGATGAAAGTAGTTCTAGTAATCTACCAGGTGTTGAGATGAGAAGATTGGGACTATTCCTAAGAAATCTGCTGAGGTCTTGCGCCGGAGTAGTTGTACCCCCAAGTAAAAGTTGTGGGATTACTCTTAAGGTAGACGAAGGCTTCCGTTTCTCGCCTTCCTCCAATGGTTGCAGTGCTTCCGCAGATGGCTCGTGAAATTTGAGTAGGGATGTGAGGACCGAATGAATTTGGGTCGCGAGCTCTCGAGTTGGGGAGACAATTATAGCTCCCACATGGTGTTTCTTAAGAGGTTCCTCCAATCGCAATAGCTTTTCCACAACGGGTATTAAAAAGGACAAAGTTTTCCCACTACCTGTGACAGCCTTGAAGTTATTAGTACGAGGTCTGCATGATGATATACTAGACCTACCTCAACAACGACATCTTTGTTCCCCATAAACAAGGGAATGGTAGATGCTTGTACTGGTGTCATTTTTTCAAACCCCATTGACGAGATGGCATCTAACACCCATTCCGCCAATGAAGGCGTGAGCGCATCCCAAGCTCTTGGATCTTTCCTTTTCTCACTCTCAATTGCCATGGTTATGTTGTAATGGTTTGAAGCTTGTTGGTTTTTTCTACGTTTTTAGTTTTCCGTCGATGGAATTTTCTTATCTTATCGGGATCAACATTTTTTTCCGGGTCCGACTACCTAGTTAACGAGCGGGACCCTTGTCGGGAATGCACCTCTCCCTCCATTCAAGGTTCAAACACTTTCTGTTCTACGTCAGAAGGATGAATGCAAGAAATAATACTTTACAATTTATCCATTGGTAAAGTAAACACACTTTGACATTGACGGGAAAATAGAGACAACGAGAGGATTATTGAAGAAGGTAAGAACATTCCATTCTACATAAGTAGATTCGTTTTCTTCTCCCGTTATGCAGCATCAATTTCACATGTAAAAGTGTTCGTGGTCGCGTGCTTAGTCATGCTTTTCAGGAATACAGAGTATTAATCTTCTACACAGTTCTTCTGTGCCGCGTCCGGGTCGTCTTATCAGTCCGTGTCTCATTTGATTCAATCTCCGTTGACACTTTAAAAAAGAAACCGCCATATAACTCATGTGCCACGTCTTCACGGGGCGCAAAAAGTCATCATATCTTTCTTCAACAATGCAGCTCAGTCTGCACTTCTCGTGCCTTCTCACACAATAAATTCATTTGATACTATTCCCACAACGACATAAAACGCTCTTCACGGAAGGACAAACATCTAATCTCTACCATCTCGTTATTGCGAACATTTGCCTTTAGTCGACGGACACTCGCTGGTGTCATTCCAGTGCCTTGTTTGCCAGAATTTGCAATGTCGAGATCATATTCAGATATTCCGGCTACTCCGCGTGTCATATCTCCTTCTCCAACCCCGTCAGAACTATCTCAAAATGGAGAGTATTTTGGACCTATGACCAGATCTGCGAGGAAGAAGCTGTCAGCGCAGACGCTCCCAATAGATGAAGGGATAGATGAGGGTGAAACAGACCCCGAGGACTCAGCTATTGAGTTGGACAGGTCTAGGACAAGGAGCCGAAGTCCTCTAAAACCTCGAAAAGTAGCAACTTCCACAGCCAAGAATACGAAAAAGTCTTCCAAGCCTACAGATAATGTCCGTCCTGAAGAAACAAATGGTACAAATGGAAAAGCGTCAAATGGGCATCTATCCCCCACCAGCGCAAGATCTGGCTGGAGCTGGAGAGACTTCAGCAGAAGCCCTAGTCCTTTGGGACTTATACCTATCCACAGACAATGGAGGTCGTTTGTACATCGCCACGAAATACCAAGAAAGGTGTTGCATGTTTCCATAGGATTCTTCACGATTTGGCTTTACATATCTGGTGTCCAAACAAATGCTATTACACCTTACCTAATGGGTGCCCTGATACCCATAGCAACTGTGGATTATGTCCGACATAATTACCCGGCTTTCAACGGTTTATATGTGCGGTTACTTGGAGCGTTTATGCGGGAAACCGAGTACGATGGATGGAATGGTGTCATCTGGTATTTACTTGGCGCGTGGATCGTTCTTGGATTCTTTCCGAAAGATGTTGGTGTAATGGGAATACTTCTTTTGAGCTGGTGTGATACAGCGGCGAGTACTTTTGGACGGGCCTACGGAAGATATACTCCTCGGTTGAGACGCGGTAAATCCCTTGCTGGATCTCTCGCCGCATTCGCCGTTGGCGTGGTCACCGCAGCCGTATTTTGGGGTTGGTTGGCACCAAGAACCGGCCCCTTTCCCGATGATCTGGACTGGCCCTTTATGTTCTCGGGAGACCTGATCCTTCCTGCGGGAATCCGGGATCTTGTTGGTTTGAATGAGGCTCAAAGCGTCATTTCTGGGGGTTTGGCTTTAGGTATAATGAGTGTTTGGACGGGTTTCACGGCGGCAGCTAGTGAGGTGGTAGACATATTTGGGTGGGATGACAACTTGACCATCCCGGTACTCAGTGGGATTGGGATGTGGGGATTTTTAAAGATATTTGGGTAGGAGGATAAAGGACAATATAATCATAGGTATAGGAGGCGTTCCGGGTAGCTCAACATAGCGAGCGTTCTAGAGATGAGATGGGGCGATAACGCAGGCATCTTCTAATGTGCATATATGGGTTCACTTCACACCGAGTTTATGTCATGTAAGGAGGGAGTACAAAATAGATGTATTAGTAGGACAATCCGAAAATTCTAAACACCAAGCATAAGCATGCAGCGAAAGATGGGTGGCTAATTTGATGAAAATTCCGAAATTGAAGCATGTGAGGGCAATCTACGTATACCACCTCAAAGAATTGGTCGATATCATTCGCTGACAGGATAAATGAATACAGCCCTGCCAGTTCAACCGTTCTCACGTTCGTACATTGCTGCCGCACCGTTTGATTGTAGCTCAACACTAAAATGCACATGGAACATGATATATCTGCAGGCTAGGACCCAGCTTCGGAACAACAAAATGTAATCTATTTGGTAACACATAAAACCACTTTGATGGCCTCATGAATAATATACCACTATCAATCCAGTGGTCCTCGGATTAGTTGCAAACATACAGCTTGCCAGGTTGTACTAATGGAAGTGGTTTCTTAGTAACAGAAATCAATGTCTTTGATACTTTTTGCCGTCATGACGTGCAAGAGTGTTGTTCACAATGCCAGGAAAGGAATCGAGATCTCTGGGACCAAAAGCAATCCTGTGATCATTTGTCCTGCATGTATCGGTGGTTTCTCAAGAACCGAAAAGTAGGTGAAAGATATCACAATGATTGGTTTCCTTAGATGTCTAATCCCTTCAGGAATCTTCAATATCGGTGTCATTTCTATTCGCCTGCTTGCTCATTCCCGTCCCAATCCGACAAGGGGGGCGTGCTGGGAGGGCATTAAACGGTAGAATCTTCGAATTGACAACGCATACAGATGGGAACAAACGAAAGTAAGTCATACTCTCTGTAAGGAGGAGATTTTCGAAAAGCTAATTGTCCAATTATCCAATTGTACAATTCTCTTGCTAGAAAATTTCAAGATTTCCTAATTGGAAACAACATACTCAGGTAGCTATGAGACTATCAAATGAGTTGTACCACCTGTACCTACCTAGATACTGAGCAATACTGACTACTCAAAGATGTCACTTAACAATTGTATCATGTTAGGATCTTCTCTCCGGCCCTAAAGCCTAATATTCCTGCAATGAAGCCCAAATGAAAATCCATTGACCATTGAACGTTCAGAAATCTTTCCGCCATGATTATCTTACTTTGCCTTACCAATACCTTGATACCTTACTTACTAACAATGCTCATGTGGAAAACCCTAGGCAAATCCTACATGGTATATTCATCCAATGCTGCTTTTATGTCGGGAACCTCAATTCACTTGATTAATCCTTTTATTCTAGCGTGAGCGCGCTTGCTCGTTTGTTCGTCGGTTTTCATGCCTTACTAAATCCTTTTACGGCATAGTTCGTTTCCTTGAAAATTATAGAGAATGAATTTGTCCACCATCACCACCACTACTACCACCAACCCTTCCATTCCTTCCTCTTTCCCACCCTTTCCCACCAATCCAATCCCCTCGGCATATGCAATGGCAACATGGCCTATCTCTGATCAATAACATTTTCTACTCTTGAACCAATCCACATCAACTGCGTAAGCCAGAATCTTCAAGGGTCACCCCATCGAGAGATACTACTGCATGTCTGGAGGGGCTTGGGTTAAACGTGAGAGGATGGAAAGGGTGGATTGGAGGAGGCTGATGATAATGGACTAGTAAGGAAAGGGGCAAGAGAGCAAAAGATCAGCCTATCTCTTCCTTCTTGACGCGGGGTCATTGATAAGTAGGTGAGGAAGTTCGGGGTCAAGACAATTTTCCTATTCCCCTCCTCAATGCTAGTCCTCTCTAGGTGATTTGGGCCAACTGGCCGCGTATAAAAGGAAGCTTGAGACCCTTCTCGAAAGAATCTCTTTCTTCTTCCTTTTAATCCATTTTCAAATCCAATCTCAACTCTACACCGCTTCATACAAACAACTTTACCTTGTCTAACAAACAAGACGTCTCATACTCATTGACTCTTACGTTTTTGTCCGTGCTTGACCATTGTATCATATCACCGTCAAGATATTACAATTGCATCTTTCCTATTGCTCGCATTGCATAGCAATCCATATCGAACAAAAATCATTCGTCTGAAGTTTGTTGTCGTTTACAAAATTTTAACTTCACTCTAATTATACGCTATTACATCATGGCCTACCAAGCAAGCTACTACCAAACCACTTCCCTCCCCATTCCCGTTCCTACAAAATCTCAACAAGTTTCCTATTACACTCCACAAAATACAACTTATGGTGTCTCGCCACCAGAAGCTCCAGAATCTGTCACTACAGGTTCAGGCATGACGCCTGCATATGGACATTCGACTTACTCTGCTACCTCCAGTAGTTATGCTGGGAGTGCAAGTGGTGAATATGATAGCACCGCTTCCGCCAATGGTGTCGATTTGCAAGAATATATGCAAGATCGATTTTCTGGCGCATTTGATCCTCTTCCTTTAGATCGCACTCTAGCAGTTCAAGCACAAACGTGAGAATTGAGTCCTGAACAATTTCCTTCGATTTTCACCCACTGACATTTCCATCAGATCTGGTTTGTTGAACGCAAAACATAGAGAAATCATGGATTTGCAAGCATTGGCACAACAACGTCTTGCAAAAACTAGAGCGAGATTGCAAGAAGGGTATCAAGATGCCAAGGAGGTGAAGGCGAATTTAGAGTGGACTCAACATCGAATGGGGTGAGTCAATTTTTCTCTTGTTATTCCACTAAATCTCAAATCTAACAACATTCCAGAGCCATGAAAACCAAAGTCTCAAAACGACACCCCAAAGAATACGCACAAGCTCGCGAGCGTTACCCATCTCCGGAGTACTAAAAGCAGATTTCTTTAAATTGCTTATTTCCTACTTCTATCCATCGCTTACGAAAAAAGTCCCCTTTTTCTTTTCCTTGATACCGTTCATGTTAGCCGCAACCCATGAATTAATATCTGCGCTGCTTTTATTTTCACACAAAGCGGAACTCCAGAGCATTTTCTAACGAAGTAACGACGATTATGATTGGGTGGAGCGCTTGTTCCCAGTGCGGGGATGGAGCAGCGCCGGTTGAACATGCTCTTTAGTGCTTGCAGCTGGTAAGAGACGCCAGGGCTGCAGTAGTTCCCGTTTATGCATGGTTCTGCGGGCCCCTGGGAACCAGGTTCTGCAGCTGTGGAGCTGTATGTGGTGTGGTTGGAATGAGATGGTGTGAGACTGAGACTGTGGGATTCGGGTGGAGAGTTTGTTTGTAGAATGATTGGACTGTATTTTTCATGGCGTGTGAGGTTGGTTTGAGTACAGGCGTGAGGGGTGGGTGGGATTTTGTAAGGCAAAATGAAATGCCATGGGTTTATCAAGTGATTTTGGGTGGCTACTGGAGTTAGAACTGGACTGGAGATGAATATGGAGTTGGTAAATACAAGGACTCTTCAAATATGTGCAGATGCTTGTATGTGAGTGGTTGATGTGTGTAAATTGTGACCTGAATAGGTATAGACGATGGGCTGAGAGGGGTAGATATGGGTCCCTTTTGCCTCTGAGACATATCATGCGTCTTCCTCCCGCCTGACACCCCACTTGCCCATCTGCATGCCCTTCTACGGACTAGGGGACGAGAATCGACCCTAATTCAGATGTCCTTATTGCGCTAATGACATAATCAGGTCTCCTGCTAACCTCTCCAGTTCTTGACTGGGAACTGGTTGTCGAGCCCTCCCATCCTCCTATCCCTAGTACTTCCTCCGTAATGCAAGGCTAACAAGGCCGTTCTTTCCCTATGCCATATACCAGCTTTTCAAGCGCAAAACGCAGGCAGTCTGTAGGTGCCATGTAAACAGCCCACACACCCGCTCATCTCATACAGATTACCCCAAGCATATCGTCACCATCCGCGTTGGAATACTCTTTCAAACCACATTCCCAAGGTCAGCGCCAATAGCAAGACTTTTTTATGACAGACTCTCTTTTCCTCCAACACCTCCATTAACTCCCCCATTCGCATCCCCATTACCACCACCCCTCTCCTCTCCCCCAAATAACCCTCGTCTCCCTCCCCTCCAAACCCTCTCCAGCACCGCTCTCCCAGGCAACAACCTCTCGAAAACAACCACCAACTCCCCCTCTCCCTCTACAACAACCACTAACACATAGCGCACCTCAAAATTCGAAAATACCTCGTTGATGTAGATATCTTGAATCTTTTGACTCGGGATGAATCTCGTTTTCGTAGTACTCAGGTATGTTTTCGGTGAGCTTGAGATTTGGAGACCGAGATGGCGGAGGATGAGTAGGGACTCGGAAGTGTGAGGGCGGAGGGTGAGGAAGAGGAGGAGAGCGAGGGAAATAGGGACGAGGAGTAGAGGTGAGAGGAGAGTGGTGAGAGCTTGGAGGCGGAGGAGGATGGACGGGGGGATGGTGAGGGAGGAGAGGATACTCGGGGGTGGGAGAAGTGTCAGATAGTAGGTATATAGAAGGAGAAGAATCCCGAGGGCAAGAACCACTCGGATAATGTGCGTGAGGATTAGGAGAATGCGGAGGGGGAGGGCCAGAGGTGGACGGGTGCTGACGGTGTATTCGATTGTTGTTGGGGATGGGCGGCGGATATAGAGTGTTGGGGGACAGGTGAGCATGATTAATGCATCAACCGATCTTTCGAGAATAGCTGAGAGGGCTTGGAGAGTAGAAGATTGAGAGTTGCTCAATGCATGTTGTGTGTTGTGATGGGAAATTGGGTTAGGAAGACGAGGCTTATCGATAAGGATATTTATTTTTCGGATCCAGACAAGGCTGAAAGTCAAAGATTGGATCTTGCGAAATTGGAGATGTAGAATTAATGGATTGGTATGATTTAAATTTTCATTAGTAGCAAAGAGTATCATGTATCAATGCCAATTTCCCTTTCTCATTGTCTATTTTTTACGAATGCATACGTGGCAGATCTGCAAGCCATTCCGGTTCCCGTGAGCTTCTCCGAATTCGCCAGATCAAAAGTTTACCTACCTAGTAGGTACTTTGATACCAACGATGATTCCCCATCAACAGAGTCAGAAATATAGATCAGCTCTCCACACTCGAAATGAATCAAATTGACCGCAATTAATCCCATTCCCCCTAAAATCTGCCGCTCACTCCCCAGTATCAATTTCCAAGTCAATTTGCACCCCATTACCCACCCCATAATCCTCCAGCGTCAATTTATCCTTGAACGGCCGCTCTCCCTGTCTCTTCAACATAATTTCATGCGGTTGTCTGCCAATCCTGGCCGCTACTTGCGCTTTAAAAAGTCTGATTGGATCGCTCGCCAGGCACGGAATGGCAGCTTTCGTTCCCAACCGATCATTAACATGAACAATGATCATGGGTTCATTCGATGGCGCCGCTGAAGCAGTGACAGGTGTAGATATCGAAGCTGCAGGTGTTCTAACAGGAGCAGACATAGAATCTGTAGTTTGATTTTTAGTTTTGGAGGAAGATGAGGCAGAAGAAGCTTTGAATTTCGAAAATGCAGATGCGCCGAATTTGCTGGCTATGTCGAGTGTATCTTCCTCCTCTGGTTGCTCAGCATCTTTTGATTTCTCTTCATCTTTCTTTTGCGCTTTAGTAGTAGAAGAAGAACCAAACTTTCCAGCTATATCTAAATCATCATCTGCAGCAGCTTTTGGAGGCGAAGGTCTTCTTCGTTCTGGTTCGCGCTCACTTTCGCGCTCTCGTTCTCGAATAGGTGATCTCTTTCTTTCTCTTCTAGGCGATCGCGATCGTTTTCGGTAAGTTTTATCGGTATCGCGTTCAGGAGATCGGGAGCGAGCTCGCTTTTTAAGTTTGAGACCTGCCATGGTGTTTATGAGATTATGAAGAGGAAGCTCTTGCGGCTGGCTTGCGATATTCTGGTATCCGTTCGGCTAATTCTCGGTCCATATTTCATTACCACCAATCTGTAATGTGATATCAGGAAAAAAGCATATAGCATCACATCTTGTTTGGATTCTGTTTGACACTTTGAGATTTAGATTTTGATTACAACAATATCATAACCATTACACTTTAAAGCTTATCTTATTTCTATACAGAGTAGTAGTATGGTGGTATTTGTCTCTTGCGTAGATACCTGTAGACAAATGGTGAAAATAAGACTGTTTTCTTGTACCAGATGGAAAATTGATTGCAGTGATTATTTTGAACAAAGCTTTTATTGAAAGTGCTGACTATTTTGTCAATGCAAAATATGTGTTATGCAAAAGCATCTAAGCCTAAAGACAATACCCTGACACTGCCGTCCCTACGCCAATTTATAAACAAGCAACCCTATACGCCCAGACTCATGATATCCGAAGCATTATGATACAGAACTGAAAGAAGAGTTAGGTCCAATCAATCAATCCTTGCTCTTCTTCTTCTTCTTTTTCTCAGACTTTTCACCATCGTCTTCTGACTTTCTCTTCTTGCTGCCGTTGACTTCTGGTGTACCATTTACGGCGCTCTTTTTCGCTTCCTTCTCAGCCTTTGCAGCCTTTTTAGCTTCCTTTGCGGCTTTCTTGGCGGCCTTTTCAGCTTTCTTTGCAGCCTTCTCGGCCTTCTTAGCTTCCTTGTCTCCCTTGGGTTTCTTCTCAGAAGCATCACTGTCGTCGGAAGAATCAGAACCAGATTCCTCAGCGACTTCTTCGATGAGTCTAAAATAGTTAGCTTTGAACGTAATGTGTGAGCAAGAAGCATTTTAACTTACTGCTTGTTCTTCTTCTCTCTAATAGGAACTGCGGCAGCTGGTTCATCTCCAGCAAGCCCATCTGCATCTGCGTTGTACTTGCGGGCTTCCTTGACTTCCCATTTACCAGGAGCTGAGGTGGTCTTGCCATTTGGTCCAACAGCAACACCTCGAGGAAGGAGGGGCTTTCCTTCAAGTCCTCGAAGGTGACGCTCAATCTTGGCACGTGAAGTGACACCCAGTGCAGATCTCTCCTCATCGTCAACATCGTCACCCTTGCCTTCACCTTGTGCACTCCAGTCTGATAAAGCATCAACGCGGAGACCAATGGCTGCCTTGGCTGCCAACATACGGGCGATCTTTCCCTTGTTCTTGCCGGTAGCTTGACCAACCAATGAAGCATGATAGATAAGACCGTACTTTGGTGTGTCATGTTTCGTTTTGAGAGCTCTGAATAGAGCCTTCTCAGCACCAAGAATTTGGATGGTACTGGCAGGGCTCTTTGCAAGATTCATGAGAGATCCAGCGTGGGCGATCAATCGAGCACCAACCAAATCACCAACCAACTCAGTCAAGTTGGGGGCAATTGCTTGCATACGAGCAGACAAGTAGCTTGACAATTGTTGGCGGTATTCAGTGAAGCCAACAACTTGCTCAGCCAAAAGCTTGATGTTATCCAAATCTTCTTGAGTGATTTCAGTACCCATACTAACTTCAGCAGCAGCTTTAATGGCAGTTTCGATCTCTTCTGGGAGAATATCTGCAAGGTCGGTACTGGAAGTGTTGACGCGCATACCGACCTTCAAGATGACTCTAGCATAGGCCAAGTTGTCGTTAACAATCTTGCCCATTTCTGGGAAATGCCATCCGTACCATTCCTTGACTCTCATAGCGTACGTGTTTAGCTCCTTGTCCAGGTCGTCCAATAACGAAATAGCTTGTACAATCATAGTATCAACCTTATCGGGAGAGAACTTCAGCTTGTGGCGCGACAAAGAATGCGACAGACCGAGTGACATGGTAGAGATATGTTCGGGAAGGAGACCTGGGATCAAAGAGGGGAGGTGATCGCGGATTCCACGGAAAATGTCATTTGTTTTCGAGTCGGAAATTGGTGTCAGAGTCAAACCTGGAAGTTTGTTGATAGCTTGACCCAATTTAGGATCGGCGACTGCCAAAGATGCCTTCTTCTCATCTTTCAAGGTATCGAGCAGTGATGCAAGCATAGGTGAAACCTTTCCCTCGACCAACGAAGCAACCTCCTCCAAAGCTGTCGCGGCACTGTCGAACTTTTGGAACTGCTTGAGCTTCAATCTGATATGTGTAATTGGACATGTTAGAAGTCTGTATCTCAATTGAAAATGTGCGATGTTGGATCAATTGCACTCACAATCCATTGATACCCTCTGCGGTCTCAATTTCTGAAGCAACATCGTCCTTCTTCAAAAGCTTTTTGTCAGCCTTGAATAAGACCAATCCAGCCGCCGTCTCCGTAAGAATAAATAAAGGCGCCATTGTGAAGAAATAATCCAAGTCTCTTCGTGGTGATGTTGTTCAATGGGCGTCCAAAATTCTGAAGCTTGAGGTTTTTCGCAAGGAATAATTTTTTGTTCAAGCAAAAAATAGTGGCAGACGCTAATGAGAATCTCGAGCCAAACAGGGATGCCCACAGTGGCTTAGTGGTCGGGTCAGGTGACAAACAACCAACCTCATTGAACCCACTCGCAATCCATGCAAGTAGCTCTTGCGAAGGCAACTCAACTGGTCCAGACAAACTTCAAGCAACGACAATAGATCGTGTTCGCAGACAACGAAACAAAATGGAAGGTCTATTTTTCAATGTTCAGAATGGGTAAGATTTCAAAATCACGACTAACACCATCAATAACTAATACTTTCGTAGCTATATCGAGGGTATCGTCAGAGGTTATCGCAACGGACTCTTGACTGGCCAGAACTATAATAATTTGATTCAATGCGAGACTATCGATGGTAATTAATTTTCTCATGTACACCAAATACATTAAGTAACGAGGGGCTAGATCTTAAGCTTCAACTTGGGCCAGCGTATGGCGATTTCCTAGCATCACTTCCACCTAATCCTTCAACATCTACCCTCGCTGCCAAAACGACCGACAAACTCATCTCCGAATTTCGATACCTTCGAGCAAACGCGGTTGGTTCACTTGCAAAGTTCATGGACTACCTGACGTATGGATACATGATCGACAATGTAGCCCTTCTGATTACTGGTACTCTTCATGAAAGGGATACCCGAGAACTACTTGAACGATGCCATCCTCTTGGTTGGTTCGAAACAATGCCCGTCTTGTGTGTGGCTACAAACATAGAAGAGTTATACAACAGTGTCTTGATTGAAACTCCATTAGCGCCCTACTTTAAGGGGAGTCTAAGCCACCAAGATTTGGATGAGCTCAACATTGAGATTGTCCGCAATACGTTGTATAAAAACTACCTAGAGGACTTCTACAACTTTGTCAATACCGACCCAGAAATGGCCAACACTCCGACAGCTGAAGTTATGTCTGAAATGCTTGAATTCGAAGCCGATAGAAGAGCTATCAACATTACCCTCAACTCTTTCGGCACAGAGCTATCAAAGAAAGATCGCCAAAAGCTATACCCAAGCTTTGGGCGCCTTTCTCCATCAGGAACGATTCTACTTTCAAGAGCAGAGGATATAGAAGGTGTTAGACTTGCTGTTGAGGGGGTTAGTGATTACAAGGGCTATTTCGATGCCACTGGAATGGGACAAAGCACCACAGGGGCGGGAAACATGAGTGGGGGAGCTGGTGGTAATGAAAAAAGTTTAGAAGATCTGTTTTACCAAAAGGAGATGGAAATTTCCAAGGGTGCATTCACAAGACAATTCACTTTTGCTATTGTCTATGCATGGGTCAAATTGAGAGAACAGGTATGTGTATTCTTCGTACACTGCTAACGGAAGGACACTGACATTCACAGGAAATCCGCAACATCACCTGGATCGCTGAGTGTATAGCGCAAAACCAAAAAGAACGAATCGGCAACTACATCAGTGTATTTTAGTATGGCGATAAATATGTTACTAATAGTCTTTTCTTCAAACCTGACAGTTGGCTGTTGGGTCTTTGTACTGGTCTAGTTGGCGAGCTGGCGTAGGGAGATTACGGATACTGATTTCAAAATTGCAAGACAAATTTTTATACCTTTCAGGATGTATCCTTTAGGCGTGGTGAATACATTTTGATATTATTTACAGACTGATCTCCCCTTTCCATGTACCCTCTGTCAAGCCCAAGGTTGCGATCAAATTTTCCCATCTATCACTTCCCCGCTCCTTTTTCCTTAAATAATTTAGCAGCTTCTGCCTCCTGTGGACCAACAAACGTAAATTTCTCTTGTTAACTTTATCCTTACTTCCCCGCTTCGATTCCAGTTGATTCGCCAAGACCCTGATTTTTGTAGTCAAAATCGCAATCTGAACCTCAGAACTGCCGGTGTCAGGACCAGCTCTCGGTGTCTTCTCTGGCAGATCGGCGCCTTCTATAGCATCGCGCGTGGGTGCCCTGGGCCTCAACACTCCATCCGTCTGGTGGCGTCCGAATGTATTTATGCACCTTACAATATTCGCTCTGGTCTTATCCTTCGAACTTGCGTTTTCTAAGCTTACAATACGTGCCAATGCTGCGGCCGCATTCGCATGAGCCTCCTCGTGCTGTTTCTTTGCCTGCTCCTCAGCATGAATATCTGCTAGATCCCGGTTCTCGGCCAAGAGGGGCTCTGTAAGGTAGTATGAATGTTGAATGGCACCTTGAAGTTCAGTTGGGGTCAAGAAGTGATTCAAAAGAACATTGTCGACATTTTTTGTTTTCGCGCCCTCTCCAGAACCTTTAGTTGTAGTTGCATCGAGTTTGAGCGTGGATCCTCCAACGTTATCAAGAGATTCTAGGAATGGTGTCGACACACCCCGTACCGGATCCCCCAATGATGATTCCCGCTCCTTCTTTAACACGGCCTGCCTTTCCAAATTCGACTGCTTTCTCTGTCTAGATTGTGCTAATGCATAAGGATCTTTATGCGCTCTTCGCTGGGCAAATGTAGCCGCATTGGCTGCGGATGTGGTTGAGAAAGAGCATGTTGACGAACTTGAGATCGGGCGAAAACATACTATTGTTACAATTAGATAAATTGATTCATGGATTGGTCGATGTTTTGATCTTACAAGGAGTTGCACTCAATCGCGAAATAATGGATATTCGAGGAGGCATTGTGAATGTATTTAATCGAATCAACTCATTCATTCCATCAGCCCAGTACTTTGCTCCCCTCAAAGTCCCATCTGGATAAATTTCTAAGCTAACCCCAATACGACTAGTGGAGATCATGTTTTGAAGCCTCGTATCTATGGCAACAATTACAAGGGTCAATTAACAATCTTGATTAGGGTTTCGCATACTTTTATCTCGCACTATCGCAAAATTATTCTTCGTCCTCAGCAAATCGACAACTTTCGACAACCATCTTCCAAAGGTTTGACCAAATTCGACAACCACATCAAATCGCAAAGATGGCACCTTCTCAACTCCCCGCGATTTTCAATCCTACCTCCCAGGATATTGAGCAGCTTTTGGCAGCTCAATGCCATTTGGGAGCCAAGAACTTGCAAGTTCACATGGAGCCATACCTCTGGAAGACTCGCCCAGATGGAATCAATGTTATCAACATTGGCAAGACCTGGTATGTTTGAACAGAGCAAAATTAGAATGCGCCAGTCAAGAAAACTTGGATCTAACAAACATATTTTTACAGGGAGAAGATCGTCCTTGCTGCCCGTATCATCGCAGCCATCGACAACCCAGCTGATATCTGTGTTATCTCTGCTCGTCCTTACGGTCAACGTGCCGTCTTGAAGTTCGCCGCCCACACCGGTGCCGTTGCCATCGCTGGTCGTTTCACCCCTGGTAACTTCACCAATTACATCACCAGATCCTTCAAGGAACCCCGCCTCATCATTGTTACCGACCCACGTACCGATGCTCAAGCTATCAAGGAGGCTTCCTACGTTAACATCCCAGTTATCGCCCTTTGCGATACCGATTCCCCAACCGAGTTCGTCGATGTAGCTATCCCAACCAACAACAAGGGCCGTCACTCCATTGGTTTGGTTTGGTGGATGTTGGCCCGTGAGGTCCTCCGTCTCCGTGGTTCCATCGCTTCCCGTGAGGCTGAGTGGGACACCATGGTTGATTTGTACTTCTACCGTGACCCAGAAGCTGAGGAGAACAAGGAGGCCATTGAGGAGGCCAAGGCTCCAGGTGCTGATGAGGTATGTCACATTCACGATCGATCTCGAAAGATCTATTACTAACTCAATCTCATAGGTCGGTGCCGCCGCTGTTGACCAAGGATTCGCAGGTGCTGGTGACTGGGAGGTCTCTGGTGCTACTGCTGGTGCATTCACTGCTGCTAGCAACACTGCTGCCGCTGGTGGAGCTTCATGGGATGCTGCTGAGCCATCTGACTGGGCTGCTGCACCAGCTGCCGCTGGACAAGAGTGGGCTGCTTCCGGTACCGAGCAATGGTAAATGTCACACTACCCAACAAAAAATAATTAAGATGTTTCCGCAATGAACTGTATTCCTTGGGGGTAAAATTTGAAAGCACTTATGAGGGAAAGATACTCGATTACCGTTCATGTGTCATGGTTTGAGAGGGAAAGCCCTGTGCGTTCAAAAGGAGTGGACTTGATCGTTATTCCGCTCTCAATGGAATGAGTCTCTGGTTGTGGCATGACAATCTCAGATTATCTTTGCAGAGGATTGATATTTTCGCTGTGATATGAAGCTTCGTCGTAACAAATGGAGCATGTCATAAAATCTAATCAAACGCATTGCAAAAATACATCGATCTCAGACCATGATCCAGTGTATTTGTGCATAATCCTCTCGCAGTTTATTTTGTAATCCATGCCATTTCCTTTCGCTCAATCTTGTAGTTTTACCTCGACCGCGACCAAGCAGTACGCCTCTAAACCCCCATCACACTCCGGTTGATTATCCATCATCTATTACCTACCTGTAGTCCCCTTCATAAATGTACTTATCCTGGGAATTCCTTTCATAATCAGTCATACGAAAGCTAGCTCCTGGTGAGCTTCAAAAGTTCTCGAGGTGTCTAGCGAGGTTCATTTTGCAATTGTGAGGACCTCTGATGAGGAATTGTTCTTCAGATAGGTACTTTGGGAAGCTCTCAAAAAGGAAGCGTGGGAACATAAGGGTGTCATGCTATCTATTGTATCAAACACCCGGTCAGAGGTAAGATGATTTGAATGAGAACTAAATTGGCTATGCTTTTAATGCGCACCGTCAGAGTGTTTTGATGCGAATGATACGGTATGATATGCTGATGATTCTCCTTCGACATTATATATATCGCGTATATAGTATATGTATTATTCAATTAGATATATACATAGTCCTCAAAGGTTTCCAAATAAAACAGGCATCTTTAGCCCACATTGCTGATATCCTATCTTTCTTCAAACTATACACAATATTTATCTCAACAATTCCAAAATCTAAAGTCTCATTTTCCAATTAATTTTCTGCGAGTCCATGTCGTCTGGTTTGTCCATGATATATACACCTGTGTACGCGAATGAGCGCCCTCTAAGGAAGAGAGAGGTAGAGCTCAAGAAGTTTGGGGTAGTTGGGTGTTCCGAGGCCTGTTTTATGGACGTTAGTATACTATTCTAAAAGCATAAGATCTTATACTCTTCGCAAATCAAAAATGCGCAAAGCACCCAAGAAATATAGAGAAAAGCAAGACAAGAACACTCACCAGTAACGGGATCCCATCCCTCCACTGCTGTGAACCCAGCAGTGTCGCATCCTTGGTTGCCTCCACTAGTGACATCATTCAATACACCTGGATTGGCATACAAGACCGGGTTGACGAAGCCAATAGGCGCCTTGCCAGCGTTGATACGCTCAGCGTTGATTAGGGTGAAGATGGCGCCAACAACGGGAGCAGAAGCAGAGGTGCCGTAGACGAGAGAGAACACGCCGTCGACAGCAACAACATAGTTTACGCCGTTGGCGGAGATGTCTGGGAAGCCGCGGGTCACTTGGGAGTTGTTGTATTGGGCGGAGGTGTAAGGTGGGAGATGCTCGGCAACTTGAAGGTGGTTAGTGCGGGCTTTGGGGGTACAAAGGTAATATGTGTGAATAGGGTTGAGACAGCTGTGGTATTCAAAGACTGGGGTACTTACAGTAGGTTGCTAAGGCATCAGTTTGGTAGTCGGGGGCTGAGAAGACGTTGGAGAATCCTCCACCGGAGTAGACTAGAGAATTGTGATTAGTAAACGTCATGATGATTATCAGGCCAATTAAGAAATGATGGTACTCACTGACGGACTCAGCGGCCTCTTCTGGTTGAGTAACAGTAGCATTTGGCTTGACTTGGGTAGCTCCGACAGCTGTAATATATGGACATGTGCCAGGGAATGAAGGGTTGAATGCTGTTGCAATTGTGTTAGAATGAGACTTTCCAACAATATATGAGATGAGATGACATACAGTTTCCAGTGCCACATGCGCCTCCGTTACCCGCAACACCGTAATCACCAGAAGAATACAATACGGTGACACCTTGAAGACCTAGCTTAAGATATTCATTGCATTGACGTTTCTCATAGGCGGGGGAAAGATCAGTCTCATCATAACCATAGGATGTGGAAATAACGTTGGTAGCAGCGAATCCACCACAGTTCGCAGGTCCTTGGTAATAGTAGCTGGTGTTACCGTATGGATCAGGGTATACTCCATCGTAATCTGGATCGTCACCGCCATCTGTTGTACAATAATCGCCATCGATAGCATCAAGGAAGTTGTTGAATGAAGCTCCCTGTGCAATGTCTCCAGTTTGATATAATGTTACCTCTTGAGGGTATGCGAGAGTCATTCCGTATTCGAGATCCAAGTCCTGGGCTGAATTAGGTGGGCAATTGATGAGTGGATGTCAGAACCAACTTACTGATTCTCCGTTGTAGCTGAAGGACTCAACAATTGTCTGAAGAACACCTCCATCTATGGAATCGAAGACGGGTCTAGATCCGACAAGTGCAGGAGAGAAGTTACCAAAGAATAGATCCAAATCTATACATGATGTCAATATATATGCAATACTAAATGGAAAGCAACACTTACCACCAGGGAGATATGCCTGTGGCGTATATTCGACAATACCATATGAATCTACGAATGGTTAAATTTGATGCTATCAGCGAAAGGGCATACTTACTTCCTTCCGCAAAAGGAGCATCTGTTGGAAGCTCATATAAAGCCTGAAGACACTCGGGTGTGATGTGTGTATTGCACGTTGTCAACGCCGAAGCTTGTAGTTTAGCGTGTGATGTAGTTGAGACAATTTTGCCTTGCTTGGGCAATGATGGATCACTTGGTGATCCCACTCTGTGGCCATCACCAATTGCTCTTCTGGCAAGCTGATCTTTCTGATGAGTACTCAATTCTCGTTTCTCCTTTTGAGGTACAATCTTTGCATCGAAGTGAAGTGTTGGTGTGATAAAATCAATGTGTTTGCGAACGTTTTCAGGAACGCTGTAGTCGTCACAAGCAGCGGCGGTTTGGCCACTTTCCGCATGTGTATAAGACTACAAGTTAGGGAATCAGTGATTGTCTACCGAATAGTATTTTGGGAAGAGATGAAAACCAGAGCTATAGGTGGACGAAGGTAATTGTGATGAATATAAACATGTAAAGTTGAACACTGGTAGAAGCAACTGAGAGACGTAGTCGGACTTACGTAGTACTTAGTGTTCAGAAGAGACTCTGCTTCTGCAACAGTAACGTTGGCATGAATCCAATTGAGACTTTGCGATTGCTTTACGCGGTCGCTTTTTATTCCATACTCTGCAAGCCATTGGGTTACTGCTCTGAGAGATTCGGCACTTGGGGCAAAGGTTTCAGCCACCTTCTTCGCACTCCAATGGTTGCCAAAGTTTTGAGAAGATGGGTCGGAAACATCCATCAAGTATGCTTCGGCATTGTGCAAGTTGTTTTGGGTGATGGCAAATCGCATTGGGAGACTTGAATCCGGGTGCAATGGATTCTCCCTACGCCAATTGCGAGGTACTTGATCTCTTCGCTCATGAACAACATGTCTTTTCTGAGGAGCTGGAGCGGCAATCACTCCAGTCAAGAGACCGTATGCAACGATAAGTGAGAAATGCATGATGTGAGCAAAAAGAGAATTCACTTGAGTTTTCAACCACTTGGGGAGAGCTCAAGTTCTTATGGAACAATGAAAATAGCTATGGGAGCTTCCTTATCACCTGCCATGTCTGGTAAATAACTGCGAATATCGGTACAGAGCTCTCTTCCTAGACTGCTAAGAACTTGGCAAGTAACGTATTGCAAGGCTGCATGCAAGGCTACATGTGTATTCAGGGGTGGTCAACAGGGTTATTGACACCATTCTTGCTCATATTCGACTAGTATGATAAGTAACTTGCAGCATTGATCAGATGCAATATCTCTATCTCAATCCACCTGCATGAGGGAAGACAGTAAAGGAAGGAGTTAACACGATGTGCATTACCTGCCTGATAAAGAATAGTTGGCAGGTACTCGTGAAGGTATAGGAAGTGTTGTGATGAGGCATGTCAATAACACCATCAGTAAGTTGCAACGTTCCAATTGATCTTCACTCTGCTATCTGAGACTTTTGGGGATAACAGGACGTTTGAGCATCTCGTGCTCACTCGAATCATCCAAAACCCTAGATATCATTGGAAGAGTGTGCGTGTCACGACATTTAAAGGTTTAGGAGAAAAGAAGGGAATTCAATATGTGTGTGTGTTGATAAGACGAATTCAACATGTGCCGAGATAAGGAATGTCTGGGGTGTTGCTGTGTGTGATGGCATATGAGGGTGGTGGCGGTAGTGGGAAGAGCGTTGATTCGATATTCATTGGTCATGGATATCACCGTGGAGATAGAAATGAAAAGCCGGAAATGCTCCAACGGCTATGGCTTACATGCAGAATGCAGAATGAATGTAACATGGGAATTCAAACAGAGGCAGACGGAAGATTTTACCCCTCCACTCATGTGTCGTGTGTCTGAGTGGCCTTGCTGCCTTGCAAAATACGATGAAGCTTGACTTTGAGATCTCCAGCAGAATGAATCTCACTGGATGATACAATCTGAGTCTATTTTTCATTTATTAGAAAGTTAGAAAGTTAGAAAGTTAGTTGATAAAAGAACTTTATGATTGGTCGATCATCGATTAGCCTTGCAGATGATCTCGGCGCTCGAATTATTAATACGATATATGATTGGTCTACGGAGAGGGACGATCCGCTCACTAACCCCATATTGCTCACTCCTGCCGTCAGCCTTATTGCCTCAGCCTTACTCGTCATGGATTTCTCCCGTAACATCCAAATTCAAATTCATGCATTCAATTTTAAGCAATGTTTCAAACGATGCGTAATCATTTGGAAAAAATCATTTGAGAAATGTACATCATCAAATGTAATGAGAGAATCCATTCCTACCTAACACTTACATAAAATACAACGCACAACGCACAAGCGACGCAAAACACCCCACGAACTACAACATCATCACTCAACGATAGAGATAGATCAAGCAGTATGTCTATTCTCGGGGATTTTGTCGAGCCACCTGAGGTCGAGAGCCGTCTCGTATCCTTCTATCGAAACAAGACACCGGACAATGCAGGACGATTACTTTCGCACATTATGTCTTGGGATTATGAGAAGTTGGAGGATATACACGACTACATTCAATGGCTGTTCCCTCTTCCAGAGGAGTCCATGTTTTCAGGCGCACCTTTAGTTGATGAGAATGTCTTCAATGCGTTCCATGCATTCAATTCTTCCACCGAATTACAATGCCATCTCAAGCACTCTTTGGTTAAAATGTTGGACTTCTATGGGTTCAAGTTCGCTGATGCTTTGGATGGAAATGATTTGCCTGTTGTAAGTTTTGCATCAATTCGGCAACCACAACTGATCGCAAAAGCCTAACATTTTCTCTCAGATAATCAGATCCTCCAATTTCTATGAAAGATGCTCCAATTGGCTTATCAGGAGAGATCACAACCATTTGAGAATCAGCAGAATCCTTCGCTCTCTTCGCGTTCTGGGCTTAGAAGCAGAAGCTGCCGCATTTTATAAGGCACTTTCAGACATTGTTTACAATGGACATTCTCAAGTTGTTAGCTCTCAATCTGCGGAATTCTGGCGACGCGCTGCTGAGAGACCTTTACATTGGGCGCCACATCTAACCGAGAGTGAATGTGCCAATGATAAACAATGGAAAATAGGCCTAGATTTCTTAAAAGAATACGAAAGATTCAACATGGCTAGAGATTTGCAAAAACAGCACGACGCAAAGAAGGCCCTTGAGGAAAAGAAAGAAGTAGAATTTCAAGCCACGAAAGCACATATTGCTGCAGTCACCGCCGAGCGGAAGAGAAAAGTTAGTGGAGAGGTCAAGACTGTCCCGAAAAAGCGAGCTAGTATTTCTCAGGAAAGCAAAGGTCAAAATTCCGAACCTCAACGTTCTGAAAAAGAAGCTGTGGTTGCTGATGCACGTGAACCTATACGAGGACCGCAGGAAGTCGTACAAGAGGAAGCACCACCAAATGAACCTAAGCCTTTCCAATCCCAGTTCATTAGGCCTGAGCTTTTTGAACTCGCACTTTCTGGGGCTGGACTTGCTGAGCCTAAGGTTGACCAACCCGAGCTTGAAGATCCCAGACCTACGCTTGTTGAATCTGAGTTTGTTAAACCTGAGCTTTCTGAACTCGCGCCTGCTAAACCCAAGCTTGAAGATTCCAGACCTAAGCTTGACAAACCTGCCGGTGGACGTATGGAACGAAAGTCCTCGGAACGCGGTGAACAATCTGCGATTCACCAAATTCAACAATACCAGCTCATGTCTCCTCGTCAACCTTGATCGATCTGACGTCATATCTTACGAGTCTTATTTTTCCTCTTCCATTCTATCTTACACGTTATAAATTCGTTGATCTAGAGGATCCATAAGTTACTTACAGACGTTACGTGGTATACAGGTCGCGGCTTTTGCACTATGGCGTTCTGAGCTACGTATTTCAGGGGACGGAGTTTAATGGGTCGAATTAGGGAGAGGTTAGAACATGGAGGAACTACTATATACCCAAATTTTCTTTATGGGCTTCTGACAAAAATGGAACTAGTGCTTATAGAAAGATATACGTGTGCCGGATAGAGATACTCAGAGTAATGAATAAAAAATCTGGCAATATATTCTTCGTCGAAGTCTAGAGAATATGATCTCATTCTTGTCTAGTGCCTAAATTTACAGTAGATGTGTACATGTATTTCAAATTAGACTTGAGTTAAATCTATCATACTTGTCATGATCCAGATAGTGGCTAATATCATTCGATACCCACCTGCATACCTTACAGGCGAGCCTGCTTCCCGAAACTTGGAATCACATACCTAACCTGCTATGTCAGGACGGGAATGCTGCATACATGCAAGCTCTCAATGATTTCAAGATGTCCCAGAATGAATGGCTGACTCGGTGAGTATAAGACTACAAATTTTCATCTCCTCAATTATCCCACTCACTTGAACCTCAATCAACACGACGAAAAAGAGCAAGTATTGAAAATCTAATATCCTTCCATTCTTGACAGAGTACAAACCCCATTATCTCTATACAGTCTATACTGGTTTGTCTAGGTAGGTATTCAATACACCATCATCCTCACACACATCAAACCTTCTTTCAAACCCCCTCCTTTCTATTACAATTTTTATTTTCTTGGCTCTGATCTTAATACCTCAAGGTTCATAAGGAGATTTTGCGCGCGATCCCGTCATCACTCTACCTCCCTTCTCCGTAACCAAAACCGCGTCTTCGATTCTCACGCCGAAGCCAACTTTTTTGCCGAGTTTGGTGGCTTGGGAGGAGGTCATGTAGATTCCCTTTCGTTGTTGTTGCTGGGTTAGTTTTGTGTTTCTTTTTTGAGGGAAAGGGGTAGTCTATGTATGAGGAAGAGAGAAGGGGAAAGAAAGAAGATAAGTAAACTTACAGGTTCATTGGTAACGACTTCTCCTTTCTTCAATTTCTCTGCATTAACCCCATTGAGATATGGATGTTCGTGCATTTCCAACCCTAATCCATGGCCTAATCGATGTGTGAAAAACTCTCCATACCCCTTCGCTTTGATAACATTCCTAGCCGTCTCATCCACAACCGAACACGTCTCGTTGATGTTCATCTTCTCAATGGCCGCTGTCTGTGCATCGTATACCAAATGCCATATATCCATCAACTCCTGATCAACTGTGGATGTGGATGGGAGAATAGTACGAGTCACATCACTTCCATACCCATGCAACGAAGTCCCTATATCCACCAACACAAATTCTCCATCCCTAAGAACCCGTCCCTTACCACCTCCATGCGGATTAGCAGCCTGTTCGCCAAAAAGAACTATTGACCAAAACCCAGCCCCAACACCCGCTTGTGTAAAAAGGCCCTCGGCAGCTTCCACAATACTTTCCTGACTCATACCCACCCTGATACATTTCTGCAAACTCCTCACCAGCTGCACCGTAAACTCATTTACACCCCTCAGAATATCCAACTCCGTCTCACTCTTCACAGCCCTCAATTCCTTCATTTCCAAACTCATCAGTTGCACATCCACTCCCACATCCTGCAATCCCGCCGCCACCATAAACCGAACATGTTCATCCAACACCACCTTCTCCAACCCCATCTCTCTACGCAACACCTCGTAAGGATTTTCCTCCTCCCTCCACTCCACAATCCTCTTTGTCTCCTCCTCAAAAACCATATCCAAAGCCCCTATCCTCCCCCTCTCAAACTTCGGCACCAGCAACGTCGCTCCCCCCTCCTTATCCAAAACAACCAAAAACGGCCTCTCAGAAAGTTCAAACGCGCTCGACACATTCCCAAAATACTCCGTCGAAGCCGACGGCTCCGCAATAAACGCATCTACCCCATCCTCTCCCAACACCCCCGCCAAAATCCTCTGTCTCTCTAGAAATTCCTCTCGAGCAATCGGTTTTACATCCAGAAGCTGCTCATATTTTTCCAAGTGCGACCAAGTGCATTGATGGAGAGATTCGGATGTGAGCTGGAATTCCCGATGGCGATGGATGGATTGGGATGAGAAATAGGTGATCACAATTGCGACGAAGAGGGTCGAGGCAAGAAGTGGGAGGAATGTCAGGTGATCTCTATAACGGCGTCGTTGATTTCTTGTGGGTGTGTCTAAAGGGAGGAGGTATTCCCTCATATCTTTTTCTAACGCCATGTTGTATGTGCTCTTATTGGAATTATTGGGGTTATGGTACTTGATGAGGATTGCTTGTAGTCTAGAATTTGGCTTGGTTCAATTGGGAGTTCCAGAGTAAAGGGTCGGGACAAATACCATCGACAATATTTGTTACCTCTCTCTGAGTTGAGAAATAGCACAATAAACACTGGTTGGTTCTGATGCTAGAAGTTTGTTGTCCTCCCAGTGTTGAAGGGTTTGATGGATCTTGGAAGCTCACCGTGAAAGATAACCTTGAAAGATAAAGAAGGGGCCGTGCATGATATCATCTCATCACATCAAATCGAACGGCACAGGGGTGTATCATGTAACCAACCAGTTTTCAGAAAGGTACTGTCAAATTCACTCATGGCAACAAGTAGATCAAATTCTATGAACATCTCTGTATTTGTATATAAACTTAGAAAAGAGCGATATAGACAATGATTTCGCTTTTCTGATACGAAAAAGTATTATAATCAATGAATCTCTCATATCCAAGGAAATCTAGTCAGGCAAGAAACATACAACGCATACAACGCTAATCTATATCATCCCCCTTCTTCTTCTTTTCTACCACCAACCACCATTCATAAACCATGTATAAAAAGACTGTGACTACCTGAAAGATTTTACATTTCAAGTAGGGCATTGACTCCTGGCTCACTAGAAACATAGATAACATCATGGCTATCTGTGAAGCCGTTGAATCTCGTTGCAGAACACTTAGTGTATGCACCCATACTCTCAAAATAGAGCCAGTCTCCAACGTCAAGATTGTGATTGAAGCGAATGCTTGCAGAGATGCGATCAATACCGTCGCAAGTTGGGCCCCAGATTGAGTACTCGGTGCCTTTGAGGGTTGCGTGACTTGCCAGAGTATCAAAGTAAGAGCGGTTGCCAGTGTGAAGGACCTGAGCAATTGGGTTTTGATGATCAAACATGATGCTAGAGAAATTGCCGTAAAGACCATCATTTAGGTAAAGCATGTAACTCTTTTCCAATGTTTCTGGGTCTTCGACAGTTCGGCGTGCAATGACGTTACAAGCGAGCGTGAAAGCATTGGCGACATAGTAACGTCCAGGTTCTCCGATAATTTTGATATGTTTTGGCATATATTCCTCGAGGGCATCACTAAGTGCGGAAGCCATTACTTCAAATGTCTCAGTGCAGAAACCTCCACCGACGTCGAGGGTGTGCATGTAGTAGCCATAAGTGCGAGCTTGTTCGAAAACGGTGTGAGCATCCTGAACTGCCTTCCTGAATGCAAGAGGGTCTGAGGCACCGGATCCTACATGAAAGCTAACGCCAACAACGTTGAGGTCAAGTTCTCTGGCTAGAGCAAGGAGACTACTTGTTGCATCCATTGCTGCTCCAAATTTCAAGCTCAATCGGCACAAGCTCGAGGAGTCATCGGTAGAGATCCGGAGAAATAGTTCAGCTCCTGGGAACAATTTCTTAATCTTGTATAACTCATCGCTGTTGTCGAATGTCATTTGCTTGACTCCTTGCTTCTCAGCATATCGAACGTAGGAGTTCGTCTTGCATGGTTGAGCATAAATAATACGGGTAGGGTCGATGCCAGCCTTGAGGACTTGCTCTATCTCGCCCTTGGAAGCACAATCAAATCCTGTGCCAAGTTCTGCCAAGAGACGAATGACTTGTGGGTCTGGGTTGCATTTGACCGCTGTTCTGAAGTTAGAAAATTTGAATCCGACACGTGAGTAGGTATGAAAGACTAACCATAAAACGGTTTGACTCTGGGTAAATTCTTCTTCCACCTCATGTGCTGTCTGTAAACCTCGCCTAGATCAGCGACGAAGAACGCATCTTCGTCATCTGCCTCGCAGACATCGTTATCAATATTTTCCACCCTTTGCTTTAAAGCATTTCCAATTATAGTTTTTGCGGTATTCACGCCATTGAGTTCAATATAAGAATCTTTGGGATAGTATGATTCGATACTATCAAGATTGTTATTGTTTTCGTAGGTAATAATGGCGGAAGGTGACATATCCTCGTATTTGACCAAGGATTGTTTGATATAGTTGTGATTTGTTTGCTAGTGAATGTCAGTATGGCCAAGAAAGTGTCAAAATGTAGCCAAGCAATGCCAGTAGGTGATCAAACATACTTGTACTTTGAAAGCCCAAGGGTATATTAAGGTGGTCTATAACGATCAGATCCTGTGCTGATCTGGCGAGGTCGGCTCGACTCTTCCTCTGCGAGAGGAAGGCCCTTTAAACTCGTCCTATGCGGCAGCTGAGGAGTTTCGGACGAAGACGGGGTGTTGTTAAACAACTCGTAAAACAAACGCTCAAGCTGATTAAAGTGCAGCAAAAGGAGGTGGTGTGGTGTTGATGATGTGCCGGTTAGGACGTTCGGAGTAATCTTGATCAGAAACTAGTATCGCGGCCGTTGGAGCCGTCCTGGATGTTTCGCCTTTGATTAGACCAAAGGCAGTCGAGAGGGAATTTTAGGTTCTTCGTGGTTAGAAGATCTGCGAGTGAGGTATTAGCAACAGTGTCTTGAAATGCCGCATCTCGACGTCCAAGTGACATGCGTAAGGCGTTCAAAAATCGCTCTGATCCCCGGATCATAGATAGATGATCAAACGGATACGATGAAAGGCGATAATAGCATTGCTCTGCGAAAGAACAGATTTTTCATCGGCGGGGTAAAGATTATGTTCATGTACTCACCCGGAAAGAATTTTCTCAATATAGTCCAGACAAAGACTATATCGTGCAGGTGTTTTGATTGATGGAAGACGATGAAGTTAAACAGATGGATAGGATTCAGCACAGCAAGTGGCCAGTATATTCCACTCTCTGTGTTATGTACTGAGTAGGTTATGGAGGTGGGTGGCTAGACTGGCTTCTTTGGAGCTTTTTCACGGGTGAGCTTGACGCTTGACCTCAGATTTGGCTGTTTAAAAATTTGTATTAGACTAAAAGTTTTAGCCGACCCACTCCTTTCCAATAAAAAATACCTCATTTATGATTTCTCCCGATTCTCTCTTCCAACCCCAACTTATTATTACATATACACACACACACAGGTATAGACATAGGGATTAGGTACATGTCTATAGAATTTAATTTATATCTCATTTAATATCTCACCGTCCTGTGCATATTTGATTTGGGATGAATACGAAGTAGGTATTGGGTACGGAGACGAAGCCAGGTATCGATGAAGTTCTACAATTCTGCCCAAATCCCAATTTTTACCGCGATCTTCAGGCACGTCTTGGAAATTTGAATATTTTGAGTGGATGACGTACAAAGAGGTAAACGCCAGTGCCTGGTGATAGAATAATAAATTCCCCAATGTTTTTCATGACTCGCTCTTCTTATTCGTGGGCTGCGTGGAGCGGGCTGCGGGTGTTAATTCCAACAATAATAAAATGACCAAATACTTGAGTACCTACGTTAGCGAGGTTTATTAGATAACAAAAGACTCGAGTCGGTCAGCAATATTTGTCTCAGATTAGGCTATTTTATATGCATGCATGTCGGTTAACCACCTAGTGTTTTAAAAGTAAATCTGTAATATGAAGACTATCGTTACTAAAAATACAGTCCACCATTTACCATATGAACGGCTATAAACTTCCGACATGCCCCAGACCAACTACCGGTATTTTATATCGCATTAGTCCAAACTGTTTCACGGCGAATACTTAACAGATTTATCTACTTAATAAGCTTTAGCGTGCTTCGGTGGTTATAGTATGGCTGGCTGTAAATGTTTACCTCCACCGTTTTTTAACCCCTCTTTGACCCCTTTATGAACCGCCAACAAACTTCCAAATATCCAAATATCCCTCATATAATACCACACCCCCCCCCCCCAAATCCTATCAGGTAGCCAATAAACTCCCCTCATTTACTTTCTACAATACATGGCTCCGGTATGTCCTCACATCTTTAGTCCGCCATCCCATGCCTCCGGGACCACAGCTCTGAAATAAGATGGAACCATAAAGCGATAACTCACGACATATATGCCTGGTTATACACTAAATGTTGCTATTGCGCTAGTCTTCTCAGAGGAAGACGTGACTTGTGATCTAACAGCCATCGAAATAGGACTGCAGACGTGATAATCTGTTCGTAGCGCGAAGAAAGAATTGAAAGTCAAAGAAAAGAGGAAATAAAATGCCTACCAAGGTGCATCTTCAAAATACTGACTTGATTCATTCGAAAGAGTCATGATGTCGAAAGGTTATATGTCATTGCTCATTACATGCTCATCAGATGCCTGTCATGGACATCGCTGATCTTTGTCTTTACCTATCATACATACCATTCAATCATTAATATTGTACATCCCAAACGCCAGTGTATGCAGCTGAGTGGAATACAGTATGTTACAGAACTGTGGGTCTTATGATCCGAAAGCGGCGTCTTTCACATCTTCCTCATCCATGACCTCAGGTTGCTCTTGGGCGAGTCCCAAATTCTTTGTTTCCCAAGTTCCATCTACCCATGACTTTTGCTCTCCAAGGAAAACCATGTTTCCTTGGCCGTTTTCCAATGCATCAACGAGGTATTTTTGCGCAACGGTTTGGACTTGCTCCTTGGTCACGTCCAATAAACGCTCACGTCGTTCTTGAACCATCTCTTCCGAAACTCCGGATACAAACCTTGTCATGCCCTCTTGGCTGACCGATTGAGGTGCATCGACACTTTGGAATACAGATAACTTGGCTTCTTCGAGATCACGTTCGGTCCATTCCTTTTGAACTGCCCATTTACCAGCGTTGCGCATGATCGACATTGTGTTTACAGGATTTGGATCGCGATAAGAGTAGAATCCAAAGATGCCATCAAGTCCCCGCGAGTAAGCTCCTCCGCCATAAGCTCCGCCTTTTTCTCTAATCTCATGATGCAAATGTTTATGAGTCAAGAGCTGAGAGAGTATCTGAAGAGGTGCTCCGGCCGGAGAGGTATAAGATACCGTCGGGAGAGCAAGGCCACCATAGTATACTTGATATGGCAGAGGGAAGAACGTCTTAGTGTTTCTTGTGAAATCTGGGGGAGGAACTAGGCGAGATGGCAATTCAGATCTTGGGATTGACGATAGAAATTGCTGAAGCGCGGCTTCGTTGTTTGTGACACTTTCACTACCACAGGTGAGGGCAGTCCTGAAGGTGGATGATCCAGAAAATGCGAGTCGCTGAATCGTCTTGAGTTTATCAATAACATCGGCTAGTCCTTCAGCCTCGGGTCTCGAGGCAAGTGAGGTGGTGAGCTTGACTTGAGATAATCCTCCCACTTGTTCCTTCAAACGCCCGTATTGTGTTACGCCAGCTTCAGCATAGCCTCTGGCAAACACATGCCCAGATGAAGCGATGTTGTTAACTGCACCGTCTGCCGAACCCTGTAAAAGCTGACGGATGCGGACTTCGGCATCAGGGCTATCAAAATCAGTTTCAAGGACTAGTTTTCGCAATAACCCAAACATCTCAGGCACGTTTCGATCTAAAGCAGTCCCGGAAAAGCTCAAGCCCTCGGATGCCGACTTGAAATCTGTGGGAGACGAAGAAGCATGATAGCCAACACCAATTCCTCCAGTCTTAAGCTTCATCAAGTCTTCTAACTGCTCCATAGTCATGTCCTTTGTCCCAAGACGCATTATAGCATCTGTGAATAATGGAATGTATGCTCGCAGTTCCTCAGGTAGATTTTCGAAAGTGTTGATGGCTCTGAAGTAGGTCAGTCCGTTTGTGGGTGCTTCTCGCCATTGTACATTGACATTATCAACCTTGGAATCCCTTAATTCTATTTTCTCGTCTTGTCTTGGAATGTCCTTAACATGAACAGTTGGGAGACAACTGAGATCTTGAGTGTTAGATTTTCCTTGCTCTTCCAAAAGCTCCAATTCCCTCTTTTCTAACTGCGCACGAGCTTCAGCTTCACCGCCAGCCTTCTCAGTAACCTCTGCAATCTTCTTTGCGAGACGTGTGGCTTCTTCGGCTACAAGCTCATCTCCATAAGTTGTCGAAGGAGCCATTGTGAAAGTGAGTGTATTGTCATTTAGTAAGTACTTCTCCAATAATCCCTCCAAATAACCACCCTTCTCAAACTCCTTTTGAAATGCGGCCACAGTATCGTTCCAAGCTAGCGCTTCAAAGGGATCAACGCCCTCAAACCACTTAGGTTTAATTCTTTGCATCAGTGACATACCGAACTTAGCAGTTTTATGCTTCAAGCTCAACTCCAATTGATGTAGGTAGCCATCGATTTTAGATTTCTCAAATCCATTTTTATGTGCTTCTTGGAAAGTCTTGTGAATTGCTTCCTTGACTTTCGGTACGTCGGCTTCTTTAACGCCGGTCAACCCAACAGAGAATATTCCGACTTTTCCAGAAGGATCATAACCACTATTTGGACTCCATTCGGTTCCCAAGCCAGCTTCAATTAAGTTTCTATAGAGTGGAGATCCATATCCATCCATGAGTAGCGCAAACATTATTGAAAGTGAGAAGGTCTCTAAAACATCCGTAGCATCACCTACCAGCCATGAAGTTGAGGTCTTAAACTGCATATCTGCATCCACCAATGGGTCGATAGGCCCTGGAACTGTGATACTCTGTGGACCAGATGATAAATCGATAGGCTTTAGTACTTCCATATCTCCATTGATGCGCTCAAAAGCATTCAGTTGAGCATTGACCTCTACAAGATGATCTGCCAAAGGCATATCGCCGTATGTAAAAACTTTGGCATTACTTGGATGGTAGTGATCGGCGTGGAAGTTCTTTAATTGCTCATATGTCAACTCGGTCATCTTTTGTGGATCACCTCCAGAGTTGTTGATGGCAGGGAAAATATGGTCTTGAAACCTGATGTAGTAAAGATATCCAGCGTCCGACATTTGTCCCTTCATCTCGTTGTACACAACACCTTTGAACACCAATTTGCTATCTTCAGGTTTGGCAGTGTCTCCCTCGATTGCCACTCGTGGGTTCTCGGGCCCTATTCTCCATCCCTCTTGTGTAAAGTCGCTCTGTTTCAATAGTGGATGCAATGTTGCATCAAGGTAAACAGACATGAGATTTTTGAAATCTTGTTCATTGGTGGTGGCGAAAGGATAGAATGTGTGAGAAGACGCAGTGAATGCATTCATGAAATTTGACAATGTTCTGGGTAACATTTTGAAGAAAGGATCACGAATGGGATACCTACAAACTATTCAGCGCGATCCAATGTAATATGGATAATAATAGAAGGGAAGGCAATTTACTTTTTGCTTCCACATAATGTTGTATGTTCCAATATATGAGGAACTCCAGTATCATCTGGAGGATTTGTTTTGAATCCAATAGAGAAGACATTATTCTTATCTTCTCTAGCAACATGTAAGTAGTCTGCGCCCGTCTTATCATGCTTCAAATGAAGTGCTGTCAACTCAAGTTCTTGAACATGTTTTGATCTTAAGAGTGTAAATCCATGAAGCTTTTCACCTGGCTTTGGATATTGGGCGAGTTCCGTCACACCTTTCTTTGCAGCTTGTCGTAACATATTTCTTATATCAATATGTCATCAAAGATACAAAAAAAGTGAGAGAGAGGTAATGAAAGGACGATGGAAGGAAGGGAAGGAACGTGGGTGAATTAATATGGTGAGGCGCAAAGGAATATGATTACTGATTTCACTATTGGAAGGTTCGCTTCAGTGAATTTTCGTGTTTTTGATTGCCCGATTGTCCGGCTCGGCCACACTAGCTTGCTTATACAGTCAACCTCGTAATATCTTATTTTGAGAGAGAACGTCAACGTGCAGAGAGGCAATACATGAAAAATCAGAAAATTGAATTGCGACAAAATTAGTCGTCGCACATAAACGAGAAGTACCTAGATACTCACACTTGAATTTTAACAATGTCGACTGGGGCAAATCCCACTTACGCACCTGGCCCTACGAATTCAAGAACCACCTCTATGAATGCGAACCATACCCATGCCGATTATCCCAATGGACATCATCACCATAACGATGCTGGAGTTAAGAAGGGAAAACAGAAGAAGGGGACGGATCCGAGTGAAGCCTCGAAACTCATTGCGGCCAAAATCTCGCAACTGGAACTAGATGCAGCTGGAGAGAAGGATCAAGAGGCAGAGATTGGTTCGTTTTGTCCGTTCTAGAAACTCCCTCCCTATTATCGATTTGCATGCTGCACCAGATTTTTGCTGTCGTGTGCATTGTCTACTCGAAATGCGTCGCGGTGGAAGGAGAGGGGTAAGCGCTTCGCTTCAGAACTGAATTATTGAGTGTGGTCTATTCAAGAATGAGGGGTGTCCTTTTTGGAGGGGGTTCCACGATAGATCGAAATGCCCCTGCTCCTATTTCTTCAATTTGGAGAGACCACAGGGCTGATATGCTCCTTCTGAAGTCCCCCGCGAGTGCATATGGAGGGGCAATGCGAGATTGAGACCTGCTTGAAAAAATTGCTAACGTATTGTGCTATCAAGAACGCGAAGTAAAAAAAGCGAATCGAGAACTGAATTCCTCAATATCCAAAATGGACGATCTGCAAAAAATCGAGACACTCCAAAAGAGAGTCACCGAACACCTTGCGGACATGAAACGACTGGAGCGAGATAATCAGAAAAATAAGAAGCGTGGTGATGTGCTGCAGAAGGAGAAAGACGTCGCGAGAACCGACCTTGGCAAAGCCGTCGTCCTCCGAGAGAAGTTGGAGAAACTCTGTAGAGAATTACAGAAAGAGAACAATAGACTCAAGGTGCGCATTCTGTTGGGTGCATGCGATTTTACAGATGCTAAGCGGGGTTAGGGTGAAAACAAAACTCTACAAGATAATGAAAAGATCGCCAAGGAAGAATGGGATCAGAAGTGTAGTGAAATTCTGTGGCAGTTCCAGGACTATCAGCATACAAAGGATAATCCAAAAACTGTGGTTATCAATCCTGAACTTGACGAACTGTAAGTTCCTCTATGCCATCGCTAGTCCAAGCACTAATGCCCTTGCAGTTTCAAAGCAAAGTTCAAGTCATTGATTGACCAGTACGAATTACGGGAGCTCCATTTCCATTCTCTTCTGCGTACAAAGGAGCTCGAAGTTCAGTATAATCTTGCTAGGTTCGAGCGTGAACGAAGAGCTGCTGAACAGGAGGTAAATCGGGCAAAACAGTTGAATCAGCAGGTTCTAACTTTTTCTAAAACCGAAACCGAGTTGCGAAATCAGTTGAATATTTATGTGGAGAAGTTCAAGCAGGTAGGACCTACTTTTCTACATATGATATTCGTTTTTTTGCTGCTATTGGATGCCTAGAGCTAATTGCCCGCCAGGTGGAAGATACGCTCAACAACAGCAATGACTTATTTCTAACGTTTCGCAAGGAAATGGAAGAAATGTCGAAAAAGACGAAACGTCTCGAAAAGGAAAACATGGCTTTGACTAGAAAGCACGAAGCTACCAATAAGAACATACTTACGATGGCCGAGGAGCGCACCAAGAGTTCCCATGAAATCGAGGCATTAAAGACGAGAAATGAAAAGTTGAGAGATATCATTGATCAGATGCAGAGGCAAGGACGAGGTCTTACCCAAGGCATGGCAGGGACCGTGGAAGGAGAGTATGCTGAAGGTGATTTAGAAGGCACGGAGAGCGAGTACGAGTACGAAGAGGGCGAGGACGAAGGAAGTGAGGGAGAATATGACGACGATACAGAGGAAGATGTTCACCCAGTGCCTCCAAGACCCTTTGGACCTGTACCACCACCTCCTCCGGCCTTGAATGGCATGGCAGCTGCAAATGGTGTGCACTGAGAATAGTAGCAAGGCCCGTCAGTTACACAATTTTGTATTACGATCTTGACATCCATTTCGCGATGCGTGGCTGTCTTATGTGTGCAAATAAACTAGCAAAGTTACTTCTATTGCGACTAAGCAGTCATCGACACTGGGAGATCCTCTCTACACACATGTATATGTACTAGCAGAAAAACAAGTAAATAGTCAATTTCGCTAGCGCGCAGGAACAATTAACTTTGAGCGATCTGGTTGACATTGTGTTCTGTCGATGCTGTCTACACGCCCCTTTGTGACGGAAAACAAACATGCTTATTCATACTCGCACAAAGAAGGCTCGTCCTTGTTCCATTTCTCGTCACATTGAAAAGATTGTTTCTCTCAAAATTTGATAACAGAATCTTTCACACAATGCAGAAGCTTTTTTGCTGTACCAAAATAGATTATAGACCAACAGATGCATTGGCATACAAAATTTTATGCTTCACAAATCCCTAAAACAATTGCTGTAAAGTTAAGTGGTATACCTGGCTGGTTATGAATGTCCTCTCTTCAACTCATGTAAATACGGATAGAACTGCGAGAAGTCTCGCTCAAATAAATGATACACATCTGAGTATAAGAAAAGATTCGCGTCACCCGCACCTGAGATCGGAGCCTAACGACCTCTGCTAACAAGAGATGGTTGTTCAAAGTGCACAAAGAGTTCTTCGTCAATCTGAAAGAAGTCTCCAATCCGTTACTTGGTCCAACGGATGGGATAACCTGGCAGGCTGGCCTCAGGTTATGGCCAGTTCCTCTGTTCAATGTTTGAACAATTGCGTTACGTGAATCTCAAGATTTTCGCAGCATTGTCCATGTTAAGAATGCACGAAATAATGCTAGATTAAGCAGTGATACTGTTCTCTCATTGGGCTTGTTGCTCAGGTATTGAAACAGGATTGAAATAGCACCTCCCATTCCACTATTTAAAGGGTCGTCTCTTTCTCTATCATTCAATTCCTCGTGCACTCATCTACTCCTCGAGCTTCATCTACAGACAATTCGATTAAGACTTTCAAGCAAGACTTTCAAGCAACAATCAGAATCATCAACCAGATCTTACTCGCAACCACTCAACAAGCAAGATGCCAGCCACAGCAGAACTCAGGACGCTTCTCATCAGAAAGGATAAAGTCGCTCCAGCTCCCGCATCCACCGCGAAACTCGCCCCCGGACAAATCCCCAACCACCTTGGGTCACCTTCGGAGGTGAAACTCTCGCACTATCCATCAATCTTGCCCAGAAGAAGTATCCCACAGACACCCAGGTCCAAGACTTCCACCGCATCGTCGAACTCTATTCGGTTTTCACTAAGACCTGCTTGGTCTCAGTAACACTTCCAGAGTACCGCTTCGATGTCGACAAGTCCAACCACAGCCACGTCTTCTTCAATCTCGTAACAGCCATCAATCAGTTCTCCCGCCTCGCTCGCTGCGAAGTCGTCTTTCGCATGCCGAACGAAAACTTCACGCAGCTCACCAACGCTTGCCAGTTCTACCGTCTCAACTTCAAACAATGGAAATTGTTTAGCAAGATCGGAACTCAACAAGTCGGACAAATCGCAGTCGGATCGAGAACGGATCGCAGATTGAATGGTTGGTTCAAAGTCAACATCGCCGGTTCTCCATGAGAACCCCACTTCCAAACTCCACCACCAGTCAGTCTAGCACAATGGTAATTTCTTCCATCTTTCATTTGTAACTCGAGAATCGCAGTATCAAGATCCACGGATCCAACACAATGGTAAGATCTTCCATCTTTCATTTTTAGTACAATATGGGATGCGGTAGGAGTTTTGCATTTGATTTCTTTCAGAAAAGCCAAAAACAACCCCCAGAACAACCTCAAAAACTCTGAAATCTCCCAAAAACAATCAACTATTTTTCTTTTTCATTATTTCCCTGTCTATTTCTTATGTGCTTCCAACGTTTCCTTCTTTTCCTTCGTTTTCGGTGTGCTATAGTGTCCGAGTGGTCATAATTAATAAGAGAGGGGCAAGTGATGATGAGATTGAAACTGCATTAACAGAAAACAGATCCAATTTGTTTGACTTGGTGTCTCAAGTAGGAGTCTTTGATATTCTTCTTGCTCTCAGAGCGCCCAATTCAATAATATCTCTACCAAAAAACCATGTGGTAAGTTTCACCTTGATTGATGAAGTGACTTCGGTGACGGCGGATTGATTAATACAAACAATAGCATTTCAGCAGGTATGAGATGACATGGCATTGAGTACTATAGAGTCGAAGATAGTTCTATAAGAGACTTATTCATCATTGACTAACAATTAACCACAAGCCAGGTATTGTAGCCCTAGTCGTATCGTCAGATCACATATCAGATTAAATATCGGGTATACCGTGAATCAGAACATAAACTACTAATTATCGGCCAAATTGACCAGTAAAAGGCATATCATAACTACACAATTCTTCCTCAAGACCTCATTCAAAACCCTACAACATCACACAATTAACAATCATCTTTTCCCCCTCCCTTGTGCATAACACGACGGCCCGTGTCGGCAAAACTCCCCACAAAAGCTTGAATGCGCCAGCCCCCTGTAAAACTACAGGCCGCGTATCTCCTTCCCTTTTGCGTGTGATAAGGACGGATTCTGGGTGATTCCATCCTCGCCATCCACTCCCACTTCTCTGCGCCAATAATCGTGCCAATGATTGCTGCGGGGATCAGAAATGCTTATCTGGATTTCTATTCATCTTGCGCACCTTCAGTCCTACTAGTATGTTATTAGTAAATCATTCAGTGACAATACCTGCGACCTACCTTTCTCCGCAATGCTACTCTGTTCCTGGATTTGTGATTGTTTCTCTTGGCTCTTTATCCACCAATCGTTGACGAGATGTGTCGTCTCAATGCCGAAGAATCAAGATATTGGGATTTGATGGAGGGGCGGAGGTGCTAATGTGCCTTGCAGCGGATCATGGTATCTCTGATAGGAAACTACTTTATCTACTCATCGCAGATATCGTTCTTCAACTGCCTTTTTGGATCTGTACCGTGCATGTGAAGAGATTTCCGCAGGGGAATGTGGGATTAATCTGATAGCGAAAGAGTGGTGCATGTATGATGCTATCATTTGCAGATATGCGCGCGTTATGGGGAAGGAGTATATGAAGAAGCCTTTGCTTCTCTTGGGTTTCTTCCTCTTCTCTTTTTCCTGTAGCATTCTTCCAAGTGCCAGCTTCTTTTCCATCTCCCGGATTTTCTCACTAGGACACCCTTCAAGATGTATTTCCCCGTCCTTTCCACCCTTACTACTCTTTCTCTCCTTTCCCTCACCTCCGCTCGCTCACTCCCCCGCGCTCCAAACTCAAAGATCTCTGTTCGTAGTGCCGTTCCTTCTAGACCAAGAAGTATTCCCGTCGTTACAGACAATGTCTTGGAACTTACCAAAAAGTCCACCGGAGGCTCTAAAGTCAGAAGCGCAGCTAGATTCTTGAAGAATTTGGATATTGTCAATGGAAGCTCAACTGCTCTTATTAGTTTATTTGAAGGAGAAGAATTTGCTACGGATATTACATTTGGAACGCAAACTTTTGAGGTTATGTGAGTACTTCTCAGGAAATAGTTAACTCGATGATTGGAAGATATCATAGACTAATTGTTCTCCTCTCATCTAGTGTCGACACCGGATCTAGTGATACTTGGTTAGCCGAGACTGGGTTTTCTTGTGTTAATCTCGATACCGGAAAGAGTGCCTCGGAAGCCACCTGTGCATTTGGCCCAACCTACACAAAAGATTCCACCTTCAAAGCTATCTCGGGCGAAGAATTTTCCATTACTTATGGCGATGGAGAGTATCTCACTGGTGTTCTTGGATCGCAGCCCGTGACTTTTGCCGGTATCAATGTAACCACCACTGTCGCTTTAGTCACATCTGCTGCATGGGAAGGTGACGGAACAACCAGTGGTTTGGTCGGTATGGCTTATCCCGGAATGTAAGTTTTCCCCAACAAACATTGAACAATACGAAGAAAGAAACTCATATTAACACCTCATCAGTACATCTGCCTACAAAGGTTCCACCCAAGTAGTCTACAACCCCATCTTCACCACCATGTACGAAGAAGAACTCGTCGACTCGCTCTTCAGTCTCGCCATCGAGCGCGACGTCTCCGGCCCCGCCGGCTACCTCGCTCTCGGCGGTGTCCCCCCCGTCGATTTCGTGCAAGATTTCGCCAGCACCCCCATCCTCGTAACATCCATCACCGGATACCCCAAAACATACGATTTCTACACCATTAAGATCCAAGCCGCATATCTAAACGGAAAAGCCATCTCCGGCGCGGCGACTCCTCAATACATTGTCGATTCGGGAACCACGCTTAATTACCTCCCTACCACGATGGCTAATGCTATTAACAAGGCTTTTGTGCCGGCTGCCGTGTACAGCAATGATGAGGGCGCCTATGTCGTTTCTTGTACTGCTGTTCCACCTGTTTTTGGTATCGAGATTGGCGGTACAGTCTTCTATACTAATCCTCTCGATATGATTCTCTACGCTGGTACTGATGATGATGGAAACGATGTTTGCATTAGCGGTATTGATGATGGTGGAAGTGATACTGCAGATGATTTATACATTTTGGGCGACACCTTCCAGAAGAACGTCGTTACCGTTTTTGATGTTGGGGCTGGCGTGTTGCAATTCGCTGCTAGGGAAAACTATACCAGTAATGATACTTACTAGGTGGAGCAAAAAGAAGGAGAAGTGATTGAAGGGGGGAAAGCTGCCATTTTGAAGATTAGAATGAGCACAGTTGAGAGGTTTGATGATTCTATTGTACATATTTAAAAGCTGAAGTGAAGATAATGAATTTATGAAGGTACAACCCATAATGGAGAATATAGATGAGAGCGATGTTTAGATTATTCCTGAACACACAAAAGTGATACGCAGCCTTGAAGAGGAGCCCGTTGTGCCTTCTACGAGAGTAGAAAGCTTGCCCAATGCCATTTGGCGTTAGAATTTTGAATCTTGAGAGAGGTGTACAATTTGCTAGATTCGAAATACAATGCATCTTTCTGAAAACGATTAATAAAAGAAACATGTGTAAAGATGATATTTCAACTTTGATTTGTCCTTATCCTTACTGAGCCCAAGAACTCCTTAGAATTTGCGATTCTAACATTTTCTGATCATTGATATGGGACCCAGCCAATCTCATCGATAGGTGCCTGAACCCATTGTCTGTGTTCTTCATCCAAAAACTGATAGATATTGGCCATTAAATGATTGCTCCATCCTTCTATCCACCAGAGATTTTCCAGCTTCCTAAAACACACAACTGAATATGCAAGAATTGCTAATGCTTCTTGGGTACCATCATTTAGACGACTCAAGTACTCATCAGGAACACGGAAAAGCCAGATAAAAATGTCCCCCGTCTCATATTGCTCAGCTGGACACTTGTACATGAATTGATACGAAAGTTCCAAGCCGCGGATAGCTTCGGTATATATTTGTACTTCATGCTCATCGGGTACTGTGGTTTCGATTGCAATTCTTAGGTGACCTAGATGTTCAACTTCATCATCTGCGTATGTTTGACGTAACATGACTCTTTCTTCTCTGGCTTTGAACAGGGTGTTCAAAGGCCCTGTTAGAAGTGCGTCTTTGAATTGATCGATAATAGCGGTTACACCGCGAAATAGCACAAGCCATGAGGTAATTCCATTATCGCCGACAATTACAAATTCATCAACACTGCGAGGTCGACCTAATGTGTGCATACCGGTGAATATCGAGAAGACATGGAGCGCTGCACAGGTCTCAGTGGTAATGTGAGGAATGAACGCAGTGCCTTGACGGAGTGCTGCTTCATGTTGCTGCTTTGAATACTCATGAAGTTGTTGACTCCGATCAGGCCTGTTGCGAGCCATGTGGAGGGCCGATAGAGCGAGTAGCGCACGCATGACGAATTCGTGCCGAAGTGCAATCTCGACAATCGTGGTTTGATATATCTTTCTTACCACAGGATTGGAGTTAAGTGAGTTGCTTGTTGACACGACAAAGTTGTTGAAGACCTCCAAATCCATAAGATTCAGATAGGGGTCTTGGCCCTCGACAATTCGACCCAGCACATTATTTGGAGCTGAAACTGAAGTTGATGATCCAGGAGAGGAGAGCGGTGTATTCTTCGCCGAAGTTGCTGCATCCGCTTTTGAATAATCACATTGTACTGAATGCTTGATACAATTCAAGCAGCTAGGCTTTCCTTCGCCACACTAATCGATGAGTTAGCCACTGTTCAACTGAGGTCTATCAACACTCGAGTGAGGGCAACAAGAAATTGACACTAAAGATACACAATGTCAAATGGACTGTTTGTAGGATATGAAATGAAGACTTGGAACTTACCTATGTGTGTACTGCTGCCGGCTTGGGCAGAAGGATGCAAAACGGATCAGTCAAACGGCAGCTTTAACTAACCTTAATCTTTCTCCTCTTACAATTATTGCACCCCGTCCTCGTTTTCCGGTGAGAGCGACGAGAAGAACTGAACATTTTATCGGGTCTTGTGACATCATTATCCATCGTTCTGGTTACAGAGTTATCATCAGTCCACTCTCGAGTCTGGAATTAATGCTTGTCGTTGATGGGGAACCTCGGTGTGGGTGCGATGTAGATCCCCGAGTATGTATCACTCTGCTCTGATTCCTCGTGAAAGCCCAATAAGCTCTTATATGTATATATATATATATACTAATCACAAGATGGGTCCAACACCTTTATTAATACAAATACATCCAGAATGTAGCCGTTGATGAAAAATGAGTAGCTAAAACCAAATCGGGGATTTCGGCAGCAGTAGTAAAGTCCGAAGAACAATGCAGCAATGCTTTAATGTTCCTCTTCCGGGCGATGATCTATTTAGGTTTATTTGAGATGTTAACCTTAATAGATAGCTGCTTACTGTTCACTGGAAACATCGAACAGATAATTCATATATAAGCCTGCTTGCATGGAGTACTCAGTATACTCACTCACTCACTCTACTGTCATCCTGGTGAACGTCGACTTAAAGATTGGGAACATGCGAGTGAGTAAGTATCTGTGGGTGGACAGCACAGCATGGCAGTAGCATCGTGTCGCACAGAACCAAGCGGGGTTGGTCTGAGAGTGAAAATACCAATTACCTGCCCGTATTTAAGGTTATGTACCTATATATGGATGGAGTAAAAGGGTTGAGGCTGATGTTCAATACCTATTCCTGGATCAGATAGGATAGGTAAATTCCAAGGTTGTTCCCGATTTTCATAGAATCTTATTATTTTCACAAAGTTCTAAGAACGGAACATACAAAAAGCGGCGATTAAGTTGATCCGGATAGAGACCGAAAGGGGCTGTACCGGTACGTATTGTCAGTAGGTGGGCCATATGGAAGAATGACCTATAGGGCTGACAATATAAGAATTGATTGATCCTATTTTGAGCTTTGTTGCGGCAGCTTGATTGTTGTGATTAATTGATTCGATTCTTCTGTCCAACTTTCTCAAGATTTGATATGTTTTCGACGGATAATCGGAAGATGACATCTCCAAAGCAATTGCTTGGCTGTTTGTCTCTCACTGACGTCAAGCGGATAACTTGGTGATATTCTCTGTCGGGTACGAGGACAGAGGAAGTTATGTTGTATGTTACGTTACAAGCCACAACCATACAACCACATCGATAACGCATTATTTTCAATTCCAAGCTCGTTCGTTTTCTTGATCCATTATATACCGTTTATCTTCAATATTCACATCTACGCGTGTTGGCAAGTTCTCACAGCATTGCCAGCCTTCAATTGACTCGGTTGGCACTCCTTCCACCCAACAATCCTCTTGTTGGTTTCATATCTCGTTGAGGGCTGAGTGACGGACTGACTGACTGACTGACTGACTGACTGACTGACCACAGACTCCTCCAACATGTCATCTCAACCCTCGACCATCGATCAATTGAAGAGTACAGCTTCTTCCGCATACGAGACTGTAGCCAACAGTGTATCTGCGATTTCTAAAGATGGTGTTTATGATCCTGACCAAGACAAGAACATGGTTGGAAAAGATGCACACGGGAACAAGTTTAGGAAGGGCGATTTTAAAGATAAATTGAATCAAGCTGCTTGTGGGGGACAACCAGAAAAGGAAGGAGAAAGCCTGACAGAGAAAGGTAGGCAAATAATTCAGCATTGCTGGTCAGGCTGAACCATGAAATCCCGACGGCAGACCGCTAATGATGAAAGCATTTTCGTGGATACCAGGCATAAGCGCATTGCAAAAATCAACTTTGGAACAAGGACCAGAGGATACAGCCGTGAAGGGCAATGAAGCACCCCCAGTTCGGCCACAACACGATGTGCCAATTGAACAATTTTTGAGAAAGCAATATCATAGCAGAAGCGGAGATGGGATCCCAAACCCCGAGGAAAGTAATTGATTGTCCTTGGGCTTCGATCACCGAAGCTTTACGAACACGCACAACATGACAGGAAACACGGAATGCGTATTACAACGATAATATCGTTTGGACAAGGCGTTTGGAAGAGTTCTGAATGGAACTTGTCAAATTATATGGAAACGGCATGAATGGGTGGCGTACACAGCTGAGCGTAGCTTAGTAGGCTGCAGTTCGTATTTCCTCTATGGTACAAGATATTTTGTGGATATCCGCATGTGTCAATGCCTGTCATCAATAGTGATTCACCGCAGCTTTGGCCAAATTGTTCCGAGAGCAACACAATGGAACCCGTAAACACACCCAACTCCTTACATACTTATGCCTATTTTTATTCTTTTGGCGGCTGCTGCCAGTGCTCAGTCCCTGTCGGCGGGCCTTGGCAGATGGCGATCAGTAAAAATCTCAATCAAACATTGAAGCCATCCACAATTTCTCCTATTCCAACGGTACGGAGTACCATGGTTTGGCATCAAAGTGACTTGAATCATGACCTTTCAGGAGAGCCAAGATGTGGTGTTCTTAAAAGCACATATTTCCCTTCATTGTTCAAGTTTGACATCACTCTTCGTCCGGACTTTTTCCCTCTTGATTTTTTTACCTGACTAGCCATCTCTCCCCACCAGAAATCGCAAATTCGCAATGTATCGGACGAATCCACAAATTGTAAGCACGCACAAACTAAAATTTACTTCAGTCTTGAAAATTCTTAGAACTGTTGCGACAATCACGTGAAGTACTTCTGTCAAAAGATCATGTTGCTAACACGATTTCTAGCATGGCTTTCGAATCATCATGGCCCGGATCATATTTGGCTTGTTAGTTATCCCGCTGGCTTCCTCATACCCATTTGCTGGAGTCGAAACCCGCGCTTCAAGCATTCAAGACTGCTTGACTCAGCACTCTGTTCCATATCAAGATAGTACCTCATCTTCATGGGCTACAACTATTTCCCCTTATAATCTTCGGTTACCATACACCCCGGCTGTTGTCACTTTACCTACCACCTCACAACATGTCAGTGACGCAATCACTTGTGCGGCCGCTGCCGGACTTAAAGTACAGGCTAAATCAGGCGGACATTCATATGCTAGCTATTCAACTGGTGGTAAAGATGGAAGTCTTATCGTCAGTCTTGAGAACTTCAATTTTATAAGCGTTGATGCTCGTAAGTTCGAACGATATCTTGAATCTGCGTTCTGAACAACGTCTAATCAAACATGTTCTAGAAACAAACATTGCTACTGTTGGAGGAGGTGTACGTTTAGGAAATCTCGCTCTTGGACTCTACAGTCAGGGCAAACGAGCTGTTCCACATGGGACATGTCCAGGGGTTGGAATAGGTGGACATTTCACTCATGGAGGTTATGGATACGCATCTAGATTTTGGGGTCTGGCTCTTGATACTATCGTTGGTCTCGATGTGGTTCTTGCCAATGGAACACAAATCCACACGACGGCCACAGCTTATCCCGATGTTTTCTACGCAATGAGAGGAGCTGCCGATTCGTTTGCTATTGCCACAGCTTTCTACCTCCAGACTTTTGCGGCTCCACCGTCTGTTCTTACTTTCGCAGCTAGTATTCCTGCAACACTAGATAGTGTCAGCACTGCTGTCTCGTCCTTCACCAAACTCCAAGAACTTACTCTCGACTCTACCAAAATTCATAAAAATATCACATTAGGTATTTACATCGACAACTATGGATCATTCAGTCTTAGTGGCTGGTGCATGAGCTGTGATCAGAACCAATTCGAGAGCGTCACTTTTCCAGAGATATTGTCCGCTTTTCCCACTGCCGGCACTAGCAGTGTTAAATCTCTAGGATGGACAGATGCTCTAGTCAGTGCAAACAATGGAGGACAGCTTCAGGAACCATTAACTGGATACGTTGCTCACGATACATTTTATGCCAAATCTGTGGTTACGAAAAATGCAGAGCCGTTGACTTCCGCTCAGTTGACTAGCTACTTCACTTACATTCTGAATCAAGGAAGAAGTGCTCCTTCTCCTTGGTACACTATTATTGATTTGTATGGAGGTGCCGATAGTCAGATCAATGTGCCTTCTTCTGATTCTTCGGCATACTCTGATCGTGACGCTCATTGGGTCTTCCAGGTAAGTCTCCCTTCCTCAACAAACAGGATTATTTGCACACCTGACTAACATTTGACAGAACTATGGCTTTACATCCAACTCTTTGCCACCATATGATGACGCTATAACACCCTTCGTCGACTCTCTCAATAGTGCTCTTTCAGCTGGTGCATCTAGCGATTTTGGAGTATATCTCAATTACGTAGACCCAGAACTAAGCGCAAACGATGCCGCGATGCTCGGATACGGACAAACTGCCTACAACAAATTATTAGCCATTAAACAAAATATTGATCCCAACGAAGTGTTCTGGAATCCACAGAGTATAGGCGCTGCTGATGATAATACTGGAAATAGTGGCAGTGGATCCACAAGCTCAGCTACGTCTACATCTACATCTGCACCAACATCTACATCTGCGACGTCAAAAGCTACTGCAACATCGTCGTTGAAAGTCTCAACTGATGCCTCGTGTGGTAATGGGTACACGTGCCAGGGAAGCTCGTTTGGAAACTGCTGTTCGCAGTATGGATGGTGTGGCAGTACGAGTACGTACTGTGGAACTGGGTGTCAAATTGGATTTGGAACTTGCTCGTGAGGAGAAAGGTTCTTGTGGGGGTGATTGGAATGAGTTATAAGACAAAGGATTGAGATTAGAATCTAAGCTGGGAGAAGTAGAAAAAAAAGCAGTAATGTTTAGATGATAGATGATATGCCGCGAGGTATCCATGGATGAGATATGATGGCGTTTGAAAAGGATGGCATGGTAATATTTTAATGGGTATTCTTGGGATTTGGAAAATTAGTTCTCACAGAAATATAGAAAATAGAAGAGAAAGATTTAATACCTTATATTGTGATTATGGAGAGGATAATAATATTTTGGGACTTTATTCCGAGCAAGTAAAGTGTATGATTCATCTACTGGACTTTTATAACAATAAAAGGGGAGCTATTCTTCAGAGTAGGGTAAAACTATACATTGAAAATACTGGGGTGATATCTTGGTATCGGAAAGAAACAATAATATGCTTTTGAATGTAAAGAAAGAAGATGAGAAAAAAATGATTTTAAAGCTCTTGCATACTCTTTTTTTTACAACTTTCAAATAGAAAAATTAATTACTTGATTTAATATTTTATATTCAAAAGAGTATAAATATTCCTTCAGTACATCGCTTTTGGCTTGTTTAATTAGAGCGGGGTCCAAATGTTCCATAGTCTTGTTTGTACCTAGCTTATGGAGTATTGATTTGGCGGATAAGTATCCGAGAACCCCCACGAAACAAAAACAAAAATGGCAAGTAGTCCGAACTGCTGCATATATAAACGTCATGTTTGGTCTGGTGTTGGGGTGAATTATGAGGGGTATTGATATTGGATGGATCCATTTATATGGTTCTTTAAATGGTGGGTTTGGTAGGGGGAGGTTCATCGTGAAGACTTCACATTACCCCTCTTCAAGTTTAAGTAGCATTTCCTCAATTCTTGTTCTTCCGATTCATCTATTGTTCATTCCACATTGTCAATATGCCTTCATATGATGAACCAGTCGTGGCCTTCATCGGTCTTGGAGCTATGGGGATGGGCATGGCTACAAACCTGCTCAAAACATTCTCTGTCACTGGCTTCGATGTCTACGAACCCACGCTCGAGAAATTCAGATCCGCGGGCGGAAACACAGCTACCACACCTCGATCTGCCGTCGCCAAGGCAAAATACGTCGTGATCATGGTAGCAACCGCTGCGCAAACACTTGCGGTTCTTTTTGACGATGTCACTGGAGCTATTCACGAATTACAACCGAATGCTACGATAATATTAAGCTCCACCGCTTTCCCCGAACACGTACCGGAAGTTAGAGAACTACTCGATAATAAATATAACAGGAAAGATGTGGAATTGGTAGATGCACCTGTATCTGGAGGGACCGGCCGAGCAGCTCTTGGTACGCTCGTAGTTCTTGCTTCTGGGCCGGAGAAATCGCTGGGAGCCGCGAACCCGGTGTTGGACGCCATGGCAGATCCATTGCATATAATCCCTGGTGGTTTGGGGGCGGGTACCAAGGTTAAGATGGTACATCAAGCTCTCGCGGGTATACATATGATTATGGCATCAGAAGCCATGGGGTTTGCTGCATTCTTGGGTCTCAACACCAAGCAGGCTTTTGACTATCTTGTCAAATCATCTGGTGAAAGCTGGATGTTAGGAAATAGAGTACCGCATATGTTGGAGAATAATCTTCACCCGTTTTCGGCTTTAAACATTATTGTTAAAGATATGGGTATAGTGACAGCCGATGGCCGTAGAGTCAAATGCCCACTTTTCCTTTGCTCTGCAGCTGAGCAAGTATTGGCGTCCGGCGTACGTTCCGGGTTTGGTCTAGATGATGATTCTGGACTTGTCAGAGCTTATATCCCCACTCGGCCAAGTCTTGTCTTCGAACAGACTACGATCTCTACTACAAGTGCGGATGACCCGAGATTGAAGCTAGTTGAAGATATACTAGCAGGTGTACATTTAGTCGCAGCAGTAGAAGCAATGGCTTTTGGTCAAGCTATAGGTCTAAACACCGGGATGCTATACGATGTAGTAAAAGGGGCGGCTGGAGCAAGCGCCATGTTCGTAGATAGAGTGCCAGCTTTGTTAAGTGGAAAGTGTGCCTCGAAATCCTCTATTAATGATGTTATTGCTCGTCTAGTAAGTAATTTCCAAGAACCCCTCGAAATCATACCACGTGAGTATATGGTGCTCACAATCAAACAGAATATAGCAATCGAGGAAGCGAGCCGTCTCAGATACCCTTTACATCTCACAGCCACAGCGCTACAGATATTACAATTGGCGAGAACTCGAGGTTCCGGTAATGAGCCTGATGTAGCAGCTGTGAGAGTATGGGATGGAATCGTCACATTTCCCATACCTGGCTTTGCATGAGGAAGTAGCTTCATCAAGGAGCGATATCTGAGCTTTGACGGCAATAATAGAGATCGTTCTTCCTGGACACTAACATGAAGTTAATCTGCATAGAATAAGGTTTGGATGGCTGTAGATGTAGTCAAATTAACTTGCTTCATTGGCAAATATTACGTGGGAATCTCCCCGCACTTTATGCATCATCTCGTTCCTGCAGAAACTAGTAACTTTGGCTCCTGCTGTGAGTTGTTTCAACCAAGTATATCTCCGAAAGTTAATTGTGTCTCCAAATCTTCATAAGCGGGGAAGCTTCGTATTAAAGAGGATACTAAATTCAGAAATATCGACTGTGATTGTTCTTGATAGTGTCGAGGTTCCAGATCTTATGACATGTTTATCCGGTGTCTTTTACAACACGACTCAATACCACGATGCAAGGGCCCGTCCGTCCGCACACCCGCACCCCCCAAATGCCTTCCCACCTCTTAGTCTACCACCAAAAACGGTAGATCACTATAGCTCAAGTGCTACTTCTAGTACAGCGCACTTTAAGTTTCTGGGCACATGGATCCAGGAACGGCTTGGAAATCATCAAATGGGTTGTATTTTGCGGCAATGCTGCGGTAGCGATATCCTCCCGTTTCTTAGCTAGGCAACACGGAATCCAATTATGTGAGCTTGGCTTCGTCTCTTCCAAATGTGGTTTAGCGCTGTTCGCAAGGACGTCTTGGAAATAGAGCGGATATTTTGGTGAGGCTTGGAAATGCTGCTAAATATCGCTGTAGCTGTGCTTTCTCGGTTATTGCTGCTCACTTTGATGATGGTTTGCTCGCCGTCGGAAAGCTACATCGCTTCTTGGTAGGTTGGCACAACCGTATTTCTAGTTTTAATCCCGTGTGGAGAGGCTTAGTATGGGGATTCAGGCACGAGTGGTTCTTCGTGCTCCTTGACTAAGGGTAATTCCATCGTATGATCTCATACCTAGCAATCGTCTTGGACGTGGAAATATGTCTATAACTTAAAGATCATTTCCCCTTTAATATGCATTTATCTTGAGAACTGTACATACTCCTCTCGGTGATCACAAAGATGCATTTCAAGTCTTTTTTATATGCCGCCGCTGCAATCCCTCTGAGCATTGCTGCCCCCACAAGCGATGGCCCAACAAAGAGAGCAGATACTACATTCGACTATGTAGTTGTTGGCGGTGGAACTGCAGGGTTGACAATAGCCTCACGGTTATCCGAAGATCCAGGGACCACAGTAGCAGTAATCGAAGCCGGAACTTTCTACCAGGTAAGTACAAACAAACATCTTCATCACGAGATCATACATTTGCTAAACATATTTAGATCACCAATCCCGCACTCAGCTCAACTCCAGCTGGAGACTCCTTCTGGGCGGGCTCTAGTCCAGCGGATACCAATCCGCTTGTAGATTGGAAATTCGTGACGACACCCCAAGCTGGTGCAGCGGGTCGCTCGATTTCATATGCCCGAGGAAAATGTCTCGGTGGAAGTTCAGCGAGGAACTTCATGATATATCAGCGTGGTACCACGCAGTCGTATCAGAAATGGGCTGATGCGGTGGATGATCAATCGTATACTTTTGATGGGCTATTTCCTTTCTTTCAGAAAAGTGTTCGGTTCACTCCTCCGGGATCGAGTCGGGCATCTAATGCATCTGCAGAATATAGCGCTGTGAGTATATCTTATTCATCAATCTCTTCGTGGAGAATGCTGACTGACATCTCTAGTCTGCATATTCGTCTTCGGGAGGGCCGCTGGAGGTTTCGTATGCTAATTATGCACAACCTTTTTCGAGCTACATGGAGGGTTCCCTAGGCGAAATCGGAATAAATGATATTCAAGATTTCAACACTGGTTCCCTCATGGGCAAACAGTATTGCAGTTCTACTATTGATCCTTCCAGCCAAAAACGAGAGTCATCTCAAACAGCCTACTATGACTCCACAGTGCAGAAACGCTCAAATCTCAAAGTCTATTCACTCACCACTGCGCAAAAGGTTCTCTTCGATAACGACAAGAAAGCCACCGGTGTCAGCGTCACATCACTCGGTATCATCCCGTACACAATCAATGCCCGGAAAGAAGTCATCATGTCAGCCGGTGCCTTTCAAAGCCCTCAACTTCTCATGCTCTCGGGAATCGGCCCCAAAGATACACTAGCCAAATGGAACATCCCAGCGATTTCCATCCTTGAGGGCGTGGGCCAAAATATGTGGGATCACGTTTTCTTCGGTCCTACGTATCGTGTCAAAGTGCAAACATTGACCAGACTTGCCAACGATCTCATCTACACCGCCGCACAATTCATAGGACCCTATTTAATCCAGAAAATCGGCCCCCTAACCAACCCCATCTGCGACTACCTCGGCTGGGAAAAACTCCCCAGTTCCCTCCGCAACACTTTCTCCTCCTCCACCCTCAACGATCTCGCTCAATTCCCACCCGACTGGCCCGAAATCGAATACCTCTCCGGCGCCGGCTACGTCGGCGACTTCGCCAGCCTCCCCACCACCCAACCCCGCGACGGCTACCAATACGCCACCATCCTCAGCGCCCTCGTGGCGCCCCTCTCCCGCGGAACCGTCACCCTCGCCTCTACCTCCGCCTCCGACCTCCCCATCATCAACCCCTCCTGGCTCACCTCTCCCACCGACCAAGCCGTCGCAGTCGCAGCCTACAAACGCACGCGCGCCGCCTTCTCCTCTAAATTCATGGCCCCCGTGCTCATCGGACAGGAGTATTTCCCCGGCCCCTCCGTCTCCAGCGATGCGCAGATCCTCGAGACGATTCAGAAAACGCTGCATACGGTATGGCACGCCGCGTGTACGTGTAAAATGGGGGTTCAGAGCGATCCCATGGCGGTGGTGGATAGTAAAGCGAGGGTTTTCGGCACGCAGGGCTTGAGGGTTGTGGATGCGAGCGCGTTTGCGATTTTGCCGCCCGGTCATCCGCAGAGTACGGTGTATGCGCTTGCGGAGAAGATTGCGGCGGGGATTAGGAATGGAGATTAGAGTTTGGTGTGGTGATGGTGATGATGGAATCTAGGTTGGTGGAGTAAAGGCGTGTGGTTTCACTTGGTTATTCACGAACTCTTCCATATCTGCCTTACCTATGTATAAAAGCTTATTCTAGACTTGTGTATTTTACACGTCTGAGTAAAGCCTTAATTTCATGTATATATTTATGACCATAATCCGTCTTCTAAATAACGCACAATATAATATCCTGTAGACTATCAAAGGACATATCAACCCATTGAAAATGCACATCAAAAACTTTTAGAAGAGGAAATTGCACATCTGTTAATACTTCTCTACACATCGTAGCAGTTCTCAAAAATCCAGCATTCCATACGAAGAATCGAGATTGCCAAACTACTAATGATGGAGGAAAAAGAGAGTAAACCAGAAGCGAATACCAAGGAAACAATAACCTAGTATTGAGGCAAAAAAAAAATCATACAGATGTGTTCTGCATAAGCAGACACTTGATTGTTATAATACAACCCCTGTTTCTGGTCCTAACGCAAGAGATAACTGAGTGTACAATAGTATGTGAATATCTTTGTTCAAGTACATTGCATGTTCTATTCATCATATATATTCCGTATGTCCAAATGCTATTGTTTCAACGAAAACATCCATCGTGCTAGAAGTCAGGTATGCCACTATAACTTGCTGTCTATTATCTCTTCGCATGTAAAGCTTTCATGATTCTCTATTCTTCATCATCTTCGATTGCCTGCTCTAATGGTTCTCCTGGCTTTGTGAATCTATCCGTTGATCAGTATACTTCCCTAGGCCGTCTTGTAAAATATTGGTGAAAAACTTACTTATTAACTACTCTCTCGATGCCATCCAATCCCATCTTCAAAGTTTCCATAGTTGGACCGTAGGAGAATCTGACAAAATGGTGACAAGGACTATCAAACAAATCTCTTCTCTTACTTGGGTTCAAATCGAAAAAGATACCTGGGACGACAATGACACGCTCCTCAAGACATGCTTGGAAGAAGTTAAGACCATCGGAGATTGCAGCCGGAAGTCCTTCGAGATCTGTAGTTTCATCAAGTTAACTTTTTTGGGTCCAAAGAATGTTGGCGTTAGTTGACTCACCCAACCACAAGTAGAAGGTACTATCAGGTACTTCCTTGATCTTGAAACCCATTTCACGAAGACGGTTGATAACATAATCACGCTTGTCACGGAAATGGCTTTGCAGAGCCTTCATTTCCTCCCTAACCTTGTTAGGCTCAAGCATAGGAATAGCAGCCTCTTGGAAAGGAACATTGGCACCACCATCAAGGTATGAACCACATGAGCCGATGGCTTTGATAAATTCCTATTTCACCATTAGTATGACTGGCGATACTTGAGAGATAGAGAGCAAAACAAACCTTTGGTCCGACAATCCACGCAATTCTCCATCCAGGTAATCTGAAGCGCTTGGTGAGACCATCAATGATCAAAACATCATCCTCATCCACATTTCCAACATTCTCAGCGGCACTGATTGTGGTACCATCGCAATCACTGGTGTAGTTATAGCCTCCATAGAACTCATCCATAATGAGAGTGGCTCTATCTCTGCAGATATCTTGAATTTCAGCAAGCTCAGGGTTCTTGACAACCTTTCCGGTAGGATTTCTAGGATTTGAAGTCAAGATAACTGAGGTACCACGAGAAATCTCCTCCTCAATTTTGTTAGGGTGGATGTGGTAACCATCTTCTCCAGAGAGAGGGGATGGAATTGCCGCAAACTAATCGAAGTAAGCTTTCAAGTATTCGTTTCATTAAGTGGAGAAAGGGGGTGACTTACATTCTTGAATAATGACAACATCTCGTTGTATGCAGTATAATCAGGAATGAAGAAGCCCAAATAAGCATTATTCAATACTGCGGCAATTCTGATCAATCCAGCACGACCACCTGGAACAATGCACACATTCTCCCAAGTATATTGACTTTCTTTGCCCTCTCTGTGATGTACATTGTACAAGTTTGCAACAGCGGCTCTCAAACTCTTAATACCAGCTGTAGGACCGTACTCTCTGCCTGCCATTGTAATATCGATGCTCTCGGGACGCTTGAAACTGCCAGCGATTTCGTCGTCGACTTCAGGAGCTCCCTGTCCAAGGTTTGCCCATTTCTCAGGCTCCTCAGCAAATCCATGCTCATAAGCTCTTTCGGTGCACCAGACTACACCAGTAGAGGCACGGGTAGGATCAAGTCCTGCGTGAGTTTTGTGGCCTTCGTGAGCATTGCGGAATTGCTTGTGAATCTTGGAGTCCATTTCTTCGTTCATGGTCAGTTAAGTTCTAGAAAGCAAGTGAATAAACAGTGCGACTTCCTCTATATGCATAGAGAGATTTGAATATGATAGTACATAGACATCTTTTACAATTTCTGCCCCGCAATCCCCAGCATTTTTTTAATCTCCCCCGAAATTGTGCCGTCCCAAAAGAGCTACTGCTCCCGAAGAAGATGGCTGTATCGCAAAGAGATGCTATGGCTCTCCGGGATTATAGATGGTTTCTGTAAGAAACGTTGAGAAACAAAGTCAAGAACTTACCATTGGCAGAAGGATCATGAGTAGAAAATCTTCTGTTTGGCTTGGACGACAATCTTGGAGCTCCAGTGGACCTATTCATGGAAAACTTTCTGTTGTTAAACGCCATGTTGTCTATTGTTTCTTCTTAAGGTGATGTAGTTGTATTGGATTCAATCAAAGGTTGAGAGCTCTTCCGCAATCTTATAAACAGTCAGGTTGTATTCGTATGTACAAGTTAGTACAAGGCTGAGGTGAAGTGAATGATTAAGAATGACTGAATGGCACCGTTCTTCGATCTCTTTTAGTAAAATGGAGGAAAACAAGCTCTTAAGAACAAGAGCGGAGAAAGGAGAAGGAAAGTGGGGTGTACAGTTCAGTTGGAGAGAAAATGGAGCAAGTATATAAAAAAAGGATCAGAGTAAAAAAAATTGGGTTGATTGGGTTCTCAATTCTGCCGTTATGTGTAACTCTGACCAAAAAATTAGTGGTCGCGGGGCGATGAACAGGGGATACAAGGGAAAAGCTTGTTTTCTTCCGCCTTATCGATTACGCAGCACAACCCGAGAAAAATCGAGAATGAGCCATTTGTCTGGAATATCGGTGTAGATAACGTACCTAGGGAGCTGTTCCCCCATACACCGTTCTTCACATACGATGTAAAGCGTTGCAACAAATATCGACGCCATGAATGTCTCACTTATGACATACGAATTTAATATAAAATCTGCCGTCTTCTATCCAGCCCAGGTACCCTCTCTCGAGCCTACAAGTACAACCCCACTGTAAAAGCCCCCGAAGCCCCCCCACGAGACTAAAAGGTTTAGAATGATTGGTGCCACCAACAAATATATCCACCCAGATGCTGCATCACGAGCCCGGGATTTTTTGGGTGTCTGGAATCTGGAATCTGGAATCTGGAATCTGGATACGACGTCAAGGCTAATCTATCCTGCAAAGCGTAGCGAATCGCTTAGTGTAGATATCGCGTGCAAAGGCGATCGTCACCGTTGGAGGAAGGCGAAAAGCTGCCCCTTCATCAACTTTCTTATAAATTTAGAGCCATCAATAAGTTATATTGAAACAGGTATGGTAAAGTACATTTTGATTCTACAGGTGGATCTACGAGGATGAAAAAAACAAACTAATAAAGACAAGGAACTATTCGACTCTTAAGAAATATCAGCTGCTGAAGCATCATCTTCTAGCATTTGCTTGAAGGAGAATGGTTCGAAAGGTATGCCATCTCCCATGAAATGCTTGCTCATAGCTTCGACCCAATGCAAACGAAGACTGTGCAACATTGCACTAGTACCTTCCATAACAACCAATACGGCAATTGTGAGGAAAAACCATGCAGTGAATGTTACCACGACCATGAAGACACCTGCAACACCGGTCATGTGAAGACCGATAGAAAGGGTCATATCCCACAACACAACGGAAAGTTGTTGATGCGCAAGGGACAAGGCCCATAGACGAAGGTATGAGGCGGTGTGAGACACACAATTCAAGCAGAATTCTGGGCAATGTTAGTAATGATAAAATTATGGGAGTGAGAAAACGTACCAATTGTATGAATAACCTGATGAATCATGACTTCAGAAAACTCAAATTCCTCATGTTCTTCATCTCCAATATCTTGTGTAATCATAGCGACACCTTCACCTTCGCTATTCATACTTATTCTACCGTCCAAAGTGTGGTCATCATCATCGTCGCCATCAAGTGCGCTGACTCGGGATGTTTCACCAATGCCTCTGTAACCTCTTCCTCGTGCTTTGTTGTGTTCCCATCGAAGATAGAATGGTTTGAGTAGTAGTAAAATTGGCACTTGGACAACAGCAATGAGAACAAGGCAGATTTGAACAAATCCTTGGCCAGAGTAAAGCTGCTCTTCGATGGTTCCGGGCGACAAGAACATGTAGATCAACATATTCAATAGACCTGGAGGCGATTCGCCAATAGCCTGCCAGTCTATTGACCATTTGTAGACAATGGCAAAAACAAGGTAACCAAAAATAGCTTGGAAGAAAATCATGCCTGGGACGAACACGCCCCAAATATCAATAGGAGTCTTGAAGTGACGGGCATTGATATAGGACAAGCACAATGAGTAGGTCATGTGGCACCAACCCATCAAGATACTCAACTTCATCTTGTAACTGTTGGTAAACAGGAGGTCGTTTTCCGTATCATGCCACATCCAATCGAGGCCGAAAGGATATCGGTATCCTGTTGGTTCCTTAAGATGAGCCTCAATAGAGTCGGGGTAATTCTCTGACCAAGCCCAAGCACTTGGAAAGAATGAGAACGACTTGGAGAATACATCATTGTAGATGAGACCAGTGTACATAGAGAAGATACCCATCATTAACATGATGTATCGACCATAGAAAGCCATTGAGAAAAGTTCATCGCGAACTTTCTTCAATGATTTCTCCCAGTAGATCATAGCCGAAGCTGCGCAAACCATGATAACACCATGTCCGAAATCACCGAACATGACGGCGAAGAGGAATGGGAAAGTGACGATGGTTGGGAGACCAGGGTTGACTTCTTGGTACTTTGCCGTACCGTAAGCATTGATAATCGTTTGGAAGCCTTCCGTGAATTTATTAGTCTTCTGGTAGGTCGGAGGAGTTTTGTTCGTCCTAATCTCATTGATGATCGACGGTACCGAAAGGCCTGCTCTATTGTTGACATCGTGAAGCGTTGATTTGATCAAAGGGAGAGAGTTGGAGGGGCACCAAGCCTCAGCAATCAAAGTCTTCCTCGCATGATCGTACGAGAAAAGGTTCAGTGTTTGGTAGACAGCCTTCTCTTTCTTGATAATGACCATCCAGGCAGCCAAGCTCCGAGCAATTTGAGTGAGTTCAGCGTCAAGTGTTTGCTTTGTGTTACGAAGAACGCTACCAAGATCGCTCAAACGAGTATTGACTTCATGAATCTGGTCCCTACGAAGATCGCTATTCTCATCCACGCTGTAAAGATCCGCACCAAGAGACTCCGAGATCTTTCTAATCTTAGCGATAAGCTCCTTTCCATGTGCGAAAATGACAAACACGTTTTTGTTGATGGCCTCGTTATTCGTGGGATCAACAATGGGTTCTGAAATCTCCGATTGATTCATGTAAAGATTACCTCGAAGGGTTCTCCATAAGATACGCTCGAATGCTGCAATACGATCCCGGGGAATGACTCCGGACACGAACCCAATATTCATACCAGAAAACGACCTCTCAGCATCCCCATTTTGGTGTGATTGTTCTATATCTTGCAGGAGAGGAGCATCGTCGTTGTCGGTGGAAGCTCTGATTTCATCCACATTTCCGTGAGCTCGATCGAAGAAAGACCCAGCCTCTCTTAAAACCCATCTCCACTCAGTAAGCTCTACCTCCCTCTTCTTCAAAGTTTCATAGCTGTCATTCAATGATGCAATTCGTTGCTCAAGGCTCTGGCTGCGATCAGAAAGCTCGTCGATTTCGGTGGCGGAAGGAGCGGCTAGAGTTTCGATGTCAAGGTCTAGCTTTCTAAGAGGGATTCCTGCTTTATCCATTTGGGTGTGGAAGTATCCTAATTATCAATTAGTATCGATGAAACAAGAGATAGAGGTTGGCACATACGAAGCTGTCTTTCAACATTATCGAGTCGTCTTATCTCCTGAGTGAAAGTCCGTTGAAAAGCAGTGACGTCGGAGTTGAGCTGCGCAATCCATTAGTAACTCATCATAATCTGATAGACTTGAGACATACATCTCGAAATTGAATCTGCCCAAGCTCTCCCAATGCGTTTACAATCTCGCGTCCAATTTCGTTGGCGATGTAGAGTTGGACCAAACTCATGTCCGCTGAGCGGAACATGGTGTCCTGCGACGGTGCCATAATGAGAAGCCTGGGAATAATCCCTAGATTCTATTTTGGCAATTGTGTGAAGCTTCCCAAGCAAGTTGAGGTGGGTTTGTAGGATTGATTTTGAGGTTGCAAATGTTGGAAGATGGCAGCACATCATTAACGATATTAAGCTTCGATACCTAGCGCCCGACAATGTCCTGAGCTAGTTTATCACGTGACAATACACAGTCATTTCAATTCGCAATCCAACATATTCTCTAACCTTTTCATGATCTGGACTGCGTATACAACATCCGGCCAAGTCTCTCGATACAACTATATGATACCTATACCTACTCGAGATTCCTTTTGCAAGAAAAGGTAAATTCCCCGGGTTCATAAACATCAATAAAGTCGTTTTGTTTTGAACCAATAAGACAATTCTTTCTATGCCATAATCTCTACTATCATTATTATTGTTCTTGTCATAACCGTCATTATCTACCTATGTACATCTTAACTCTACAGCCATTTTCCACAAAGGCTCAAATTGGACCTGCGTGCAAGCAAAGAAAAACATTGCGAGAATCCGATCAACGGGTGGATGAACCACAGAGCAATGGTATAGAATTTATTGGTGATCAGAGCACCGATGACCATTGAATATTTTTGACCAAGTAATCGACAATTTGCCGTAGAATAGGGATACGCCAGAACTATCAGTGTTCATGACAAGCAAGGTATTCACGTTGATAAAGCAATCTTGTTGGTTGCAGATAGTCCTTGAAATTGTATGGTCAATTCGAAGATCGACAGCTTATTGCTTCTGTGTACGGATCCAATAGTGCCATGCTTGTCAAGTATCTTAATCTTTATTGAACATTGGCGATGGTATCCCAAAGGCGTCCTCTGAAATGCATCAGCAATTCGGGCATCGTTGCTTTTTCCGAGTAGACATTTAGGCGCTTTCTGGAGCCTACCTAGTGACAGTGATCGATGCAATGCTCATTGCCAAAACCAGGACTTTAGATGTATACGTAGAGTATCCCCATTCCTCGTTGTTGTCGTGAGTGCGTGTTCGACCCGCTGAGTAATTCCATCTTGCTGGAGCCGACGTAGGTACACATTGAGTCCCATGGTAGGAAGCCAGCCACAGCTTGACCCAAGTCCCAAATGTTGTAGGCAAACGACATGACATGCCCAAGACTCATTGCTTCTTGCTTGGGGGATATTCTGAGTAAACCGTTGTATCAAGAATAAGAGTCCCTCCACGACCAAAGCCTACCAGAATGATGACGAATGCCCAAGAGTTCCATGAGGCCAGGAGAGTAATGCGCGTGATACGATGCACGCTCGTGCACAGATGAAGAGCGAAGCGTTTAAAGCAAATCGCGGATCAAAGATATCTGCAGTCAGGCCCTAGTCTAGAGCTCTTGTACGCATACATCGCACTAACGTACACTGCGATTGTCAACGCGCAGGAGTGTGCAGGACCAAAGTCACAGGCTGCATGCACAGCAATAAAGTAAGAGCACATAATCCGTAGCTGAGTATCAATTAGCCTCTCGTGGTAACTGTTCCTTTCTCGCCCGCAAATCCAAAAGTTCTTAAGTTTGTGTTGTTGTCGAACTTTAAGTATAGCGGCGCGATCGTAACTTCCCGAGGTCATTCTTGAAGATATACTAGAGGCATGGTTCGACTCGGATTAGACGTGATCAACTCCAAATTCTTAAAATAGCAGCATCCAGGGCAAGATGCGAAAGCTTTTACACATTTTCAATATCTACGATGGGCAGTAGTAAAGCTCTCTCTTGTCTTTGATTCCGTGGTTGTTTTGTGTTTACTCCGTACGTAATAAGTAATATGTAGCTAAAAGAGAAAGGCTACCTAAAGAGCCAGGTACGTACTTTGTCCTTGTCCATGTCCCTTAATAAGGCCCACTTCCAATCTCCCTTTCATCGCAATTTTATCAACACACTGTAACTGTAATCTTATTACATTCAACATCATCATTCAGTCCGACCACCAAAATACATATCAACAAACCGCTTACCTTTTAAGATCGATATTGTTCATTCGACGCATCTCACAATTGTTCCCTTTTTTTTCAAGGAGGAGAGTATTCATTACACCTTACATGATAGCTCCATACATATAGCTGCATAGCATACTTAAGGTGGATAAGCCCCTCTTCTGTTAGGACCTGCAGGGTGCTTAATGCCCAAACAGACAATGTCGTCAATATGAAGCTGGATTTTCTGAAGCTGGGTACTTGGAAGCCGGGTACTTGGACGCTGGGCTCTGTCGCCTATGTTTCGACTTTCGTCATCCTCTACGTTGTAATTGGAGGTCTACTCTTTGTTACTCCTCTCGATACCGTCGTCCAAGCCAGGGCGAACCATCAATTATACAACGTCTTTGTAATCCTTTCATGCTATGGTGTCACTCTAGTTTCGGCTTTCCTGCTCTTCGCGACGCGCATTTACACAAACAAGGAAATCATAAAAGCGATACCGAAAACATGGATACCTATCGAAGAAGGCGATGTCGAGAAAAAAGTTCGAAAAATGATTGTGGCGAGCCTGGCGAGAAGTGCTACACTAGCATGGGATTCACGACCACGAATAGATCAGCATGCGACTACACTAGTATCGACGCAAGACACACTAGGTGAAGCGACAATCGCTGCTGAGAATAGTCGCTCTGAGCGGGAAATGGACGAGAAAGGGTCTCATGGATCTACAACTGGTATATCTACAAAAGAACCCGTTTGGGGTCAAATTTCCCACGATGGATGGTCTTCTCCAACCGCCGCAGTTCTGCCAAATTTACAGTACATCACGGTCATTCTGGAGTTACCTCATTTGATCGAAGCAAAGGCCGTATCTTTAGCACCCCCTGACCCACAATCAACGTCTCGACCGCCCATGCCTGATCTCAGAGCGGTGGATGTCCTTCAACGACCTGCGGCAATGTGTTTGCGCGACTACATCGGTCATCTATCTGGATTTGGCGTTGTCAACGATTCCTTGATCGCCACATCTTTTCTGTCAGCCTACGAGTACGCTCGATTTTCCTCTAACGCTATTAGCGAAGTCGAATTTCGCGATCTGATGAAACATTTCGCAGAACTTCTTCGCGGCATGGAACCACTCAGTCCTGCGATAATGATGAGTCTAGCTATTGACGACCAGGAGAGCGACATTGACGGCGATGCGTCATCTAGTCCCACTCCCATCACACCACAAAGTCGGTCCCTCGCATCATCCTTGAAGAGTGTTAGCATACGTAGTGGCAGTGAAGGAACCATCCGAACAACACGTTCTCATAGACTTGGTACGGATCATACAATGCCCAATCGGTCACATGCTGGTACAGCTTTTATTGCTCCCCGAAGCATAAGGCCTAAAGTACCTGGATCGCAAAGACGGACTAGGGGCTTTTATACTAGCAGCAGCTCAAGTTCCAGTTCTAGTATGAGATCTATAAGCCAAACAAGCGTGATCAAGCTGAGCAAAGTCCAGACTGGAGAGTCATTACCTTATGAGTTAAATATACCCCGGGTGCGCTGATATATCGGTCGCCTTTTCCTTATCTTTTTTTTTGAATCGTTATTAGCGTTGGAGTACGGGCTGGAACAAAAGGTCTACAATAGGCATGGGAAACGTCTAGATATATTCCTCTAATCTTCAATGATAATGTACAATTACTGAACCACCCCATGCGAACTCTCCAATCTGTCTCCGCCTATATCAACGTCTTCCTCAATCTGACCCTCACAGTAGAAAGCCTGTCATTTCTCCCTCATAGAAGCTAGATCCTCGCGGGATATGGAGAGGATATCATGGCCAGTCCCACTACTCATCTCCAATCTCGATCAGAAGACTCTTGAGCAAATGGCGATTAAATGCAGAACAACATTGTCAGAGATGCAAAAGATTGCTTGATGTACTTTGTGGCCGTTGGACCAGCGAGTATGAGTTTAGTCGAATCTATTTCGAGATGTATTTCAGCCTCAGAAGCACTCATGCAGTTATGATTTTCTGTCGATCTGGCTTCAGGGGCTGGTCGTGTTTGGATAATCCGCAGCTATGATGTTGAACGGCCTTGCATTGCGCATACATGACGAAGCTTACAAACAAAGCCACGTTGATGTTAACTCAATTAGGACACTTCTATTGGAGGAGAAATTTCGTTATGGAGGCAGAACGACAATGTTGTGCTGCCTTGGGAACACGTGGGGTTAGGGGTACTTCTTATTCCCCGCGAAAGTTTGTGCCAGCTGAAGGTAGTAATCCCGGATCCGTGGAGACAACCCCCCCCCCCCCCAATGTCCCGAGTGTAGTCAGCCTTATTGCTAACCATAGCTATATGCATAATTGATGGTATGGAGGGACCAAAAGCTATCATTCGTTGGGTGTTCTTGGCCGAAGTTTCATGTGTGTGGTAATCGTGTTGCTTGGGGTAATGAAGGGGTAAAACGTGGTGCAGTCGTAGTCGTATCCGATGATCTTTTGCAGCCATGAAAGGAACATGGCAGCCATGTGGATTGAAGGTGTGCTTGTATATCCGAACGCACTAAACAAGTTTCTACCGGTTTCCGATAAGCTGATAATTCGGCCCTTCTTCTAAATTCATCAGCACCGTTTATTTTCCCGGGGTCATAACGTACGCTCATCCCAACTTCCTACGCCTCTTTCCCGCACCTGCCTTTTAGTGCTATGCCCGATTTATTGCGAGGCGTGGCTCCAGGTATCATCGTAGCGTTCGAGATACTGTCTCATGTCGGCTTTATGGGCATCCATACTTTTCTTTGCTGACCAATGTTCGTATTCCGGGTTAGGATTTATAGGGTCTGCGGCGTATCTTGACGCTCTTTCAAATGAGTAATATCCATCATCAATGGGTTGCGAGGGGGAAGTGTCTTGTGTTTTGTGGTCAGGCGAACTGGATTTCGTTCTCGATTGCGATTCCACTTTCTCCTTAGAGGTCTTGGAATGAGAGCTGCTTTGAGAAATGGTGAATGTTAGTGAGTAACTCTCCTGTTATCTGGTTCGACTAATTTGAGGGAACGAACCTTTTGACAGATGGATGGTTGGTTTTGGTAGACCAAGTATCGGAGTGAGCCATTGTACTGAAAGGAAGGCTTAATAGAGCTTATGGGTTCAAGCACGTGAATAAAGACAAGACTTTAATAGTCGAAGTGTTTGTGTATTCTTCAGAGACTGGTTGTGAATCAAGTATTGGATGGCAAGAAAAAGTATCTCCATGAAGTGGGAAACGATCAGAATTTATACTCCAGAGCCTCATAGCAAGAACAAATTAATATCTTTCATGGTTTGCAAAGACTCCCTACGACCAGACTGAGTCGTGCATCGAGTATCTGTAAGCAAAAACAAGATAGTCGGTATCTCACAACAACTCATTTTGAACCCCAATTTAAGCATGCATAGTACATTGATGATGAAACCAGTGCTGAGCTCAAGGGTTATTGTGGGGTCGGCATGTTGGACAGCCCTCAAGTGAGTAATGGAGAGTCGAAGTAATGAACCCTTTTACTCAAATCGACCGTTGAAGGTTCCTCGCACTCATCAGCCAGGGTCTAAACAGAGACCGGGGATTAAAAAGTCCCCTGACCTTGACATCACTTGCAGTAGTAGTCTCCGAAGACAGATTCCAGAAAGCTTCAGAAGTTTCAGCGCTCACAAGATCCTTTCGGAAACGACTTCCTTCGGTAACACGAAAGGTGGTTTTCCAACGTTCTTTACATGGGTCAGATATTCGAATGTACTGATGCATATCATTCAACCAATCAACTCAGAAACAACCCTGTTGTACAAATGGCGTGTCTATCGATCCGTGCTACTACGGCGTCTCTACCGATCCATGCCAGGTACCGCAGCTTCTAGAAGCCTTCCATGCATAATGTTTGGATGCATCGCCCGCTAGGATACATATTATCAAAGGCTTTTTAGTAGAACTTCTTGCCAAAGGATATGATTTCGATTATAAAACCATCGCGATATTCGTCTCGGTTGGTGTTTCCGTACACATTGAGTTTGACTATCACAATGATGTCGGGTTCACATCTTTTTGGGAAAAGCCAAAATTTACCAACTTTTTGAGTATCAATGCCAACTCTATACGAACTCTGCATCGTCAAAGAAAATCAACTGCAGCACCCACCCTGGCCATCAAGCGTCTTCAAAACGTACGTACCTACAGCAAAAGAAAGCCGACTCCTGCATGTGCATGTGCATAGATAAGCGACTGGGGTAATGTTCATTTGATTCGAATGACGATCGCAATCCCTACAACTGGCTTCCATGCCAAAATATTGATGCACTATTTTGACACCTTTGACGTAGGTTGTTAGTAGTCAACTGATGGATAAGTTACCCACGGTAACTTTCACCCCTGTTGGTGTTCGCATTGCTTGCTACCTATCCATTTTTTGATAGGCAGACATGGGTAATGCATATATTGTTTGGGGATTCAGTCGTGATTTTCTGTTCACCTGACGGCTAAGATAAGTTAGTCTACGTGTGTTGGCATGGCTGTATCTACATTTATACGTACTTCCTGGTCCTTGAAAGGCTATTGTTTTGTTCCTAGTCTTTACATTTCAGGTCATCATCTGTGTGGTTGGAATGCTTCTATGTTGATAACATATATGAAATTATAGAGGATTCAGGCCTTTTCAACTCAACTCTACTCAAGAAAGGGGGGTTAAGATCACCTTGTGAGGGAAATGAATCACGCAGAATACACATCTACTTTTTAGACTTCATGATAGCAGCGTCAGGTAAGTTTTGAGATTAGTTCAATGGCCACCTAGTATTTAACGTCTTGAACGTTTATACAGCTTTCTCCACGAAATGTCTTTCAAATCAAGTAATAGATCTAGCTACCTTTCCCAACGACTCAACAACCTAGGATTGGCAAGGATTACAGCCTAACATCACACCACTTTAAGCCTCATCATCCTTCAAACAATAGGCAGATTTACTTGCAGATTTTCCAAGAATGCAAGGCCTTCCAGAATTATAACGACTCGTCACACTACTCTTTAGCCATGCGACTTCCTCATGTTGTACCACAAGAATATCTACGCAGCTACGAGGCTCTCATGCACGATTACAGAGCAAGGCAATTTTAAATTCATCCATTCATCTATTCACAGCGCCAGCGATACATAAACCCCCCAATATTGGCGGCATCCCCGAGTCCAATCTTCGTTGCCAAGATTCTTTGGTTGCCTCGCCGGTTCTTCCATGAGCCTCAGGGTTCGGACTCGGCTTCTCCCTCTCCAATTGTATCTACTCTCTACTCGCATCCATAATTTTCAGCTACGATCAATCATCGGATATATCCTCCCAGGCTCAACAATCACATCTTAAAATACCATTCATCGACGGCATCAAAAATGATCACTCCTCCGCCCACAAGACATGTCCTCCACCAATCCACATCAAACCCCAAACCTCAATTCCGAACCCCAAGAAACCCGATATCCATCAGCGTAGCCTCGTACGAGGAGCAAAATTACCAATACGGTTAGTATCCGAGGTAGATGTCACATACTCGCTTCAGCCTTGCAGGTAGTGGTAAATTTTGCTGTATCGTGCGTATAATATACATGTCAGGTACACATACATATTGCATACTATGTACGTATCTCCTTCATAACCTTCTCGAATAATTCTGGAACATTCAGTGTGTAACCGAATCGGTTGGAAATACTAGAGACAGTAGCTTTCATCCAGCCAATCGGTAATTTACCCTCACATTTCGATTAGAAAATCTATTGTTTGTTATTGGATTGGATTGGATTGGATTGGATTGGACAGCCAAGACAAGACAAAATATACTTGATGTTCTAAAAATAACCTGTCAGTGTCAGTGTCTGTGTCATCTTATCTTTTTTTTTCTTCTTATCTCGCCATCTGTCATTTTTTGAAACATCTTATATTTTTGGGATTTTAATTAGTATACTTGTACATACATACATACAGACATACATACATCGACCCCATATTCTCAACTCCTCGCCATCTGACTTCAGATGCACACTGCACGCTTTCATAATCAACCCATCAATCCCTCCCGCCGCTAGGATAGGTAACTTTCGGTCCCGAATCCTTTTTTTTTCTCTCGTCCCCTTTCTCGGAAGGCGAGATAAGAAAACAGTGGGAAGAATAAGCAATAAACACATAGACCATTTACGGTCCGTACTGCAGAAATGGGATGGGATTTCGGGGCCGTGAGATCTTGGACCCCGCGATCGGTGATGCGCTGTGTGTGTGTGTGTGTATTCTGAGATACGAGAGATGGGGGGGATGGCATGCGTATACGAGAGTGGAGAATTACTTTCTTTCTTGGGGTTTCGTTAGGATGGAATTGTTTTGGTTCGTTTCATTTGTTTGGGTTGGGTTGGGTGGAAATGAATTAGGTGACTGGGGGTTGGAGTGGAGTGGATTGGATTGGTCAGGTAGGTCATAGGCGGAGAGGTTTGGACCCCAGCTTGTTTCGGAATTGTAGAGTTGCAGTGGAGAGTGAGATTTGTGTGTACACGGTCTTGATCGCACTGGTTTGATGCATGATGCAGGTACGGTTTGGACGTCGGTAGTGTTGGATAGTTTACTAGGTATCTTTCTTACGTGTGGATGAAATGTTCAGATGAATGAGCGGATACTCGGATGCGTGGGGGATGAGAACGAGGAGGATATGGAATTACTAATAATACTCATGCCGAGATCTGAAAGTGAGAGCTAGAGCTAGATACCAATGCACGTACGGTATGGGATGGGATGTTTAAGTGAAAACGATCACAGCAGACGATTCATATTTGTTCATAATTAAACTCCATTATCTTTCGTAACAAAACTCCAAATCGGATAATCAGATATTGTAATACAGTATATGAAACAGGGACTACGATCTTATGGAATCGCGACGCTCTTCTTGGAAAACTTTCCTTTGGGCATTCCTTTTGGCTTCTCGGCTGTTTTCTTCTCTGCGGGCTTCTTAGGTTCTGGCTTCTTGGGTTCTGGCTTTTTCGCTTCTTCTTCTTCCTCCTCCTCCTCCTCTTCATCCTCTTCTTCTTCTTCCTCTTCCTCAGAAGATGATTCTCTTCCGTCAGATGAAGTTATCTCTTCAATTACATAGCCATCATCATCCTCGTCGTCATCAGATTCCTCCTCGCTACTAGACTCCTCCTCCTGTACAAGTTGCTTTTTCGTTGGTTTTTGCTTTTTTCCCACCTCTTTCTTGGGGGTTTGTTGTTTTGGCGTCCCGACCTTACTCTTGCTCTTCGTCGTCGTAGCACTCTTCTTGGACTTTGGTTTTTCTTCTACCGCTTCTTCTTCTTCTTCTTCTTCTTCCTCCTCCTCTTCTCCCTCGCTACTCGTATACTCTCCACTAGTGTACTCCTCACTATCAGTATATTCTTCCTCACTATCTTCCTCGCTTTCCTCCTCGCTTTCCTCACTCTCCACCTCCTGCACAATCCTCCCCTTCCCTCTACTCTCCAACGCATCATTTGCAACCCTCGTCATGATTCCATTCAACCAATTTTCCGTTCCTTTCCCCACCCCTCCTTTCCCAAAATTATTCCCCAACCCATTTCCATTCCCCACCACATTCTTACTCGGCTCACACGTCATTCCCAAAATCGTTCCCTTTCTCCGACTTCCCCCTTTATTCGTATTCTGGATTGGTTTCACAGTAGGTCCCTGGACTTGTACCCATCCTTTCCCCTTGCCATTTTTCTCATAGATACTTCCATCCTCCAGGACTCTCCTTCCCTTTCCATCCCATCGTCGTGTTTCTTCAATAATGGGTTCTCCAAGACGTTGAGTACGTTTCGTACGTGTAGTCCCGTCTTTATTGATGGTTGTTTTTGTTTGATATGCGCGACCCCAATCATCTCCCGATGCGGTAGAGGAGGTCAGAGCAAAAGATGCCGAGGTATTTAGTGTCAAGGGCATTTTGCGATAATCTTTCGATGAGATTTGTTTGTTATTTTTGTGTAAGTTTGGAGGAAGAAACTAGTAAAAAAACTTAACGGCAAGACGATTATTTGGATCCTGATATATGAAAATAAAATCAAAATCGTATGTTGGTTTTTCTCGAAATCAAAAACAGGATGACGAGGGATTTGACGTCATAATGTGAAGTCATGATCACGTGTCAGCTGCCACGTCGGCTTTCGCAATCATGATTCAGGTTCTGTTGCGTTGATGGCTTGATCTGATGTATTTGATTTGATGTTAGAAGAACATGTGAAAATGGAGCATTACCCGGATGCTTCCTTCGCACTCGACTATATTTGAAGTAACAAACTAGTAGTTGTTAGTTACGGAAACTATCAACCGACCGTTTATTTTATCGCGTGTACATCGTCTCGAGACTTGACTAAACTAATCAGAATAATTTTCGACGATGGATCTTGGCATGTCACAGACAACAAGTACTGTGGGGTAGTGCGAAGAAGAGTGCCGATGGTTACTCTTTTTCGGCTGCAGGAACCAAAATAAAAAGGTACGAAGGTACGAAGTACTACCTAGTACCTAGGTACGTCGATGCTTGTTAGATCCAGCAAACACTCGGTATATTTTCAGACGAGAATGGCGAAGCTCGGATCTCGAATCAATTTCCACAAGGAGGTCACTTTGAGGTGATTCCTGATGAAGTTTGTCCTTGTTGTGCTTGTTGTTTCTCTGAGTTGTTTCTTGGCGCCCATTGGTCATACTCGGCATATATATTCTCCTAAGTCTAGATACCTCCCTTCTTCTTCTTTGCCGTCAGATCCGGCAATAGAAGTGATCAGGAATAAAAGAAAATAGGAGGGCAGGAGAGAGAGGAAAGGGGAGGTAGAGAAGACGGATAAGATGGAGAAGGTAGGGCGTGTGTAATAATCTGCAGAGTGGGGGGTTTTCGATGAGTCTAGACTGTAGTACTCGGTCTCTAGTGTAGAATGCGGTTCAAACACGAGAGATTATCTATCATTGAATCCATATGCTGAGTTGAATTAATCTACTTGGCATGTAGAATCTAATCAGACGATCGAGTTCTAGATGGTAATCCGGATGGTTAGAACCCGCAACGCGATGCCTTTAGACTTTCCTGAACGAGTCACCAAGGGCAGACTTCTAAGGCATCTTTCATGAAGATTGTTCCAACTTCCAAGCCGGCAGTAGATTGAATGATGACCTTTCAACCCAGCGATGAGGGAATGAGTCTAGACCTTTGCCGAACTCTACAGGAACATTGAGCTTACCACCCAGCTTCCTACGAGGGATTAATCAACACCTATCAACGGAACGGATGGCTGCAGAGGCCTAGAACGTTCCCTCACGATACTGCGTTGCTCCTTAGATCTGAAAAGTTGAGGGAGCACAAACATGATTGGTCAATTAAAATTATAGGGCAATGCAGATGCGACGATGAAGAGAGAGGTATGGGGAGAATGAGGAGAATGGGGAGAATGGAGAGAAGAACATGATGGCTACTTGCAGATAACCTAGCAAGGCAGTGCATGCATATGGAAATCTAAGACTAAGCCTCTTTGAGTCAACCATGATCATGTCCGTGCATACTAAAATCATCCATTTTGCTGCAGACCCTGAAACTTTGGATGCAATACCGAGTTTTGTTAATTGATTCAACAATTCGAATGTTCTGGCCAACGCCCACGGTCGACGCCTTAGTTATTTGATGGTGGACATTAGCTGGAACGAATAAGCGACCGACTTTGCGATTTTATCTTTATGTTTAACCTTACTGTAACCTAACGCACGTAAATGTGTCTAATCAGATGAACACTTGATTCGATCTCTCATCGATAGCAATATCGTATCTTCGTGGTAAGGACTAGACGCCGAGGTGGATCGCAATCGAACCAAAGGTTTGAATGGTTCCGAGGTTGCCTACAATGTTGTACAAGTGACTCTTTCATTATTAGATATTCGCGCAGCTGGATGTACAGGTCACGCTCTCCACAGAGGATCTACACATGAGATTGCGAGATTAAGGCTTCGTCGTACGAATCAAAATACAACAAATTGCTCAGCCTTATTTATATCTCAAGTACTCGCAAATTCTGCGAATCAAAGAGTAACACACCCGGCAAACGCGCAACAGACCGATCGAAATCCAGAAGTACCCGGGCCGGAGAACAAGGGCTTTTTGCTTGATCGTAAGTAAGGTATCCTTTCTAATCAAATTTAAAAACGCCCCGAATACTAAGGTGTCTTTTGGTGATTGGTTGCAGTTCGCTGAAACGTTCACCCATTCGTCTAGAGCAATGCTATTCCTTGGCGCACCATCTCAAATGCTGTATCGAGACGATGGAGCGGAGACGAAATGCAAAGGAACGATCCGTTGCCTTCCTTGCCGGCCAATGGCAAACGGTCAATTTTCTTTGGCAATTTTTGATCAGTACTGAATAGAGTCAGGGTGAAGAAAATGATGTCTGTCACCAGCCAAGTCATTCATTCCGCCGACTTGCGAAATGTCTATATCAGTACGCATTCCCCCACGCTTTTTAAAAAAACATCATTGTTAAAACAATCGAGAAAGCTCTATCCAAATATATCTATTCTGTGTTCTCTTATCCAGACACTCACTCGTGTGACTTGTATCACACTATAACACTTCTTGACTTTCAATCATAATTCCCATCGGTCTTACTGGTCAACCTTTCTTATCACTTGACAACCATGCCTCAATCCTTGTCATCTTCTATGCTAGGCTACTATGGATCGGAGAAGTAAGTCTCGAGTTCCCCGTTTGCATAATGGATTATCATTTAGCCGAATTTTGTCTAACGATTTTCATAGACTTGTCGATGAAGTCAAGTCACATGTTCCTGCTTCTATCAAGCAACAACGACTCTCACACTCACCTTCATACAACCTTAGCCAATTCGAACATGTCAACGGGGCACCTCCATTGGCCTTTCGGAAGCCAATCCCGATTGCCGAACGTATTAATAGTGCAAAAGATGCCATCAAGGATTTTGATGGAAAGATGAACAAAGGATAGACGGATTTTCTCCAAGAGAATCAAATAAGGACAAGGCTGATGCACCATCTTGTCATACGTTATTGTAATGTACAATTGCCGTCATTCAGCCTCAAACAGGTTGCTAACTATCATAGAACCCACCTGATCTCCTGACGCGTCATCGTCTCGAGACGAACAAATCATTCTACTGCTGTTCTCGAAGTTACCAGATCCTCTTAAAGTTAAAAGAGTATCTGCTTGAGAGTAATGAAGCTAGATTTCGATACTCGCTCGATTATTTATAGGATGCTAGGCAATGGGCCCGAGTGATTGCAGTCCTCTACCGATGTTCATATCCTCGATAGATCAGATGGGGTATCACTTATCGAAGCATTCAAGCATCAAACTTCAAGTGGAGTAATAGCCACAGATACCCCATTTGACACCGGAATCTACGTCCCCGAGATCTACAACTGAGGGGAGATATCTTCACAAGACGAAATGCGGGGTAACAGGGTGTCGAGTTTATCCAAACTGGACGGTTATTATATTGCATTTTGCCACAAGTAGTACGTTGTTGTTGAACTTTATTTAGAGGTTACGGGCCGTCAAGTTGTTTTGAATATGGAGAAAAGCTTGTTTCGTCCAATACGTGGGATCCGAGTTTGGGTTAAAGTCACCCCTGTAATAGGTCAATTTGTTCCCCACAATCGGCCAGATAGACGAGATCAAGGCTTAGTCAGGGATCCCCGTCGTATTTGAAGTACTTTAATTTCATTCCACACTACCTAATTCATATCCGTTGCTCCACTATTCTTAGCATAAGCGCTCCGGATATATTGGATGTTCACCCAGTCGAGCCAGTGTGGAAAAATGCCATGCCCCTTAGATCATTTATCCGAAACAGGCAAATTTCGTTTTGCCATGTTTCTCTAAAGCGATCCGTCGAATGAGCTTATTTGACGGGGCGTTTATGTACTCCTCGAAACTTCCAGAGCAAGCGAATATATATAACCGTTCTGTTTCCCCCAATTTCTTCTCTCATCACCATTCCCGAGTCAGGTTACTCGAAAATTACACTCTTTGTTAATCCTTTCGTATCATACCTTTCTATTCAAAATGCATATTTCAAATCTTATAACTCTTGCTATCTTGCCTTTAGCTTATGGTCAGCTTGACACGCTTGCCAAGGCTGCTGGTCTCAAATACTTTGGTTCCGCTACAGACAACGGCGAACTTACTGACACTCAATATACTGCCATCTTGTCAAATAACAGTCAGTTCGGACAAATCACACCTGGAAACACACAAAAATGGCAATACATAGAACCCACCCAGAACACGTTCAGCTATACTCAAGGAGATGTTGTTGTTGATTTCGCGGAGAAGAATGATCAGCTTCTGAGATGTCATAACTTGTGTTGGTATAATCAATTGCCATCATGGGTTACTTCGGGCACATGGACGAATGAGACTTTGATTGCGGTCTTGAAGAATCAGTTAGTGGTTTCGTGCAGTTCTTCATAGACTTTGAAAGCTAATCATAATGCAGCATCAAAAATGAAGTAACTTACTACAAGGGCAAATGCTACGCCTGGGATGTCGTCAACGAGGCATTCAACGATGATGGTACCTGGCGATCATTTATCGTAAGTTTCCATCATAACTCCTGCAATCTTCAAACACACCCCTAGTATAGAAACTAACTCATCCAAGTTCTATGACACCATTGGTCCCGAATATATCCCAATCGCATTCGAAACCGCCGCTCTCTACGACCCAGATGTCAAGCTCTACTACAACGACTACAACATCGAGTCTTCCGGTGCCAAGGCAACCTCTGCCCTCAACCTCGTCAAATCTCTCCAAGCTCGCGGTATTAAAATCGACGGTGTTGGTCTCCAAGCCCACTTCATCGTCGGCTCCACCCCCAGCGAATCCGCCCTCGCCACCACCCTCAAATCATTCACCGCTCTCGATGTCGAAGTCGCCTACACCGAACTCGACGTCCGCTTTAGCACTCTCCCTCCCACCGCCGCCGGGCTCGCCCAGCAAGGCGTCGACTACGCTAACACCGTCAACGCCTGTCTCAGCGTCGACGGCTGCGTCGGTATTACCATCTGGGATTTCACAGATGCCTATTCGTGGATCCCATCAACCTTTACCGGCCAAGGCGATGCCTGTCTCTGGTACGCTAACTATACCGTTCATCCCGCCTACAACAATGTCGTTGCTGCTCTCTCCGCCGCAGCAGGCACAGCTGCCCCCGTTACTTCCACGACTGTTTCAACTGTTCCTGCTACCTCTACATCGAAAGTAAGTATATCCAGTGCGGTTTCTACTAGTACATCTACGCCGGTCGTTTTGAGCTCTAGTCCTGATTCCGTTTCCGTTTCCGCTTCTGCGGTTGTATCTTCCATCTCTTCAGTTGTACAAGTTGCCAGTTCTTCTGTAGCTGTTTCTTCCGCTGTTTCCTCACTTCCTATTTCCTCATCTCCCATCCCCTCAAGCAGCACACTAAAAAAATGCACAAAGACCTCCTCTTCCACCTCCGCTCCCTCCTCCACCATCATCTCCACCACAAAAACAACCTCCACAGCCGCAGCTTCGGGAACAGGCGCCGCGGTCGCGCTTTATGGACAGTGTGGCGGCGCGACTTGGACCGGAAGTACCGTTTGTGCGTCGGGCGCAACATGTGTTAAGCAAAATGATTGGTACTCGCAGTGTCTTGCGGCATAGGAGTGTAAGAACGTATGGTTGGATGGGTATGTGTATAGGTGTGAGAAGTGCAACTTGAATACTGGATTTTGAATAAGTGGAAGAAGAACCGAAAGAAAGGGGAGGTGTATATAAAAAAGGGGAGGATGTATGTTCTTTGTATATAGCTTTAGTTCGTGAGATATAATTTAGGAAGGTATTGAGAAGGATGGGAAATAAGATGACTGTTTATCCTTCGATTCCTGGTTTGCATTATGGCTTTGAAATCCTATACCTTTCGTGCTTAGGGAGTGTAGCTTTATCGATGGGTGTGTTTTGTTTTTATCGCAAATCTTGAAATGTGTTTGGTTTTTTATCTTATTTTGTAGGAATGTCTGAAAATACTTCACTCATTATATTGCCCCACGTTGCGATTCCTTTCGCTGTAGATCAGCATGATAAATCTGATAGACAGCGCCGTCTTTAACTTAGGATCGAACCACTGATTCACCTGGAAGTAGAGTGGTTACATTTACTCAATGCTATGCGGGTATATTCAAATATAATACACGACGAGAACCCCAAGCTACGTAAATCACTTCTCAATAGCCAAAGGGGGAAAGAGCCCATCCCACGCACCCTTGCCTAACGGAGCCTGCGCATCACCATACGAAGGATCAGCTCCCAATATCGCATATTCATATGTTCGACGCTCTGGTACCACACCAATCATATCGAGTAATAGCGATGCTTTTTCCGGCATGTACGGCTGGAGGAGAATACCAACGACGCGGATTGCCTCCGCGGAATGATATACGGCGCTTATGAGTCTCTCTTTCGCTTCTGGATCTTCGGATTTGGCGAGACTCCAGGGGGCTTCGTGTTGGATGTATTTATTGGTCTGATGGTTTGTGGTTAGTATTGTGGTTTATGGAAATATGTAGATGATGTGCTTACTTCGTACACGGTGTCCATAATAACATGCAAAGCTGATCCTGCATTTAGCTCTTGCATTTTCTCATTGGCCTTATCACGGACGCTGTTCAGAAAATCAATCTGTCGACTAGTTGTAATATTCGAATTGTTCAATCCTCGAGAGTGTGTGGCTTCCACGCAAGAACGAACGTTCCACACTTTCGGTCTAGTTAATCGACTGACAAGATTACCTAGACCTTGTTGCAGTCCTTTCTTGTATCTTTCAACGATATATTCATTACCATAGTCGGAGTCTTCCTTGATTCCACCATCGTGAATAAGGTAGTATCGCATCACATCGACCCCAAATCGATCCATTGCAAAAAGTGGGTTGACAACATTTCCTATCGACTTGGACATCTTTTGATTGTCCATTGTCCAATGGGCGTGGGTCAATATTTGCTTTGGTGGTGGTAGATTTAAAGCAAGAAGGAATGCTGGCCAATATATGCAATGAAATCGAACGATATCCTTTCCAATGACTTGCACATCTGCAGGCCATCCTCCTGCAGTTTCCTTCCCTGGCGCCCATGGATAGCCGGCCTTTGTAATATAGTTGACCAGCGCATCGAGCCATACGTATACAGTCTGAGTCTCATCGTCTGGAACTCGAATACCCCAACTTAAGCGATCATAGGGGCGGGATATTGAAAGGTCTTCTAAACCCCTAGATACTTGGTTGACAACATCCTTCATACGAGTCATTGGGACAACGAAATCGGGATTTTTCTCGTAAAACTCAAGCAGTTGCTCCTTGAAAGCAGATAATCGAAAGTGGTAGTTCTTTTCAGATGTCCATTCAACCTCTTTACCAGTCTCTTGAGAAGCAATGAATGTCCTCCCAGTAAAGGGATCCAGCCTCTTCTCAATAGCAGATTCCGGATAGAAGGTTTCATCACTGACGCAGTACCACCCTTCGTGTTTTGACTCGTATATATATTCCCGTTCCCTCAGCATATACCAGATATATTCAACTGTCTCTTTGTGATCTGGATCAGTCGTGCGCACAAAATGATCGTTTGAAAGTCCTGCTCGCTGTGCCAATTCCTTGAACGTCTCGGCGCCAACATCGCAAAATTCTTTAGGCAATGCTCCTGCTTGCGCAGCAGCGCGTTGGATTTTCATGCCATGTTCGTCCGTTCCTGTACACAGGATTGCCGTATCGCCCTTTAAAACCTGCCATCGTTTGAAGACGTCCGCAAGGACCATAGTATATAAGTGACCAACATGAGGTGCTGAAGATGAACCAATTAGCTCAGAATGCTGCGCTGGCGCAAAGTCATTCAGACTTACCAGCATTCACGTAGAAAATTGGTGTGGTTACATAGTATGGTTTCTTCGATTTTGTATCGACAGAATAGCTGGCTTTCGATATGGGTCTTGCCCTACATGAGCTGCAAACCCAGCTAGCCCTCGATATTAATCTGGTCCTGGACTGCAGAGAGCCCCGCAGTAGAGGATTGAGGCCATACATTTGAACAAAATGCGCTGACTGGGACTCAATTTAGCATGATCCAAGACAAATAGTAAGATTGCGGGAAAGCGGTGCTGCGGCCGCCTTTCCGCCCCCGCATTTTCTTAAAACTATAAATTCAAATTTCACTTCGTGCGTCATTCTTTTCTGAGAATGACAAAGACGCGCTCTAGAGAATTATCGGATTGTTATATTATAAATAATCTTCTCTTGTTCAATATACTGTGATCTATCCTCTTTTCTTGGACATCCATAATTGCATATTATCTGCGACTTATTATGGCTAATCCCACAAAGGATTACCAAGCCGAGTTGGCTACCAAAGGTATTCATGTATTTATTCTTTGACAAAACATCATGCTAATATACTCCAGCGGCCGACATTTTTGTTGAAAGTTTCTACGAAGCTCTAAATAAGCCCAATCTTCGCTCAACAATAGCATCATTCTACATCAAGCCTTCCGCTCTGGCCCCGGCCGAAGCATCCATAACCATCAATGGAAACATCGTACCAACACCCTCCGCCTTCCAAGAAACGTTCGAAAACAAAATAGGCAAAACTTCATATGAAGCACAAGCATATGATGCTCATGTCATAAACCCAAACTACAATATAGGGGTTGAGGAAAGCAAGCTTGGGCCGGATAAGGATGGGAAGAAAATTAGTATTGCCATTATGGTTAACGGATCAGTGAAATATACGTCGAAGAATGGAGACGAGGGAGAAGAGCGGAGTTTTATGGAGAATTTCGTCTTGGTGCCCAATGTGGAGGCCAGAAATCCAAAGGCGCCGAAGGGGATCAAAAAATGGTTGATTCAGAGTCAGATATTTAGATTGGTGCTTTGAGGTTTCGAAATCAAGAGAGTATGAAGCAAATATGGGAAAGGAAGATTGGTTAGAGAACCCTAAAATGAACGGAAGGTTAGAGGGCACTCTCTACGGGAAGCAGCATTGCTCGGTGAATCGAAGTAATGCCACTCTACTGAAAGCGCTCATGGCCGATTCATATGGCGGCGCCCCTCAAACGTCTCAAATTTGACGTTAAGTCGGTCAGATGGCGAGACTAGAAGAGTGCCAAAGATTCGGCGATGGACAGATTCATGTCCTCGGACAAGATTATGGGTTGGTTGACCTCTTGGTAGAGACGCAGGTAGTATCCTTGGGAAGAGTTGCAAATCTACAAGTTGAATCGCGTATTCGATGTTGAGAGTATGAGAGCAATATGGTATTTGTATAATAAAGGCCGCTAATTATCTTGATGCATAATACTACTCTCGAATAACAGTGATATGTGAGTGCATACAAAACATCTTCGGTTCCTTCCCGAACATTCTTCGTAAGAAAATATTGAAATTTGGTTGTCTTGTGAGAGGGCATGAAGAACGTTAACGTTCTTCATACTAGGTATCCTGGTATCCTACATCAAGTTATCCCTTTAGATCACCAGCAAGTTAATTTTAGCACTTTTTTAACCTATCATGTTGCATTCCCATGTCTTCATATTCACTTTTGGCTTCAGTTTTCATCCTTTAATAAACTCCGCTCTCGGCTACTATCCATCCTCAACGACCTTCGTCCCCACAACAACCACTTCTGTCTTTTAAACCTATTGATCACTTTCCATCCAGATTCCTATCAAAATTTATGAATTCAAATATCTTCAAGTCACTTCAACTACAATCGCTTCTTGCAAATTTGCACCTATTAGCACCTATCTACTATTCAAGTTCGTCCTCTCAGGATTTGTCTACTTGTCAAGGCTTATTTAGCTCTTCTTCAACATCCCTCGATCTCATCAACTACCTTCAGACCCGACTTTCGATCCGATCTCACCAACAAAATCAATATCACCCTTCTCACCAGGGGGTTTCAACACGTCAAAGCACAGAAGTAAATTCATAAGGCTATCTCAATATCTACAAACATGAAGATCCCACCTAACCTGACTGGCTTCGATGGGAAGGCTCTTAAGGGAGAAGTCTACTTGACAAGCGGTAACTCGGGCACTCCAGGTAACCGGACGAAGCTACTTGAAGAGGGCATGAAGCGCGAAGGCAATCACTTCACCTGCTACGCTCTGACCGCAGAAGACGATGCTATCGCACCGTGCTTCAACATGAATTCAGGTGTTGTCGAGTTCGTTGACGTTGTCGTCGATGGTATCTTACGAGCTTCTCATAGTAACGAGGGTGCTACCAAAAACTTCAGCAAGAAGTTTGAATGGGTTGTTGGTCAAATTAAATCGAGCAATAGATATGTCGACAGAATTTATCAACTACAAATAGCAAAGAGGAATATTGAAAAGAGTTAGTCGTTCTTCCTAATTAATGACTTATACTGACTGTGAAACAGCACGAAATGTCAAAGGTGGCGCACCTCATTCAGTCGGTAGCATAGAAATACAAATATTCCGCAAAGATCCCAACGCTCATAAGAACCACACAACTGATTCTGATTCTGATGCTTTCTCATCATTATCAAAAGAAGAAACTCCAGATCTCGGCAATGCAGAACGTGCACCGACGTTTGAAGATCATACCCAGTGGTGGAATCTCAATCCATGTGTTGATGAAGACACTATTCCTTCCCCACCATTCGAAGTTGGTGGCATTGGTTATAGGAAGTTTCAAGGTAACGCAAAAAGCCTCGTCGTGAAGAAATGGCCTGGTGATTATAAGGTTTGGGCTTCATTTAAATTCCTGCTCTTCTCTACCGCCGATTTCCACACGTTGGGCTTCCTGGATACCCCAAAATACATCGGAACACCATGGAACGGAACACAGGAGACGTCAAGGAAGCCGACTGTAAAGGATGTTTCACGACCATCAAAGGCTACTTCGGTCATTGATCCCGATGATGTTGGCAGTGATCATGATGATGATGTTGTTGTTGATACTGTTGAAAATGTCGATAAGCCTGCACCTGAGACAAAGACTAAAATTGATGAGCCAACAAAGATTTTCAAAGGCAAAGAAGTTGGTAGGAAGTCAATTAAGAGCAGTGTTTCTATAGAAATAGAAGTTCCTTCTCAAGCAGTCAAGTCTATGAAACCAGTGGGGAAACAGACTAGGGTCATCGAAGATTCTCAGTCCTCAGAAATCCTTGATGAAAGCCATGCTGAAGTCAACAGAACTGTGTCAAAGTCTTCTCGTCTTTCAAAAGTATCTCAAGTTATTGATCTTAGTGGTGAAGATGCTAGCGAACCTACAGATACTGTAGTCTTTGCACCAGCTATCAAGATCGAGAAAGATGAGTTCACAGGTAACGATTTCGATCAAGGCAATGGAACTGATACAAACCTCAGGAGGAAGCCACTTTCTATGTCCGGCGTAGAAGGAGCTCCGGCAAGCGAAGCCTGGAATGATCCTGATCGTTCTTTATGGTACCAACGCAGAGGCTTAAGCAAAATTTTAGACGATTCTCTCACACTCAACGATGATAAATCCCAAGCCGAGAAAGATCTTAACTCGTCAGACAATTCCAAAATTATATCTTTGGATAACCCAGACAGCTTGAACCAGCCCTCCGTGCCGTGTATAGTCGGAAAGCCAGCCGAGAAAGAGACTGTCACTCACTTTAAGCCACTTAGTACTCAGGTGGGTGGTCTATCCTGGGAGCCGTTGACCCCGCCAGTATCGTCAAAGAAGTCAGGCTCAAATTACTTTAACCATTTTGGAACCGAAAGACGTGTTTTGTTTGGAGATTCTAATGGCACAATCCAAATTGAATCAGCAGCTCGTGCTATTATCACTGAAGATAATTATAGCGACAATGATAGCCGCGAAGCGAGTCCCTTAGTCAAACACGACCAGAGAGTTCCAGAGAACAAAGCTAAAAAATTAAGCCGACAATACCTAGGATTCACCTTGGAAACAAAAACTTCAAACATTGAGAAACCAGGCCAGTCTTCAAACGTCAATAATATGGAAACAGATTTTGACGAGTTCATTCACACATCACCCCAGCCTGAAGATACAGAAATGGTTGACGCCGTCGAAGCCGATCCTGAAACAGAGTTGACAGCACCAAGATCGCCATCTCCTAAGGCTGGTCCTCAATCTACAATCACAAACCAAGATCAAGATTCTGTGGATAAAACCGTACCTTCTCAATCTCAAGAATTGAACACCTCACAAAATGGCCAAAATGACTCTGAGAAATCAACACAGGAAATACCTGAGAGTATTCTTGAAGGGATCGCGGAAGCTCAAAGACTTCAGAGGGCCAAACGATTTCCATCAACTGCTATCCCTGAAGTGGAGAACGAAGAAGCGCTCGAGTTTGATCGAGCTGAAGCCTCACCAGACACTGACATAACCAATTCCGACAACGATAAATTGCTTTCCGAAGCCACGAAGCCTAATAGCAAACTCAACGATGCACCTTTCGACATTGGAAACCAAAAAGATGGTCGACAAGACTCTCCTGCTGAAGCAGACGAGTCTACGATAACAGTCGGTACTACCAAGCCAGCCAAACAATCAAAGGCAAGAGCACCAGCAGCTGCCAAACCCTCTCCTCTAAAGACTGCGTCTACTCCAAAGACACAGCCTACGTCGATGTCCAAGACAACCACTGTCCAAAAGCCACCAGCTGTAAAAGTTGAAAAGTCTTCAAATGTCTCCGCTCAGTCCGAACAATCTCAAGCTAAGCCAAAGAAGTCGACTTCAAAAGTTGAAAGCGCTTCGATTGTATCAGCACAACCTGCGCAATCTCAAGCCAAGCCAAAGAAGCCCTCTCCAAAGACTACGAAAGCCCCAAGCGCCCCAAAGACTCCAAAGGCACCAGCGTCTGTTGTTCCTGAAGAGCCCGTACCCAAGGGCAAGGGCAAGGGCAGAGCCAAGGCTGGAGTAAACGATAAGCGCAAGGCTGATCAAATGACCTCCGCTAGCAGCAATTCGGGACCAAACAAGACGAATATATCTCCCGCTTTAAAGCAAACATCTACCGCTGAAGGTGCGATTGCCATAGCAGAAGCACGAAAGCAAGCAGCTATCGAGAAGAAGCAAGCTTTAGAAGAAAAGTTAAATGCAATTCGAGTAGCGAAGGCGGAAAGGGCGGAGAAGGAGGAGGTAAGATTGTCATGCTTCGATCTTTTGGAAATTTGACTGACCTATCGACAGGCTGATAGAATCAATAAAGAGGCACAAGCTTTTGAAGATGAAGTTGCTGAATTAGAGGTAAGCTTTTCACTCTCCAGTGTGATAAACGCGTGCTAATCCATAATGTACTAGAAGAGAATTGCGATGGAACAAATGGATGACGAATAAGCTTACTCCATCAATTTGCAAGAAGTTGCCGAACTGGCGTGCTTGTGGTGCAATGACAATTTCAACATCTTTTACAATAACCATATTCCGTATCCGGGAATGGCTCGTTGTCATACACTAACCCCCAATTACCCAACCTTTTTGCATTTCTCACACATTTGCTTTATTGTTAATTCTGCGGGGTTCGAAAAAGTTTATTGTTGCATGATCATTTCCTACTCATCTTACAACGACTCTTTTATTTAAGGACGATACCAAAATAGCCATCCTCTTTTGGCATGTTGAAGTCGTCAATCAATATTTGAAATGAATGGCAATCTTCAACGGCTTCGAGCAAATGGCAGAATATCCAGGCATACTTATGCTGTGCCGCAAGCTTACTGAAGGTGTTTTATTGCTACTTTTTTTTGATCTTAATTTTATGTGGGCTGCAGGAAGCACGGCATACATGGGCGTAGTTTTTGGCGGAATTTGATACCTTTCTTTTTCATGGTGGTAGTATTGGGATATCGACAAACAATGAGAAATTAAGAACAGAAAGACGAATCTGCATAACAAGAAGGTCATGAGGTCCAATGGGAACCATTAAATAACCCGGAGAAAGTTGTTACTTTATGAAAATTTATCAATATCAATGCATGCTGAACTGAACTGAACATAAATGACCTGACGCCTTCCCTAATCATAATCGTGAAATCCGGAGTACTGACTCCAACGCCCTATTCCCCTGCCTCAAAAGACCCATAATCACTAGGTATCATGGCTTTCATGACTTTCTTGGCACTCGTAAGTTTGCCTTTACTCTCTCCAACAACTGCTCTTTGGTATCCTTGGGTTGTGGATGAAGATCTCTCTGTAGAGAATGTGGTTAACTTCGACGAGTGATATATTTGAAGGAAAGGAAAAGAAGAGCTCCAAGAGTACTAACAGCCGCCAACCATCTCCGTAATTCCTCTTTTGACCACGTTGCTGGATCTATTGAGAGTTAACATCGGTTCATCAGCTGATAATTGGGACATACACACCACCGGTAGGATCTTCTTCCTTTGGGAACATATCAGTACCCCAAATGGACCAAGCTGCGGCTGCAGTTACGATGCCAGTGAAAGCTAATACTGCATTCTACAAATCTGTTAGTAACTTGCTTGCGAAGTGATGGTGGACAAACTTGCTTTGGAGCTAAGAGCTCTATCCAAAGGAGTAGGCATTGTTGATAGAGGGGGTGGCGTTGCTTGTCTGTTTGATATGGACAACGTTGTACTTTCAAAAGTCTTTCTTTCTTCAACTCAACTTTTTATCAAAGATACGTCAAGCAAATTCCAATGTCTTAGTCCAAATTTCAAATTTCAAGGACTTTAAATAGATAATCATTCACAGAGAAGTGCTTGCCTAATGATCAGAAACCTGTCCTCCTCACAAGCCACACAGCCGTACGACGACTAACGCCACATTAATTGGCTCATGCTCATGGATCTTATCAACCAAAACCCTTCCGTACAATCGTAACCGAGCTTGCTTACTAATCTCCACACAATCCCGATTTTCCACATCAACAACCTCATTATCACGAAGTTCCGATTCCTGTCATCAATTCCCGTATCTCACCAATTTTCGACTAATCAATCCGTCAAAATGCCTCGCGAAATCACCGACATCAAATCCGTGAGTTATATCCCTTTTGAGACGGGTGGTGGAATGGAGAACGGGAAGAAGTTTTAAGGACAAGTTTGGACAGAGGCTAATATTGAATCAAATAGTTCTTGGAGATTTGCAGACGCAAGGATGCTTCTTGTATGTGTTTATTCCTATTCTATCATCGCCTTGCACAGATAATATTCGATTTCGAATACGGGAGAGTTTTGTCGGCATTTGCAATTGGGCTGTTGGAGGAAGGATGAATCTGCGGGATAGAATGGCGCAATCTACAAAGCTACGGAAAGGCTAACATAATACACAATAGCTGCCCGCATAAAGAAGAACGTCGGAAAGACCAGCTCCATCAAGATCAAGGTCAGATGCCAAAAGTACTTGTACACCCTTGTCCTTAAGGATTTGGAGAAGGCCGAGAAGTTGAAGCAAAGTCTTCCACCTAGTATGATCCCCTCACTTCCTCCACGTGAGGTCCAAAAAATACTAACACAACCTTTAGACCTCACCATCGCCGATACCCCAAAGAAGAACCAAAAGGGAAAGAGAATCGCATAAATGGCTGAATATTGGGATTAGATTATGGATTCAAGCAGTGGATGAGACAATACAAACATTGATTGCACAGTCAAGATATTTTGAGCATGGTCGGCGTTTGCAAAATTGCAATGTGATATCCTACTTCGTTCTATGAAAATAAATGGAGTAGAGTGCGAAAATGAGATAAGCTTTCGGAATCCATTTCTTGTCTCTGGTTGTCCAAGACAACATATGTATGGTTGGTGAGATGTGAACTGGTCACCTGCAATAATTTGCCTAGGTTGCCATTACGAATTATCCTCAAGTACCCGCGCACCACTTAAGTCAAGATGGTACTAGGTAGTCTACCTGTGTACCTTCGACTTTGGTTTCTTCCACTATTAGCATCTAATGGAAATACTTAGGGAGCAAAGTTTCAAATACTTATGTTTGAAATCTCTATTCGCTCAATAACAGAAAGGCAGATCAAGGGCCATCTGGTTACAATCTAGCTGCATCGATACAAATTCAACAGCAGATGAATGCTGAGATCGCTGATTAGGACAGTTGATTCTCTCATTAAATTCTTTGTCTTTCGATGTTTCAAAGAACAATCATTTGCTTTATCAAGACATTCTTCACAAAGAATCTTAAACATAGTAACCTGTTATTCTTTGAACTTTCACCTAGCTCGGTGCTCTCCCTTTCATCTGTTCTTTCTCTTTGTTCTCTTCAACATATATCCATCGACAATCCCATTGTCTTTTCTTTCCTACCCATTTTCAGAAATATTTTTTGCTTGCCAATTTTTACCTTTTCTGCACCCTCTGAGTATCATATTCTTGCATTCATTTTTAGCAGAAACATTCTACATTCAAGACGCTGGCCGTCATTAATACAAGCGAAACATCCAAGGATACACATGACACCCTTACAAATACAGTTATCGAGTCAGTAATACGTTTCCTATTCTCACACTCGACATTGGTCAGGCCCAAAGTCATTATCCGTTCATTTGAAAACCAGTAAGTTATATTCTCATTCTATTCCTCATTATGACAATCCACGAGTGTCATCTCAATCCCTACGCGGCCCGGCGTATACTCTGGGCCGGTGATCGCGCCCACATTCCCCTTCAGCCGCTCTGCTGTACCTACTCGCAAGCCGCCGATCTCATCGCCGACAACATAGCCAATGTTCTGCATGGCCCCACTGGCAATCCTCCCCACGACCCCTTCTACAAGATCAAAGAAAACTGGAGACGCTCCAACCTCTCCGATCTCGCGGCCGTCATCAAAACCCCCTGGTTAAAAGGTAAGAAAGAACAAGATCTTCTCGATCTCTATTTTTCCTATTTCAACGCTATGATTTTTGGAGGCGCGCTCAATACCATGAGATGTACGATGATGCTCGAAGAGCCGAATGCGGAACAGAAAGCGAGAAATGTGTTGGGTACGACGGTTGATAAGAGAAGTGAAAAAACTACCACGAGACATAATGTTCGTTGTTATATTAGTGTATTTGTAAGGTCGCCGCCTCCCAAGAATGAAGAGGAGAGTAAGATATTGTTGGAGAATTATCTGGGCACTATGTTGCATGAAATGGTTCATGCGTTTTTTAGTATCTATGTGTGTAAATGCAATACTAGTTGTAGGAGAAAGGTTCTGGAATTCGAAGAATCAGGGATGACGGGGCATGGAATGCAGTGGCAACGAGCGGCGAGAAGTATTGAGAGTTTTGTAAGACAAGGGTTGAGATTGGATGTTCGGTTAGGGAGGGAGGAAGCATTGGGTTTGGAATTGGTGATTGCGAATAAGGAGATTTGGTATGTGGATTTGGAGAAGATGGGGATGGATCGGGAGGTTGTGGATCGGGAGATGGATTGGTTTGCGCATGTTTTTATCGAGGAGTTGGAGGAAAGGAAAAAGATTGAAAAGGAAAAGGAGGATCGATTAGAGAAATTAGAACATGAAAGAGTGGAAAGAGAAGAGGAGGAAGAACTCGCAAAGGAAGAATGGGAAAGAGAAAGACCCGAACGAGAAGCGAGGGAAAGAAAATTGCTAAAGAATCATAGATCACGCATTCATGAGAGTTTACGAGGAATGAGCAGGAGAGCGAATGGGAAGACATTCAAAAGGATCGCGAAACCGGTGCGCGAACGCCTTGCTAAGTCGTCGATACGATTAGATGATGAAGATGCGACTGCGTCCTCAGAACCCCCTCTTCCTAATTTTTTCCTCGCGCAAAGAACGCATTTCGCGACTGAAAATGTAAAATTAAGTCCGGTTACTAAGAGATACCTCGAGAACCTGAAACCAAGACAAGCATATCCGTATATACGGAGAACGATCAATCCTAATATTCCTAGTATAGATGGAAAATACAAGATAGGAATGGAGGTAAGGAAACATACTTACGAGAACAGAGAAAGGAAAATAAAGAAAACGGGGAGAAGTGGAATGGCTAATGTGAAGATTCTAGATCTGGAGGTGTTTTGGAATCTGGAGGAGTGTGCGGAGGAGGTTTATAAGGTGAGGTATTATTAGATTTCTCTTCGATTTTCTTTTCTTGGATTATTTTTTTGTGGTGGGTTACATACGTGTAGATGTAGGTATATATAAAAATTTAATTGTTCGATTTGGATTTTGAATGTACCGAGTAAGTGTTGCTCTAATGTGCGGAGATGTCATGTGAAACGGGAACCCGAAGAGGAGGGAAAGATGATCTAGTCCATTTAAATATTAAATCGTAGTTTTTGGGTGCACGCTTTAATACTCTCTGTTCGAGAGAAAACAACGAGTACATTCTATAATAACTCTCACATATGAATACTGCCCCCTCCCCCCCCACACACACTCTTTTGGAATGAAGAAGCATGAGGCTGATGTTATCACTAGAGCACCTATTGAAAGAGAGGTTACTTGCTTTCCTCTTTTTCCCGCTGGGCGCTCAGAGAATCCTCAAGAAATTGTTTGTTGTCAATAAGCCCTAAAAATAGAACACAAAACATGCAAGAAACGTGAAAGAAATATTCTACTCGAATCAGTTTCTTTCAACCAAGCTCACTAGAAAGAAACCAGCGTATTTTACCGAATCAAATTGACAGAAATATATATACATATTCCGCATACCAGATTTCAAATTCTCACTTCCTCGCCAATAGAAATCACTCTCATCTCCTTCTCATTTTCAATAACTAACATCAAAACACTCAATAAAACTCTATAGAGTAAACGTATTTATTATATACAAACTACACTCATCCCCAAATCCTAATCCTAATCCCATTCCAATCCCCATCAAGTATCTAGCCCAATATAATTCCTATCCCCGATGCAAATCCATTCCCTCTCTTTCCATCCATCCATCCATCCATCCATTTATCGTGAACTTTTAGCATGTACAAAAACCCATCGCATCATAACCTCCAAAAAAGTTCCCCACGAGAAGAAAGCCCCCTGTAATGACAATCCAACGCCTCTAAATGCACCCGTTGATGCTAGCTGTGAAAGTCAAACGCACCGAATCCTATCTTTCGCCGCGCTAAAGTGATGTGATCCACACGGAAGGAAAATGCTTCGGAAGACGAAAGAAGAAAAGAAAAGAAAAATGTAATCCACAGTATGGAATAACGTAAGTCGCCAGTCGTCCCATCACACACGCAAGCGAGATAGATTATCGAAATCCCTCATCTCCAACATTAGAAAGAAATGGAAGAGCATGGCGTGCATATACCAATCCCCGATCCATTCCTGGGCCAGGACTCTGACCACATCCATCATGGGGATAATGACCATGATGATATACTCCCCGAATCCGTTCCCGATGTCTCATTCCTCTCTCCGCATGCTCATCTCCTCTCCACTCTCCAGCCCCCTGCCATTCCGGTCCATAAACTTCCCGGCTCACTTTAAAAAGCTCCAAGTTCGCTCTCATGCTACACAACCTCAGCCAATCCCTTCCAATCCACCTCTCCACCCACCCATCAATAACACCCACCACCCTATGAAACCCATCCGTGTGTCCCCCCATCTCCTTTGCGCCCCATCCACATTTCACAAAGAGATAGCAATGCACCAACTCATGCAATAGCGCACTTAACAATAATCTCCGATCATATTTCGGATCTCTAAGAATGGGTTCGGATAAAACTATTAGAGTTTCGAAGCCCCCTAGAGAAGAAGGACGAAGAGCAGTAGTACCGATGAGTTCTGACGAATAGCGAGGCTGGGAAGGCGAGGACCAGGAAAGTCGAACGCGACTGTGCAGGGAGTTGTGGAAGAATATCGTATCGATGAGGTAGATGATGCGGTCGATAGCGGGATCAGACAGGTGAGCTTTGAGGAGAAGATTTTGAAGTTCGACTTCGAGGTAGTGATGGTCTGGAGGCCGGGTGTAGAGAAAGTGGTGTTCAACGATATTGGCTGCTTGGTCATCGCTCAAAATCGTATGGTCGTGTGAAGCAGGAGAGGGTATTGAGATGTTGTGATCAGAGACGATCGAATCACCGGAGAGAGTTCGTTCCATGACCGGAGCAGCGTAGACATTAAGAGACGGTGAGGGGGAGGTAAAACATGGAGAAGGTGTTTTCATTGGGGTGAGTATTCGTTGATGGTATTGCAAAGTTTGTCGTGGAGGAGGCCGATATTGTGAAGCATTCGGACTAGATCTTTCGCGTTGTAAACGAGGTTCCCTTTCGAGTTTCGCCTTGACCTTCTCATAACGATGCCGCGAGTTTGGTCTTTTACCATCCGTACTTGCACTTCTTTTGATCGAAGCAGTAGCCATGACAAATAAAGAAAAACGACGGACGGAATACAAAATTTGTGACCTTAGGAGTGGAAGGTAAGCTGGTGTATATTATTTTCGGACAAAGCTCACACTACTATGAGGAGCTGCATATGCCACACAACGCATGCACAGTGCAGTGAGGCTTACTCGGGTTAATATTGAATTAGCCCTGTCACCGCTTCTCAGATGCAGAGCTGTCGAAGTACATAAGGAAAAGGGAATGACAGTATGGATTTGTTTTTTCGTGATTTTGTTATTCCAAAAACAATAGCATGAGGCTGAAGGAATATCTTTTACAAGTATCCAAGACTTTACTTGATAAAAGTTGACCATTTACCACATATATCTTCAATTGATAAGTGGGAGGAAACGTCAGATGCGGAGAAAGGTTTTAACAACCATCATCCTTTTAAAATCTCAATGACTCTCTCACTTGCGAATCGTGGATCTTTGATGAACGGATTGAACGGATTATGCGGAAATTTTTACCAAGGTTGTAAGTTTAGTTGGGGTTTCTAGGGTTTCTAAGGTTCCTAGGTGTGCGTGTGCTGTGTGTGCAGTGACAGCGGGCGATCCGAAACCCCCAAGCAGAGCAATTGGAAGGTTACACACCGCCTCGCCTCATGTGTGAGATTCAAGAAGGGAAAAAGAAAAGATACGTTTCGTACCGTTAACGGATTGAACAAGGTCAATCAAATGTAAGGTAGGAAGTTGAAACTTAGAACCGGGCCCACAAGGTCAACTAAATCTAAGTATCAACATGTGTGTGGACATGTATGTACAAAGTATGTATGTATCTGGGTTCTTAGCATCATCGTGGCCATTTTGCTTGGATCCACATGTTCCTCATCAACTTTCAAGCTCGGTTTGCAATACAAGTGTCTAATTCGTCTAATTGTCTGATGGTCTAATTGTGCCAAAAGTACTTTGTATTAAGTTAAGAAATATTAACTTAATAATAATACTATTACTCACTACTTAGTAAGTTGGTAAGCTAGTAAATCAATATTGTATAATTAAATACCAAGCTTGGTACTCTTCAGGGTCTCAACATATACACTGTCGTATTCAAAAGATATCACAGTATCAAGCAATTTCCCTGACGCTAATGTAACTTTAATCTGATCTTGGTTGCCGCATTTCGTTCGCCTTGTTTGAAATGATAGGTCGAAAATTAAGCTGACATTTCCTTAAATCTTCAAATCCATCTTTTGCAGACCACAAACTTTACATGCCAATGCTAGACAAAATGTCCATTCAATTGCGAGATTGCCACACAATTCAGATCAACCCTCCTAAAATTGATGATCAAGTTGCACCGCCCTGTAAAAATTGATATGTGAGTACGAAGTGAAAAGCTAGTCACAACAGTCCAATAAGTTTAACGTATACACACGTATAACCTTACTACCGCATATCTGAAGTAACAAGGCTACCATTCAAATTCACACAAAAATGACCCGAAAAATCTCAAGGTTGTAAGGTACATGATCTTCATCCCAAAATGTCTCAACTGGTCCAGAATCTTCGATTGCTACATGGAATACCAAGATGGGGATGCTTGATATCCGATTCCATTAAAAATTCATCGAGGGAGTACCCCAGCGGCCCCAGCGTCACTCTATTAGTATAAATGTACCTTCATCTCACCATTTTGAACGAGATTAAGTTCCATTGAACGAGGATCCGTGGAATCGGACAGCCTTATTCTCCGATCGGCATACAAATACTGTCAATCTTTTACCTTTTAGTAAATAGAGCCTTTTGAGAAAGCTGTGGTTGACATCTCACAAAAATGTGGTCCTGGAAACTTAGCCCGGTGTCACAGGGTGTATCGCGGATTCCCTGTTGTGCTGGCAGAACATCGGCTGACCATATCAAATGGTCTGAAAATCGAGGATAATCTGTATGTACAATGCCTATTCCGTTGTTGTGCAGCAAGAATGTACAGACCATTGACCCTGACTACGTCTCAAATGTCCGGCTCGAGTGTGAACATGTATTGAGAAAATGCTTGGGGAGAGTAACCAGCTAAAGAAGCTACACAAATCCCATTCCTAAACCTCTCACGTACCTGACCTCGTTCGCTTGCATCTCTAATGCTCTTCTCATAGTTTCTGAATGGGTATGTTCTTCCTTTTCCCGCAGAGCCTCCTCAGCAGTCTTGGGGATTTCTTCAAAGGAGTCGGCCGTGAACCCAGGTTTGTTAGAGAAATTCAATAGCCCTATTTTGTCTCCCGTCCACAAAACAAGATCATTTTCGTTGACCGATTGATCATGGAGCCCAGAGTCAGTTGTCAAAATCTTGAGCGCAATGTCTCCAGATCCAGAATCCATGTAAGAATCGCCCAATGTGCCAAATATGCCCCTCGGGGCTTCAACAGAACCGTGAGCAATGTTCCATCTTCGTGACTCGGTAAATCCATCCCTCTCAAACCATTTCAGATTGCCCCCACCGTCGGAAACAACAATGCGGGTACCATGATTGGCAACAGATAAGAGTTTTGAGCTGGATGATGTTTGACGATTCTTCATGGTAGAATCTTGCAGACGCCCGGCAGAAAATTGGGAAGATATATTGGAGAGATTTGGGTCAGGTGATAGACCGTACATCTCCAAAGAGCCTTTACTGTTGTACTCACCGCAAGCAATCAACGTTTTCCCTGGTCTAGTCTTTGCTTGCCATACTTGCTCGACAGACAATTCACCCCGACGGGCGAGGTCTTTCTCCATTGAAGCAAAAGGATATGGAAGACTAGCAATCTGAGATAAGCGTGCGCCAGAATGAATCGTCCCGCGCAGCTTAGGAAAATTTCTACGATCATAATTGAGAATGCTAGGAAATCGACCAGCAACGTATATATCTCCATTACCATTCCATTCACTTCCTGCACTGGGTAGATGAACAATACTGAGCGGGCCCGGTTGGTACAGATGGGCGTACTCGGCGCTTGGTTCTGGATCTAGCAAGCTTTTGAAACTAAAATGATTGCTAGCAGAGCCAGATGTGCCCCTAAAAAAATCAAGACGCTCAGCCTGGCTGGGCGATCCAACATTTGTTCTTTGACGAGAATCATGAAGGTAGAGAGAGAGATTGGTTCCCACAGTGAGAGGTGTTGGATGTTTTGCCTCGGAAAGAGCAGTGATAGAAAATGGATATCTTTCATGATTTACTGTCTGTAAGGTCTCAAGATCAACTTCGACAAGACCTGTAGCAATGTCAGTAGCTATCAAAGGAAGGGCAATTGACTCCGTCTTCCAGATAGATTTAGCATGAGATTGAATGACCGAGAACCCTTGTCATCCGGTCACCATTTCAAGTAATCGAAATGATGCTTTTAAAGGAAAAGTTTCACATACCACTTTGAACAGCAACATAGGCTCTCTTTAAAGTACTGTCAACACTAATGCATTCTGTGACACCTGTACTTATCATCTTTGATCTTGACTTAAGATCTTTTTGCCCATCCACGGACAAAATTCCTGACTTGCTTCTTGCAATAATGCTACCCTTTTTGGGGGCATCAGTACTGATATCCCAGATACAAATGGAACCATCATCAAGAGGTCTATGGCATGGCATTTAGTACAATTCTTATCTCATAGTATATGCCAATGAGAAACTAAAAAACTTACGCAACCACCATCGTGGTTTTAGTTTCTCCCATGGGTGTATACAACGCCATTCCTCGTACCTCCAAATGTTCATGACTAGCACTTTCGCGATGTCGAGGCTGTTGCACCCAACTTGTTGAAATTGGCGCATTTCTCGCTATGTACTCATCATACCATTTAACCTTCTCAGTCGGATAACTCGGATCCCAATTCGCCAATATCCTAACCCGCTCATTGGATTGAGCTTTGAGATCGCGAGCTTCATGCCGAGGTTTATGTAGTCTCGAATCGCCTGTTCCATTATTTGTAGCAAGAGCTATGGCTAAATCGCGCATACCTGAATCGTCCTCTGGTTCTGTGGATATTAATTCTTGACGTCTGCGAAGCCTTTCGAGAAAGGAAGAATGGGTAAAACACTGATCTCGCCAAAGTGTATCATCGCGACCTAATTCCAGGTATCGTTTGGAAACAAATTGCAATTTGACAATGTCTGAAGGTTCTAGATCTATCAGAATATAACGTTAGCATTCGATTCTCATTGAGAGGATGCGAGAGAATATTCACATGAAGTGATATTCAGAACTATCTCTGAAGGGAGGTCATCCATTTTGGTCTTTTATTTTTATTTTTAACAATTAATTAGAATAAGTATACACTCGTATTGACAGAAGGAATGTTAAGAATATTAAACATTGAAAGACTGACCTTGACATCGAGATCATAATCAATCATCAATCGACCTTGAGCTTCTAGCCGATCCGATAAGACCGATTATGCAAGGGTCGGTGACTGATCTGTGCGCGAAATAGGCCAGACCTCATAGATCTCATAGACCTCATAGACCTCTCGAGCTTCTCTCTCTCTCTCAAGTCTCTTCAACCTCACGTGCTCCACCAAACGAATGTTTTCGAACGACTTGTCGCGGAAATCATTAATCCCCCGAGGTCGGTGGCTTTTTTAATTAGGTAGGCTCTTCTCGATCACGTGATGGAACACCTCGACATTGAACATTCACGGATATCTTCTTCGTACACAAGACGGATCATACAACAAGACGACCGAAAATATCACGTATCAATATCTTGAGTACAGCTTCAATTTGATAGAGTGGTATCTTTTTGAATGGCCATGTTCATCTTATGAAGCCATATAGATGCGCACTAAACTCTAATGTTCCTATCTCTGAGCTCATAACCTTAACAAGCTACACAGTTTTATCTTGAGGATCACACATCCTTTCAATCTATTTGGAAGCCATGGTATTGGTCCTTCATGCCAAGCTCTTTGCCATTCTTTCATCGTAGGCTGGTACCTCAATTAGAATAGCAGCATCGGAGTAGAAGCACATGACGCTTGATTCATTCCCATATGCTATTGCATAATGCAGGAGTACGGCTACCTCCCCTACCATTAAGCCAAGCTACATTATCATACTTCTTATGTGGTCATTCCCGCTTGAGAAACTACATTATCTGGTCAGTGGATTGGAATCTTGTTGGCAGATTTGGATATGCCAAGTGCTTACCCATCCAAGATCATTTGTATGTTGTTCGTTGAGTTTACTCTCCACGACTTCATGGAATTGAGTTCCTGCTCGAGTTATATATACCCTATCTTTGCCTTCCTTTCCATCATCACTTTCAACTTCGCTTCTGCCTTTGTTTCCATCATCACTTTCGTTTTCGCTTCTGTACTTGTTTTCATCTTCGCTTTCGCTTTCGCTTTCGCCTCCGTCAACAATATTCCGGCAATGATCCAGGCGCAGCACAGGGTAGGCCTTAACCACTAGACCAAGCGATTGAAACGTATTAAAGATGGTCATATCAATACCCTTCAATGCATATGGCATGACGTCATCTGTGTCTTCTTGAGTATGGGCATATAGATGGTTACAATAAAATCCAATCACACCACCTAACAATACGTCAACGATAACTTCCGATATGGCAGAACAGTAATGTACATACCTCTTCTCATGAAATCAGGCTGATCCAAAACATTTCTCGCAACTTCATACAAGGGCGATAAGGGCGAATCTACTACCAGGTTCTTTTGCAAGGGGATACCAATTTGCTGCGAGATATAGAGATTATAGGTCAACGTCACACGATGACCACTCGTGACTTCGGGTATCTCGTGCTCGCAGTCACTATAGAACGCAGCCCATTGGATGCTGTCCGATTTATTGCCCCAGTCAAAAAAAAAAGTGTTAGAGCCTCTGTGGGTGACGCGCAATTGTCCACCTGCATGAAATTAGCTCCATCTTTACTACAAATGGCGAAAAGAGCAACAAGTCGGGGAGAGAAATGGATATACTGACCTTGATAAGAACATGGAAGACAGACGACTAGAGAACCAAACTGTCTCGTGCCACGTGGCGTGTCCACATGTGCTTTAAATTTTCCGCTGGGGCCAGAATAGATCTGAACCACATTTCATTTTGTCAGTCGGGCTTTGCCCACGAAGCTTTGCATTATTCCCGACGAACGGCACTTACATTGAGCTTGTATAATTCGGCAAGCACACCTCGATGATTACTCCTATTCCACAAAATGTCTGGTTGAAAAACATTCTGCTGTAACGTTTGAGCAACAACATCAAGGATTCCATAGTCATGCGGATGGAAGTCGATGGAAAACTGGCTTCTATCGAGCTTGCCGGCTTTACGATATGTTTCACCAAGCACATCTTTTCCTCCGAGACCGAACGATGCCGGGACACAGGTCTGAAGGAGCGCTTCCATTGACTTGGAAGTCGTGGAAACAGGGAATACTATCTTCTCGCATACATTTCCTGGCTTGGGGTCCCAGCGAAGCACGATCGGGGGTACTTGTTACTGAAAAGATTGGTCGAAATCTGATCACGAACTAGGTTAAATTTGTCTAGAAATTGAGATAGTATGGTCTGGTCTGGAAAGAGATTACTTGCCTTCTGTAGACTCTTTCTGGTTGGAAGACGAATCGTCAGGAGCTGCGATAGGAATGCTACCACCGCAGCAATAATTTGCAATCTCAAGTATATCCACAGCTTTTTCCAATTCATTGAGAAGCTCTTCTTCAGCGAGTTCCGTCCAGCTTTTTGTCGACATTATGAAATGAGGAGTCTTTCTTTACTTCTATTGACCAGAAGAAGAAATTTGAAAAATGAGAAGAATATTTTGAGAGGGGCAAAATGTATATTTCAAGTCAAGGTATACTATGATATGTCTGCCTCCTCACCTCGGTTCAGGCAGACTGCATATATTGTGAGTCAAGACGCGTTTGTGACGCCTGACCACATGATTTTTTGGGGCAAAAATTGATTTGCAGAAGCAGAATGGCTCAATGGGCTATAAAAATCAGAGCGGTGAGACATAATTCAGGCATATCCATCTAGCACTCAAACATCCATCACTATAAAAGCGATTTTTGATGCATCTATGGGATTACACAGGGATATCAGCAGGCAACAATCCAAGTAATCGGATGATGATTCTGCCGATTTAAACTTCGACATTTCTTTAGACAACCGAACTTGAAAGAGTTTAGCGAATAAGCACTAATAAGTCTGTTCGAGGACTTTGTTTTCATATCATGTTGGTCTCACGGACAGCTGCCTAAAGGTTGCAGATATTGGGTGCTGTCGAATATCTAGATTGCTCAATGATCACAGGTGGATCTTGAAAATATCTGTCTGGCGTTATTGATTTGCCCAGCAAGTAATTGCATGCTCATAGTCTTTTTTCATTCTACCGCAGTTTTACAGGCTTCGTGTGTCATGCATGCGTCGACTGCTGAGGAGTGAGGAATATTCTGCGATCAATCTTTTTATCTCATTTCGACCAAAGCTATGAAGATTCTCATTTCCTTGGTCTCTTTTAGTTATCAAGAACTCATTACTCGTTTCGGGCAAGGTTCTGCGTGGTGCTTGTTCGAGTACTTATGGGGCCTATGTATTTTTCTATGTGAAGTGGTAAGTATTGAAAGAAGGAGAAATGGTCTGTCGTCAGAAGAAATGGTATAGTGATGCAATGATCAAAATCATACGAAATGTTTCCACCGCCAATGAGTGCAAAGAGAACGGCTCTCTTGATACGTAGAGCAGGTTTCGTCTTTCCTGATGCGTGGGTGTGCGACTTTTCTCTATATATATTTTTTTCAAATATAAATAGGTGGTGAATCTTCATACAAATCTTACTTTTACCAATCTTGGAACTTACGCATATGGAACCGTATAAGCACTCGCAAAAATCCAACCCTTCTAGAAGTAGGTAATTCATGCTTTGGTTTTTACAGTGTTAGTTTAGCGATTTCGTTCAATAACCAACATCATCTCGCGTATTTGTACTTTTTCCCGATGACATGGCAGAAAGGGAAGTCTGAACTTGAAGTTAGTGTGCTAATACGGTTCATAACTTGATATTGCAGTCTCATATGAAGTGCCGTACTACTCACACACTGCATGTCAACCAACCTCAAGTCCTAGCACAACCATGTCTGTACAATTTAACAACAATGATAACAACAATAATCATGATCAAACAAAGCAAATCTCAACCCAACTCCCAGCACAAACATGACCGACACACCCGAAGTCACCGAGTTCCCAAACCACATCTTCGACCTCGTGGGCGAGCTCATGGAAGTCAAAGGTCGCATCGCCCAACTCGCCGGACGAGAACGCGAAGCCCAACAAATCCGCGACCACGGATCCCGGGAATTGCTCGAGCTGGCCGAGAGAGTCCAAGCAAACACTTCGCGGCTTCTGCGTCTGCAACGGGAAATCGAGCGCAAGAGAGCGATTTTGCGCGGGTGCGCGGTCGTCGCGTCGGTCTTTGTTTCGGTGCTTTTGGTGCGCGTTTGCGAGATTTTGTGATTGAGGGATTGGGGATTTCATCATCTCAGTATCTCAGCATCTCAGCATTCGATCTAGTCTTGATTTTTTCACTCCGACCTCCTTCCATTGATCTCACAATCTCCTGCTTAGTTTAGTTATTCAAGACTCCTCACAGCCCACCTAATTCTTAATCGATAGATGAATCAAAAGAAATATAAAAAATATGAATGTAAATAAAACCCACTCCTCTCCCCTCACCTCCCCTCCCCTCTTCACTCCCCTCCCTCCCTTTCAACCCTCCATCAAATCAAGTATCACAACCAACCGACTTTCAAGATTCATACCTAATAACCCACTTTCAACTTCCCAGCACTTCATTAAAGATACACTCCTATCCCAATACAAATGTTAGCTCTTTATAGATAGCTTTTCATAACGTGTATGTGTATTGACATATGTATTGACATCGATATCAAGAATTCAAATAATATAAATTTAACCCCGTCACCTTCCCCAACCCTTCTAATCAAATCAAATCCCCAACTTTTCACCCCTCGCACCTCCCAATACTTTCCTTCCGATCTCAGATAACCTTCTACAACATCAATTCTCAAACCAAATAAAACGCAGGAATATCGAAAAAGAAAAGTCAACATTAACATTAATTACTTTTAAAAATAAAATATGTACTAAGAATCTATCCATCTAAGTACCTACGTAAAGTCATCATCGTTTCGTTTCAAATGGGATATCATGGGTGGTCTGTGTTCCTTTCCTTTCCTTTCCTTTCCTAACCTGCTATCAGGTTATCCAAATCCCTACCTTAATCAACTTCTCCAATCCTATAATCCAGATATCACATCATAGCTCGTGAGTACCTCCATTTCCTAACCAACCTATCCAAACATCCAACCATCCAACCATCCAGTCATCCAGTCATCCAGTCATCCAACCGTACTCCAAACCCCCTATCCACCTTCAACTGCTCACCCTTATACATCTTCAATATCCGGTACGTAAACCCCCTCCTTACACGCCACCACCACTCTCTTAAAAAATCGTCTCCACTCCAACGGATCCCCCTTTACCTTCACAAATCTCACCTCCACCAACTCAATCTCTTCCGTCTCATAAGAATCCAAAACAATTTCTCCATTCATCCCACATCTTCTACTATCTACCGCTCGCACCTTGATCCAAGCTGCATGCAATTGACTATTTTGCAACTGTGCCAAGGGAGGTACTGGTATGTTCATCGCATGCAAAGATTCAGAGAGAAGAGTCAGCAATTGAGGAACGGGGAGATGGGAAAAGAATCGCGTAAGCGAGTAATTCGGGAGAATATCTTGAAATTGACGAGCATGTTGTGTGAGACGAAGGGAGACGGCAGGATTGGATGAAAATTGAGACATGGAAGGTTCATCCGCGAGTGTGGCATCTCCATGATTCGACGCCACTGGTGATGGAAGTTGGAAATTACAAGTAGTCTCGGCGGGTTGAGATGTGGGTAATACACGGGGTGGTCGTTCCCAGTCAAATTGCATATCCATGACTGGAGCTTCTGGTTGCGTGAATGCAAAGTTGTGACTATCGAGTTGCATTGCATCCTGACTAAGCTGTGATGCACTTGGCTTTTGCTTGAAATCGATCCGAAGATTTGCCAACATTTGTGTAGCAAGACCCAATGGATCGCTCATCTTACCATCTGTGGTGAGAAGTGGATTCTTGCGTGTGTACCATGGATGTCGTTTGATGTGCTCAAAGTTAAAGCGTTTGGATACATCGACATTCATCATACCTCTTAATAGTGATAGAACCGAAGTCGGCAATCTTCGCCATAATTCATCTGAACTTCGTCCATTGGATTTTACGTATTCATCGAATTCCCAGCTTTCAGAAGTAGGTTGGTCCCAAGGTGTATTTCCCACCAAGAGCACAAATAAGACGACCCCGCACGACCAAATATCCACCATATTTGCAGCGTAACCTGCACCCTTCACCTTGGTTTGAGTACTCCTAGAGCAAGAGATGACTTCCGGTGCAATGTATGGAGGACTACCACACATAGTCGTACTAAGTTTTCTCGCTCCATTATATTCAAATAGTGTTGCCAGTCCAAAATCTGCAATCTTCAAATCGCCACTACTCGACAGTAATATATTCTCAGGCTTGATATCTCGATGTCCTACACCTTTCTGATGCATATAATTTACTCCCCCAATCAATTGTGTAAAGTAGAAATGTGCAATATCTTCCTTCACTCCAACATCTGCTTCGATCTTGTCGAATAAGTCTCCTCCCTCTGCATACTCCATAGCAATCCATTTCCAAACCGCATCTTCGCCCGTCGCAAACCACTCTATAATATTTGGATGTCGTCCAATATGGGAATGCAGGGAAACCTCCATTGCGATTTGCTTTGAAGAAATGCGGCCATGTTTGACTGCATAAGCTTTATGTATGAATTTGACTGCGAATACTGGGGTGGAATCAGTTGGAGGGATGGCTTTCTTGATTCTAGGCAATTATTAGCATACACACATATATTATATAATTCCGAGTATAGCAAAGACGACCAAGCTGGTGTTGTGATTTTTTCGACTTACGATGCATAGGCACCGCGACCTATTGTTTTCGAAATGATTCGAAAAGGTAGGTCGCGGGGCAGCGGGTCCATCTGTGACATTTGCATTGCCATAACTTTTAGATTGAGAAGAACGACGTTAAAAATGGACGAACGCGGGATGGATGTCTTTCCAAACCCCACCACTTGATTCAAAACGTATAGAAAGAAAGCGAATGAAGCTACGTGGATGCCAATGGAAGAACCTTGGGAGAATAGGTACTAGAGTAGAAACTTATCCAATGAAGCACCCAAGAAGTGGGAATTATTCTGAATTATTGTGAATCCCAAACTATTGATCGTTTTCTTATAAACCAATCGAATTATTATTACAGACAGTACTCGAGTGTTTGAATGTATGAAGCGCGTCCTGGTTTCAGTTAACACTTTAATAAGTCGCGAATCACGAAAATTGGTGACTGCTTACTAGACATGTATTGGAGAGGCAGAACTCGTACTAAAGATCTAATACCGTCCGTTCGCGTTTCTATGGCTACCCTGCCTAAAAAAAGAGAAAGTCGAAATAAACAAAGTCCAACCTCAAATCCTTCTTTCCTACATGATAATAAACACACTTTCTTATATCTTCCTTCACTCCACATCGCATCACAACACTTTTGTACATTCACCACACATATACTCCCAAAAGGTTCCCAAAAGAATTTCTTTGTTCCTCTCCTCTTCTTCCAGAAATACCCACCGTTTGCTCCTTTCCACACAATTGTCAATTGCTTTCAGATTGGCATTTCTTTTTATACATTCCCCATCGACATAAACCACCTTTGTCCGTTTCTGTCTCGCATTTACACTAGTACTACTTACTGATCAATTTCTTAGTTACAAATACTTCAGTTACTTAATTGGATTGCATTCCTATTCTTCCTCAAAAAAAAAAAAACTATCATCATGAATTACGCTATGGAGGATACACAGAACACTTCCCCAGGCGACGTACCACCTGCCCAAGCTGCCAAACTTGCTCCTCGTAAAGGTCCCGATGCTCAGAGTACCACCAAACGGTTTGTCCCCCCCCCCCCCCCCCCCCCGCTACATACCTTGACCGCTTCCCATTTCCAACACTGCATTCCCAAAATCCAATACTAATTCCTCATTCTACCTCGCCAGTCTCCAAACCGAATTAATGCAACTCATGACCTCTGCCGCCCCTGGTATCTCTGCGTTCCCTTCCGCAGATGGCAATCTTCTTTCCTGGACCGCGACGATCGATGGGCCAGATGATACCCCATATGCATCTAAGAAATTCAAGTTATCTTTTGCGTTTCCATCCAACTATCCCTATGCACCACCAACGGTCCTCTTCAAGACTCCTATCTATCATCCCAATGTCGATTTCTCCGGTAGAATTTGCTTGGATATTCTGAAGGACAAGTGGACAGCCGCTTATAATATTCAAACGGTGTTGTTGAGTTTGCAGAGTCTTTTGGGCGAACCTAACAAGTACGTTTGAGAAATCTCGACATGAGTGAATGAGTATAGGATCAGGGCTAACATACATCAACAGTGCATCACCATTGAACGGCGAAGCCGCAGAGTTGTGGGACAAAAACCCCGAGGAATTCCAAAAGAAAGTTAATGGTCGTCACCAAGACATTGATGACGAATAGGTTTTTGGGGAAGGAGGAGTAGAAAACATCGTCATTCAGATACCCGGCGTCAATATGTTTATGAATTGGAGATTGTGCATAATGGACTTTGGTCTATGTCTCGGCTCGGGCATTGGGTTATTGCTGCATTCTCAGGATAGTACAGGAGGGCGTAGTCCGATTGGGACCTCGAAGGTTGTATCCTTATTTTGGATCTTCAATCAATACAAATGAACGCATTGTTGAACATTCTTGAACTCTACTTGATGTGCATGATTCATGACGTGAGACTTACTTCATGCGACTTATTTCCGATTGACGATTTTGACCTAGTCTGATAGTCGCTTTTTGCGAAAGGGCGTAGCGATAGGAATACCCTCCAAGGACCTACCGAGGCCAATTCACAAAGTAGTCTTCTTACCCTTGGTTGTAAACTCAGTCCTTCAACCATTCGTTCACTGGCCATAGCCTTGTTGATTTTACACGAGCAGCTCATTTTCGGGTTTCCATGGCTCTTTGCCATCGTTCAAGGTCGCAAACGTGGTAAAGTATCGCTGTGGGCTATGTGTGATGCGTGGTGGAATGGAACAAGAAACAAAACATTCAGATATTCTGCAGGAGAGTCTGGCAATGTGGTATCAAGATTTGAAGATTCCTATGTTCAATGAAATATGGGAACTGCAAAGCTCGCAGAAATTATGTCGAAGGGTGTTCTGATGCATCACTTGTTTGCATGCTTCGATGGCCCAAAAGTAACCTCACACTATTTCCACTGCACATTTGCATGGCCTGGAGAAGCATTACTTCCCCAACTCCTCGAAAAAGACCCTATCTGCCTTTTCCCAGCCTCATAGCACAGACCAATATCACAAGTGCATGAAAATGTTCCCACAACAATTGACTGCATTTAGGTATCGAAAGTTAGACCTTTTCATTTTCCGCTACCTTAGCAAGCAGAAATGCAGCAACTCCAGAAGTATCCCCCATGCCATTTGATTTTTATCATTTATGCATCCTCAACAACAACGGTGTGAAGACCCTTGGGGTTTTGGACATTGACGGCTTGGACGTAACTGTACAACTTCTCCTTGGCGCCCTCCTCGTCGTTACGCTTTCTCGAGATTCGTACGCGGAGTCTGAATGGAACACCCTTGATACCAGCTTCCCAGACCTTCTTGTTCAATTGGGGATCGAGACGAACATCGGTGGTACCCTATAAATTAATGAAATACCAACATCAGTATTGTTTCCTTGGTGTATCCTCCTGCCGATCTTTCTAGATGGAAATCCATACCATTGACAAAGTAGCGAATGCCTTAATCTCCTTGATGGCCTTTGGGGCACGCTTCTTGAAGGAAACACCATGTAACTAAAACAAAACTATCAGTCTTTTGCCTTTTTCGACGCCCTATTTTTCGCAATTTCGACATACTCTCTTGTGGAGGTGGATGGTGTACTCGCGCGCAACAACGTCAGCGATGGCGGATCTTTGGGCCTTGCCGCCGGTCTTCTTGGTGGTCGTCGACATTTCTGAGATATTTGTTAGAATTGAGAGATTTCGGTTTTCGATCTTCGATTGATTCGGCTGGGAGGTATATTAACGTACTGAAGGATTTGTCGCGAGATTTGTCGTGAAAAGTTGTCTTGTCTAAGCTTCAATAATGCAGTCTTAGAATTTCGAAATTCCTTCAGTGTGGAAGGCGCTAGTTAACCGAAAAGTTCAATAAATTGTTGATGCCTGGTGATTGATTACATAACATGATAAGGCCAGAACCGCGAACCTCAGTTTGTCAATGGATTCAGTGCGACGCCGATAACATAACGTTTATGACTTCAATTTTAATCTGGACTGAGCGTCGCGAACTTAAAAATCTCCTCAGGTTCTAAGTTTCTTTAACAGATCCTATTCACTCTTTTAGTTTATCCCGACTTTCGACGCTCTTTCCGATCCTTTCTTTTCATTACCACGACAACAACAACTTCACAACAATCCTCCAATTTGCGACAACACCTGAGGACTCCTTGCCGAAGCAGAGCCAATAGTTCGAACAATACCTTCCAATTCAATCCTTCTTGCTGTCCAATCAATCCAGTTCTGGTCTTCCCTCTATCAACATGTCAGGAATCAGTTCCCCTCAACCCGATCTAAATCGGAATCGGCTTCCAACTCTATTTGAGGTACTCAGTAGAAGGACTTTACCCCCAGTGGATCTATTCTCCTTCTATATTTATATGAGAGATCAGCAGCGCTCTGTTGATTATCTTGACTTTTGGTTTGTCTTCCTTGCCTCAAATTGTTTACTTCAATCACTAACTTGAGGTAGGCTTGATGTTGCTCAACATATGTCATTATGCCGACACTATGTTCGCGAACTGCGACGATCTGTAATGATTGGTACACCTAAAGGCGACGATGCTCAATCCAAACGATCTTCTGCTGTTCTAGAAAACCTTGGTGATATGTCAAACCCCGCCGGACCATCCATGTTCACTACAGAAAAGGAGAAAAGCCAAGATGCTCAGATGTCCGCCTTCCTCAGAGAACAATCTGATACTGGAGAGGTCATTGCCCCACAAGGACACTCTCCTTCTCATAGTTTGGGATCCAATGTGTCCGGTCACAATCTGGGAAATATGTCTAGCGAAAGGCCTAGACCAAGTTTCATGAGCAGCCCCATGGATTTGACGTCAGATTCAAACTCTCCTGCACACACTGTCGCGAGAGCCGACATCCGAGCTTCTGCTGAGAAAATTCTCTATACTTTCCTCCTTCCAGGTGCTGAACGTGAGATTATTCTTCCACACGCTATCACCCAAGATATTACCATTTCTATTGAAGAAAGAGGACGCGACGATCCGGAAGTGTTTGATGCAGCCAAGGACTATGTTTTCCAAGCAATGGAAAGGGATGCCTTCCCAGGTTTCTTGAGAATGAAGGCTTTAGGCAACTTAGTCCCTCCTTCGATGATGTTGAGATTGATTGTTGGCCTACTTTCAATGTTTGCCGCATTCTGGGTTGGATTTATTCTAATCTTCCTCAACTATCCCCACCATACTCGTGTTTGGGTACGTATTTCACATTTATCTTCACACTCTTCATCTTCGTACTGACATCATCTTAGCTCCTTCTTCCCTTCACCATTGGTGTCTATGCACTCTGTTCTCACCAATATGCCCTTGATCCCATTCTTGCCCTGGCCGGATACAGTGAATACACATTCATGTCTTTCTCCAAAATTCGAGAACCATTCGTTCGAAGGCTTCTCCACAAACGTGCACTCATGGTCCTAATGGTCACAGCTATCACCGATGCAGCACTAGTCCTAATTTTTGCTTTGGTACCTGGAAAGAGATTGTAAACGTGAGGATTGGTAGATGAAGGCTAAATGCAGAAGTATAAGAACTGCATGAAACATAAACAAAGCACGCCATGGAAGTGGGATGGAAAGGAAGGGAGTTTTGGGAGTTCTGTTTATAGAGCGAGGTGTTCTGGGGACAAATTTTCTCTTTCATATTTTGTGATTTGGGATTTTGTACACAGGGTTGGCAGACAGGCAGGATGATATCACAGGTTGATTTGATGGCGTTGAGTTAATTTGTTTTTATCATTTTGGAGGAACTTTATTTGTTTTTATATTCTTCTCGAAAAAGACTGGATGTCTCTACAAAGAGGATGGACGACTCGAAGATCCTTTTGATGGCACCTCTTTTCTGTTTTTTTCCCCCCTTAATTAATCTATTTGTATGCGTAGGAGCTAATAGCGTGTGATTTTGATATCCTCTTCCTTCATACATTTAATGCATGATTATTTTCATATAGAAACCGCACCGCCTGACTAAACCAAAGTGAAAATGTATGCTCTATCTTCTCCCCCTTCATACGCCATCTTATAGTTTTATCGTTGATTCCTGCTTCCACGTCCAAAAATGAATTGGGGTATATCTCAGCCACAACATAAGAAAACTCCATACGTATGGAACTATGATTTCATGTAGGGAAATAACTTCCGGAGAATACCAGGACTTTTTTCCGAGCCTTCTGGGCTTGCTGAAGTCGTTGAAGAAGCTAAGTTTGCTGCGCTAAAGAATTGGTCAGTGAAAAGTTCTACTGGCCACAAGCTCGAAGCTGCGACAGCAAAACAACTCACTTCCCAAACCCTAACCCGCCAAAACCTCTCTTCTTCGAACTTCGTGTGTCCTTATGCTGACCACCCATTGGATCCACATCATCCATTTCCTCATCACTAGACTGTCCTTCTAGTCGGTTGTGGCGTTTCCCAGACGATCTCGTCATTCTGCCTGTTAGACTTTGGATATTGCCCATGATGCCAGTCGGTCCTGACGAATTCTCAGAGGGAGGAGTGGGTTCGAGGAGAGATTCGACATGGGCGTTCCAATCCTGTTCATCGCGGTGACGGCGCTGGGCATCAGCTTTGATGGAAGCGATTTGAGATTCGAGGGAAGAGAGGGTGGTGGTGCAACGAGCGGACCAGGCGGAGAGAGTGGAGAGCATAGATGGGATTGTGGAGTGGGGAAGATCGCGGAGGGGTGAGACGGAGGAGACAAGTACGGTTTGGTTATATGGGTCCAATGTACAAGTAATGAGACCGGCGTATATAGCACTGATTACGAGATCTTCGAGTTCGCGGGAGTGGAGAGAGCGAGGGCAGATTGGAGTTTGGGGTAAGTCAAGTCGGCGGGTTTTTGGCAAGGGTGAGAAAGGAAAGCTGGCGAAGTTTGAGAGTTTGAGCTGCGGAAAGGGTGGGGAGAGATGGGTCGCTAGTGTAGTCGGTATATGTGCCATAACTGAAGATCTTGAGGAGGGAGAGATAGGCTGCTTGTTCTGGAGGGGCGGTAGAGAGAGCTTGAATTTGAGGAGTGAGGAGAAGTTCGGTGAATATGTAGGTTCCTGGAGCATCAGTCGCTCGAGTGATCAGGTCGATAGCAGCGCGGGGTGATGTCGCAGATTTAGTCAGAGCTAGGAAGGGCTTGATACAGTTAGTACACTGATGTCAATTTCAAGCAAATCCAGTCGAAAATCATAATTACCTCCAAAGCATTCAGAGCCTTGATTTGCTCCATCTTATATTTATGAGTATTGGTATGGTTTGTATGAGCTTGTTGCCTATTGAAGAAGAGCTTCGATTACTAAAGAGTTACGAAATGTCTTAACCTGACTTTCGAAATAGACGAGCAATGCTTTCGAGAATCGAATTGTCGTATATTTTGTATTGAAGTCGGGAACAAGAAGTCTTTTTCACAAAGTAATATTGTGTAGTGGTAGAGTGTGAATTGATGGAGATGTAGCGTTTGCTATCTAATCGAGACTATCCGAGCTTGAGGCGCTAGTATGGTTAAGGTACAATTGGTCTCCACTTTTATTGCACTCCATATTCTCGTCAACGACAACGACGTTAATGACAATGACTACTGAAAAACGACAACACTCAATAGGTCCAAACTCGAATTATGATGCCAAACTCTCACATTTGATGGTGTTGTAGAGTTTAAATTACGCTAGAAGCTAATTCCTCTAATGGTACTTTATGAGGAGTATAAGTAAGCTGTTCCTGCTGTTTTCTAATGAGGTTACGTCTAAAGGATATTCAAATTCTGAGGTCGATAAAAGGGGTGAAGTATCTAGTTATCCATAGAGTTTATTAAGGGTATGAGTGGGTATTGGTCTTCTAAGAAGGGGAGCAAACGCCTGCCGGATTGTTAGTTTGTGTAGAGGGAAGGTAGGAATAACTCCCGTGGGATGCTGGCAAGAGGTCGAGGATGCAGTAGTAAACCGTCACCGTTAGCTTCTTCTCGGAGCTTGATGAAGTCTTCTAAATCTCTTGAAATGGACATTGGCGCAAGTGATGGAGGAGCTTCCATATAGCTTGTGTAGAAGTCTAAGAAATTTGGTAAGGGAATAATGATGTGGCAGTAAATCATCATTGTAAGCTTCCAAGATTTTCTCACAATCTGCTAAAGCCTTTCGATAGATTTCAAGGACTCAATACATATATGATAGGTGATTAAAGGAACCCATCAATGTTGGTAAGTCGTGAGGTATGAGAGAGGAAGGCTGTGAGTTCTCTCCTTTGTGGGCTGGAAATGGAAGGAACGATGGCGGACCATGATACCAACCAGGTTATCTTCAATCCAAAGAAGTCAATAGCTATTCCCTCATGAGATAAAAATATCACTCCAACTTCCAATTCTCAAGTTCTCATTTGCCTGCCATCTCTTCGTTATACACTCCTGGTATTAGCCAGAGGTATCGAGTGACCTATCAAAGGCATAGGTCGCATTATAGTGAAGCTTGTTTGGACTGAAAGTCTTTCTCTTTCTTCACTTCATTCGCTTGGGAAAAACATGATTTGTTTATGTCGGCGGACCGATCGCGTTTTCAGAGTTACCTAAAAAAGCATCATCACAACAAAAAAATCAACAACATCATACGCCAAACCTCTTGAGGGCCGACGTACTCGCAGCTACCAACTTCATTCGTTCTTTTATTGCAAAGTCTCTCGTCTCTTATGTAACACGCTGAACACGACAAGAGTGTAATTTTCCTTTCGTTTTCAACTTGATTCCAACTCGAGGAATTCTACATCATCAACAATACACGCGATTTCATAGGATCCCTCGTTCAACGCTTTACATTTCTACTTGGCATCAAGAACCATGAATTCTTTCTTTTATTAGTCTGCTGACTCTCAACGACCATTGAGTTCTTTTCCTACTTTCTCGACTGAACTCTGTGTTAATATTCGATCACAAGTCGAGGTGCCACCAACACGGTGAATACTTTAATAGTTAAACCCCACATTTCTGTCAATCGATACTGGTCAATAGACAGTCTTTTTCTAATAATGTCTCATTCTATGGTTGGGTTTGCGGACCTACCAATTTCCAAAAACTCATCCAAGAACCCACATCGTCAACAACCAGACTCATCTAATTACCCCAGATCCAGATCAACTTCTCAAGAAGCTGAGTTTCCTTCTTCTTCTTCCAATAAACCAACGCCAGTCAGGGCAGTATTTGATGATCTGCATACTGCCCACTCCTCAATTACGTCAGGAAATAAGAGAACCTTCAGTGGACGGCGTGCAATTTCGCACAATCTCTTCGAACCACCCGAAAGATCCGATTCAACCCCACTCCAGAAGATAGAGAGAAAGCGCGGTACCAATGTCGAGTCATTTCTTCAAAACGTACCGCTTCCTCCACCTCCTGCTGCCTTGTTCGGAGGACGTTATGGGTCTAATACTGAAAATTCCACTCCAGTTCCTCGCTCAAGATCACATCGTCTTCCATCAACAGTCAAGGGCGAACCTGGCTCTTCACTTGGCAGTATAAAAACTGCTCTTACGGCCATATCATCATCCATTACACAGGATATAAAAGATGGACAAGATAGAGCTCCGCATTGGCCACCAAAAAACCTCAACATTGCAAAGGACACTTTTGGAAAGAAAGCCTCAGGTTACATGGGGCTTGTTAAAGGAAACGATGAAATGGATTCATCTAACCCAGCAGATCGACAATCAGGTCATGGTCGAAATGCCAGAGACAAATCAAGCATTCGATGTCAAGGTCATGACTTTTCCATTCAACGTTCTCCTCTTGGTGAAACACTATCGGGTTTGTCAAGTAGTGATGAAGGAGGGAGTTTGGGTGATCTGACACGTACAAAACCTCACAATCCGACACGACATTCTTTGTATACACCAAATCAAGGAGAAATTCAATCACCAATACGCAAGAGCTTTTCTGACACAACTCCTCAGAGACACAGCTATGATTTCCGTCGAGCTACTAGCACTGTTGGCAACATATATAAGCATTATCTTCACTCCAACGGAGGAGGAGCTGACACCGATAGTGAAGAAGAGATGAACGAGAAAAGCCCTCTGCAAGGAGAAACCGCCACTCAAGATTCAGATGCACAAAACTACATTCGCGAATTCGACCTAAATATGAGACTGGACTCTGAAGAAATGTTGCCCACCGCTCTTAATATACACAAACAACCCAAGGTTGTTAGGGTAGCCGAAGAGCCCAATAGTCAGCCACCAACTCGTACTTTGCCCGAAATACCAATTCTTGACGTGCCAACAATTGCTCCAAGTATATCTCAAGGAACCGGTCAACTTTCCTACGGTGATACACACCAACTCACTCAAACAAATAAAGGTGTATCTCGAAAAGTTTTGCAGCAGAGAACTAACGACATGGATTCCGACGTAGATGACTCTGAAGCAGACGTCGCCGCGCAACTACATATACCCTCGTTTCCCTTCGCGACACCAAAAATTCAAGCCACCCCAAAAGTCATAATTTCTCCAGCAGATGATCCTTCGGTATATGGAGATGATCCTCATTGGACGGACCCGATTATCATGCGGCAGCCATTGGAGAGAGAAGTCAGCAAAGCTCTCCGTCGTGCTAGTGGTTATAGTGTCTATAGTATGGAAAGTGTATCGACTTCATTGACTCGCCGGAATGAGCATCCTCTACCTCAAAGGTCTGGACTGAATTTCTCAAGGAAAATCAACGTCGAGGATACACCCCTATCTGACTCTGGGAGCCTTAGCACTGAGCAAAGAGATTTCATAGCACAGGCGCAAGCCTTTTATGACCGTGGAGCAATTGCACCAAATTGGGTTACTGCTCATCATCAGAATGTCGTTCGGATCCCGATTAGTCACAGTGTTAAACTTCCAGATTCTCCCCCAGAATCACCTAACGATCGACCTCATGAATCGTCCGAAAAACATATCACACCTACTGAGGCTGAGGATTGGGAAACTGTGGCAGACAGTGTTGCAGGACCTTTTGGTCGTTCCAAACCAAACGAACTAATGATGATGGGAGGTCTTGTAAACAGAGCTGGAAGCAGCATTGCAGATAATTCAGATGATGGCACAGATAGTACGGAGCCACTACATATTGATGAGTATGGATCTTCGGACCGTATTGCGCACCACCCAGGCAATGTTGAATACTATGGAGATTATCGTCAAAGAGATCTAAAGAAGACCCGCATTCCTGTGTTTTTGCCTGTTTTCAGAGAACATAAGGTCAATGGATATCTTGCAGATTCAAATAGGACACGGCCGCCTCCAAATTATTACAACTACAATCCAAAACCTCTCCTCAAAACTCATACCAATCCATTCAAATCTCCTCCGCCAAAGATGAAACCACCTCGTGGTCAAAACGTCAATTTGATTCCGTCATCCCTACACACAAGCGAGGAAAGTGCAGACTTTACAAATTCAAATCAAGGCCAGCAAGTTCCTTTCGGAAATCAAGGTCATGTAGATGATCGCTTGAGATTCGACTGGACAGGTGAGTTGGAGCCAGGAGTTGCTTTAGGTGGTTCCAGTTATGATATACCACCATTGAACAAAAAACGTTCCAGTTCGTGGCAATATGTATTGGCCCTTGGTGAGAAGATTGCTAGTCCGAAGAAAGAACTATTCGCGACAACGGCAACTACCAGCAGCAAACATAAGGAAATCAACATCGAACTGAAGGCTACCGGTAGTTCAAAGCCTCAAGGTCAAAAGCCTTTCATCAAAGGTCCTCCAGGTGCCTTTTATAGGGATTTACATTTGAACTCGAAGCATGAACCAAGGCGTGTTAGTTTGATTCAGGCCAACAGACCTGCTAAAATTCCTGCTCAGAATAACAAAACAAAGGAGTACCCAACAAATACCCTTCGGCCTTTCGCACTGCTGGCATCTGCTACTAATACACCTTCAAACATCGGAAACCGTCCTATTGTTAAGCCACCTTCAACTCCTGTTCGTAGCAATAAGAACCGGGGTGCTGAAAGTGATAATCCAAATGACTTCATTTATCGATCGCCTCTTGCTCCTCCCAAGCGTCCAAGTTGGCAAGATTTGTACAGTCCTCGTCAATTGCAGGAAATTCGAAATGCTGCAATATCCGATGGTTTCTTTGAATCCCAACCTGTACTTGGCGATAGCCCTCGTGATTCGAAAGGAAATACATGGAAGCATCTATTCGAAAATCCCAAGTTATCTCCTTGGTCTCAAAACCCTGCTCATATCATTATTGAAGCTCGTCGCAAGAGAAGCATCTCAATAATGGTATTGGCCTTGTGTAATCTATTCCCTCCAATTCTGTTATTGTATGCAACTGGTCGAATGGATGGAATCATTGTGTGGTGGACAAATGGAGATTTTTCATCTTTTACATTAAAACAAAAGAGATATGCATGGTTATTATTGGCTTGTTGGATGTGTGTTATTGCTATTGGTCTTGTCGCATTTTTGATTATCTTCTTTACAAAATTGCGTTAGTGATAGGAAATTTTTGATTCGGATGATAGTACGAGGTAGGCAATGGAGAGGGGGTGGGGGAAGGCAAGGCTACAGGAGGGGAGGGGATTAGAGAAGAAAGGGAATGATTTCAATATGGTAGGTGAATTGAAGGATGAGCAATTGCATGTTATTATATGTGCTTTATGTTTGGTAAAAGATAAGAAGAGCATTCTGAGGTACGAGATCTTGAGTTGAGATTTTACAGAGTATGATGGGACATTCAAAGGAGTGTATAATGAAGGTCAAACAACAACAGGCCATGGAGATAATTTTGGGAAGATTTCAAGAAGTGTATAGTATGTATATTACCCTGAGCTATGGACAAGATGAAAAGCAGAATGGAAACAGAGTTTTCACTCAACTTTATTGTTCTCAATGTGCTACTATGTGCGTGAACGACAGATGCAAAAGATAGCAGGTAGTGAGACATGAGCTAGAAGAAATACAATTCAAAAGCTAGAGTCGGGAAGTATGCCGTCTAAAATTGTGGCATACGGTCTATCATGTTGGGCAAAATTTTCCTTTTGAGCTTTAAAAAAGGCTTTCAAATAATGGTGTATGTGGAGCTCTTTCTTTACATGAACCAGAATCCAAATATTGAGGTTAAAATTTGCTAATGGTAGGATTACATGAGATTCTATATTTTCATTCTCCCTTACTTCGATGATAGAAACCCGTCTTGTATATTTCCAGCCCCAAAGAGGAAATCTCACCACACAATCAAAATGATAGGAGACTCAAAACCACAAGCGAAGCCCACCCGACCCACATGATCCATTCTTACCCCACACTCACGCAAGGGAAGATTATTCCTGACACCAGCATCACCAAAAAAATGCAAAGCTTCACAACCATGTAACGACCTCGAAACAATACATAATTTGATCGGAAAAAATGGAAAATGAAAACAGAAGATGAGGAGATCTTGGGGATGAAAAAAAAAGTAAAAATTGAATTGGACTAGCGGCGAATCGAACGCCGGACCTCTCCCATGCTAAGGGAACATTATACCACTAAACCACAAGCCCGTTTAGACATCTTAGAAGATGCTTTTGATGAAGTGAGAAAGAAAAAAGAAAAGTATATTTAACCAAATAAAGATGGGATAGGGATTTGTGGGAATGGAATGCAATTGAATGGAAAAGGGGATGAGGTGTATATAATACTAATGGAATATTATTCTACTAATAAACTATCAGCTCCAGGTTATTCACATTCCGTCTATTGTTTTCTGAAATATAATCTAATTTTTGATTCCAAAATTAAAACTTGATAACGTAAATAAGAGGGATCTCGATCAAGTTAAGTTGTACTTTCTGTAAAGAACATTGTCTATACTACTAAGCATCACGGAGCAGCAGACGGGGTCATTAGCTTTGTCTAGAATGGCGAAGTAATAGTAGACTTAGATTTAAGATTAAGACGTAGCTCAAGGAGCTACAATATAGAAGCTTTCGAATATGAAGATATGATGGTGGTGGAAGGAAAAACGGGGTTTTTGTTATATTGAGCTTTTGAGCATTAAGCTCATGCGATTAATATCGAAGCTTAAAACTTGACCATTGCTAAGCCCGATAGCCACTTGATCGCCTATCGCATCATAACAAGATACCTTGAAATCCAACGGTAAAAGAAATGTAGACGAGGATTGTGGAAGTTTTCTTCTCGATTCGTTGGAGTACAAGGCTAAAGTGGCTGCGAGGGAGAGAGGGGAGGGCAAAAATCTGAATGGGAGAGCACGGATTCATTGTTGACCGATGTTGACCACAACAGAAGAGAAGACTCGTATCATGATATTGTACAAAGTAGAGAGAGAGCCTGAAGGTGACGAATAGGAGGTCAAGCTGTTTTTATTCACGGGGTGATCCGGCCCTGCACGCAGTACTTTGAAACATACAAATTAAGTAGTTGTATCTTATCCCCACTAGCACTGATATGCGACACAGACTTTGAAAAGACTTGTCGAGAGCAGAGACATATCCAGTAGGTAGGAATTTAAATGTATTCACAAGGATCTCCAGAGTCTAGTGTGGCTAATATGTATGTGAACTATTGCAGGTCGAATTAAACGGTATTCAGCAACCATAAGAGGACTCTTTCTGGCACGTGAGACACGATCGTCGTTATTTAAACTTCGGTTCCTTTGGAATTTATTATTGAATGTGTCAGCTATTTATGGAGTACATAAATGTCTCATCAGCCCTATCACGCCCCATATTTCATACATCAGGAATTCAGATGAACTTCATTCCTCATTCACCAGGTCCCTCCCAGGCTGCTCATTGATGATCACAAAATACATCTTCTCACATACCATAAGAAGTATGAGTATGGCGACTCATCACCAGCCCAGCTAATCCTCACGTCCTAATGCCCCTCACTCTTATGTATACCCATCTGTGGCCTTTTCCAATTCCAAATCAACAACAAAGTCAAGAATTGCGCCGCCGTAAATCCGATCAGAATCTTTAATTGCAAATCGTAGCCCTGTCCAAATACCTCTTGTACCTGAGCTTTCAAAGGTTCTTCCAGAGACGATATCGCAGAAGTAGATGATAGAACACTTTTGAGTTGAGTATCATTGAGGATTTTTGGGAGACGGCCTGAAAGTTGATTGTTGAAAGCTGTGGTAACGGACGCTAGACCGAGTGTGCTTCCTGTCATACGGAATTGGACGACTGCACCGGAGGCAGTGGCTAGAATGCAGCATACGTTAAGGGCTTATCGTTTTTCAGAGAAAATCATGAGTGTGTTGAGATCAAACGTACCGATATATTGTCTCTCAATGCAATGTGGATTTAATACCAGAAGTATAGCGAAAGAGCTGCCAACCCCAAAAGCAATAAGCGCCTCGAAAAAATGAATTTGCCCAGGAACAATTCCAGAGGCCGGGGTTGTCAGTAATAATTCAACGCCAAGCACTTGGATGGCAGTACCGCAGAATAGGAGATAGATAGGAGGTATCTTGGTTTTGCCGATAATCGTATTTGCGAAAATGCTGCCAACGGGAACAGCAAGGGTGTAAGCTATTAGTCGATATCCGGCTTGCCAAGGGGAGTCTCCATACACGGCTTGTGCTTTCTGGGGAATTTCAATGGTAATGATTTGAGATGGAATACCGACGAGGAAGGATGTTCTTGACGGTTAGATAACTGTCAGCCACCGGATCCTACATGTCAATCCAGTTTGAAGTCATCATGTGATCATCTGTATGACTTACAAAGCTATTCCCATCCATGTTCGATTCTCAAGTAAAACTCGAGGGAACATTGGTTCTTGAATGTCCTTGCTGCTTCCGACAAACCATTCCCATACGATAAATCCTATCCAAATCAAACCGGATATTGCCAAGAGACATATAGTGGCAGCTGAAGACCATGTGAAGACCGTGGAGACCTCGAGTAATGCTGTGACGAGAAGGACTGAAGCACTTAAAAGTAAGAAAGCGCCTACAAAATCAACCCTTTTCAGTAAAGATTGCCAGGGGACAGTCGCTGACGATGTAGATGATCCGTGATATGGAAATTTTCCAGGAAGCAAAAAGATAATCAATCCAAGTATGATCGTTGTTCCAATGACACTGCTCTTAATATTAGTGAAGTGAAATGAAGTGGTCATACAATGCGTACTTCAAAAAGAATACCCATCTCCACGTAGAAGTGGTATCAATTGCACCGCCTACTAAGGGACCAAGAAGAGCACCAACAGTACTCAGCATGGATATAAAACTTCCGTATAATGGGTATTTTGGTGGTGGGATAAATTCGTAAAAGATTGTTAAGGAGACAGAAAATGCACCAGAGGCACCTAGGCCTTGAAATGCACGACAGATGATCCTAAATCAAAGATAGTTGGTATAAGTGGATGCACGCAGATACTGCTGGTAAGGGGTATTGAAGGCCTACAATTGTAACATAGATTGAGCCGCTCCACAGGCAGCTGAAAAGGCAAGAAATATGAAGTTTGTTGCAACATAGGTCCATTTTCGACCAAACACATCACTGAGTCTTCCCCATATGATCAGAAATCCTAGAAGCCAAAATGTTATTATTCATGGCGTACGGAGGGAAAGTTCCTTCTCTTGTTGCTTAGAACCCGTTCGATGACAAATGCCAGGTCTGTATTCTCTTAAATAAGTGCTGAGAAAGTTAACTCACCTGTAAGTGGCGAGATATGCCGTTATGACCCAAGTGGATTCATCGAAACCGTGAAACTCGTTGGTCATGGTTACGAGTGAGGTGCTCACAATGGAGACTTCCATGTTTACAAGAAATACACACAACCCAATCCTATATTATATTACATTCATCAGAACAATTTCTGTTTTGAAGTTGGTTCTCTTCACTCACGCAAAACTTAAAAGATGGAACCTCCATCCTTCGATATACGTGATCTCCTGTCTCGGCGCGGTTGGTTTGTGCTCGGTAGACTTTTCCCCGTTTAAAGATTCTATCTTCGGCGTAGCTTCATGAACAGAGCCAGTTTCCAGGTCAGTGATACCGAAATTCTTGTCTGAAGAGGTAACCATTTTGGTACTATTCATTTCGCCTCGAAATCTTCAAAAAAAAATCAAACTAGCGGATATTAGAAAAGATTGAAGCATGATCAGGAACACAAAGTACTAGCGCCATAAGGAGTGTATAAAGTAACACATGTCATCGCAACCTTCCTTAATCGGAAGGGAAGTAGTATCTGATAATGGCTGTGACTTACAGAACATGATTTCCACTATAGGAACTTCCCCAAAGGGCAACCTTGCTTGCGTCAATATTTGGAAGTCCTTGCGCATAGGTCATTGCATCTTGTATGTCAGACATCTGAATAGATAGGATGATCTCATGCTTTGGCTGACCTATAGCCGTGCCACTCGAGCCCCAACTTCGATGGTCGTAGACAAGGGCAGCGATAGGAAGCTTTGCAACAAATGCCTCGACAGACTGATCGAGACTCATTTCTTTGAGACTCGCCCAGCCGGCAGACATGATTATGACTGGCAGCTTTTGATCTTCCAAAATACTCACAGGTGTATACAGCTAACCGCGAATAGTCACATTGTCGTGAGTTTGGAAATCAATATCTTTGCGTGGCATGTTGTGCGGTCTAGACAAGGTATTTTACGAGTTATATATTTTAGAAGAACTGGTTTACTTTAAAAGATTTGGAGTTTTGAGTGGGATGAACGCTGTATGATATCGCCGTTCAAGAACTGGGCTTTTTTTGTAGTCTGTAGGCAAGCTGAAATCATCGTAGGTTTGTTACTGATAGCTTCTCATTCCGATTCTTGCTCTTTGCTCTTTGGCTCATATAGCCAATCTCACTCTGAACGAAAAAACAGGCACACTAGAAAAAGAGCATCACTTCCACAATTATCTTTTTAAATCAACAATCAATATTTATAATTTCAAATTCAAATAGATTATTTAAGAATTTATAATCTATAATCTGTGATACATTTTTGATTTGATAAAATCATTATATCTTTCTAAATTATTATTCAATCTTGAAATAATAGTGTTTTGTAGAAAGTCTTGATTTTGGCGGGTTTGATATGCCCGTTTTTTCGTCCAGAGCGAGCCAATGAAAACCATTCCTCCCATGACAGAATCGAAGTTCGCTACTAAGGCCACCCCTGATCATTCGCTCGAAACAGGGGCACGAAGAGTGGTCCTTTTACGCCCCGCTATCCAATCAATACTACCAATATATTACTGCTGCAAAATCTGACTGGCTGACCAATTTCTGTGCCACGCAAACAGATTCTACGTTCCGGATGGATATAGAAATGCGTCCGATCTCTTGCAATTTTGAACATTCGTAGCCACGTACTATGGAAATGATTGAAAACAAGCAAGGGTAGAAAGCTAGCTAGGTACGTACCCCTCTTAGCTATTATGCACAAATATGGCACCGTAGTGGGCGTTGGCAAGTTTATTAGCAGGGGCTACATTTACTATGGTGTTCTAGTACGGGCAAGCAGCCGAAATTGTGCAGTGTACAATATCACCATCCATGTTCTAGATCACAGAATTTGAATTTTTGGTTGCTTGCTAGGTTTGTATTATCTGATAGCAGTTGGTAGTTCTATACTTCATCACGCTCGGAGGACGTATTTGAACCAATAATCTTCTACAGATCCGGGTATAGTGTATGATAAGGCACATGCCTATTTGAATTATGCATGCAAAGGGGCAACAGTTTGTCTGAGTAAGAGGCACAGTGCAGCTGATACTATCGATTGTAAGGTTGAAAATCTGAAGTCTAAAATAGAGCTTTCAATTGCTTACGAACTATTGTTGGCGAATATTCACCCATTCCACTTTGCTACACTTCTGCTCAATCATCCCATGTCACTGATTTTGCGACCAAGAACTCCTCTATCCCGAGCATGGTGTTGAACCTACCCCAGCCACTATTCTTAATCCCACCCATTGGTAATGCAGACTCATCGCGAACGCTCATGCTGTTGATATGAACAGCTCTAAAAACAGGAGGTCATTAGCGCACCTTCCAGAAGCAGGTTGTCTCGGATCTAACTCACCCGGCCTCCAACTGCTTTGCAATAGCAAAACCCTTGCGAAGGTCTTGAGTGAATACAGCTGCCGCTAGCCCAAACTCAGTATTGTTTGCAATGGCTATAGCTTCTTCATCGGATTTGGCAATTCTGTATGCGGCAACAGGCCCGAAATTTTCATCTTGCCACAACGCCATCTCATCCTGAATATTCCCAATAATCATGGGTGCAAAAATGACAGGAGTAGCTCCATCGCCTTCTCTTGACTGTAGCTGCTCAATGTCTCCAACAAGACTGGAAGCTCCTTCAGATAGAGCTTTTGAGACTATCCCCTGTAGCCGAGATTTTGCAGCGGCGTTAACAAGATATGGTGGAGCAGGTACTGATGATGCGAGTTTGATAATAGTAGCCTTTAGGATCTCTAAAAATTGTTCGGCAATGTCCGCGTGTATTATGATGCGATCTGTTGACATGCATATTTGCCCGGACTGTGATGAAGTTAAATGTCAGCAGGTTTGTCAAGATCCAGACGGATCGATTCTTACATGCAATGCAGCTCCAACTATGCACTCATTGGCCGCTTTCTGCAGGTCGGCATCGGCGCATACTATCGCATTGTTTTTACCTCCGAGCTCCATCAAACAAGGCTTGAGGTTCTCTCCGCAGGTACGAGCGATCTTTCGGCCGACATTTGTGCTTCCCGTAAAGTTAATTTTCTTTACTGCTGGATGTCTGATTATGGTGTTGGTAACTGTTGCTCCGTCGGAAGTTCTGCAGTAAATGATGTTCAAGACACCTGCTGGCAGACCTGCGTCTTGGAAAACTTGGCCTAGTGCCCAGTAACATCGAGGTGTTAATTCCGATCCTTTGATCACTGTTGTATTTCCTGTGGCAATGGCGGTGGCTGCTGCTCGCATTCCTAGTGCAAATGGAGCGTTCCTGTATTAACTTAGTTAAGGTGCTTGTCTGTAGTCAATGCGAAGCTTACCAAGGCGATATTCCAAAGATAACTCCATAGGGCTCTTTCCAAATCATAGCACTGGTTCCTTGGTCTTCAACGGTGGGTATACCTCCTTTTATCAATGGTATATGACTGGCGATATCTCTGAGGAATCGCACTGCAGTTGGAAGCACCCAGAAGTGTACTGGACCGACAGCTCCTCCCATTTCGGTCTCCATAATACCACCATATTCTGTGATCCGACTCTCCAAAATATCCGCGGCTTTGAAAAGAATCCTTTGCTTCTGTTGCGGCTTTGTTTTCGACCAGGAGCGGAAGGATCTCTGTGCTGCTTCGACCGCGCGAGTTGCATCTTCAGAGCTCGAGGATACTGTTCTCCAGCATACTTTTCCGGTTTTTGGACTCACCACGTCAAATAACTCGCTGCCCATATCTTCTTTTCCATCAATTATAAGGGGAATAATGAGCTCTGGGTGGTGTGAGGCCATCTTGAGGTTGGTTCTTAGTTCTCAGTTTTTCAGAATTCACAACATACTGCGTTCACAATAGATTCATATATCATTGATGTCCCAGAACCGGATGCGATCACGATACTGTGTTGGTTTCCTCGGATAAGGTGAGAAAGTGCACTATAGATCCCTGCTTTATTCTTATGCGAGGTACTCAAAATGGTATTACCCTGCTCACCTGTAGCCTAAACGAGATAAATACCCTAAGCACTGTTGTTGAACGTTCTCCCTCGTATTTCTTCCAGGGTTGATCTCGGGGAACAAACAGATATCCCCCGAGCTTACCTAGTGGTCTAGAATTCAATTAGTGTTTTCACCTGTACTAACAATTGAGGTTGGGTGGGCTCTAGAGCAGTTCAAACCAGGAAAATTTATTTCTTCAAATTCCGATATAAAATCCGTTTACAATGGAAACCAAAATGTATTCCAATCTTTTACCACAAAATTCAGAGTCGAATCTCGGAGCTTCAGAAGATGGAAATCGCCAATATCTCTGTAGCAGTTGTTCTGAGGACATAGCTTCCTTTCCAGAGAAGAAACGTTTGTTTGGAAGCAAGGCGTCCCCCCTCATGTATCTGCTTTTAACTTCGAACTTAGGAGTCATAGCACTATGATGGAAGACAAAGCTGTCATTTAATGACCCTCCGCATAAGATTCTGTGAGATTAGTTCTTGATATCATCATTCTTATGGGACTGCATGCTGAACGATTCAGGAATATAAGTTCATAATTAACCGTTAAGAATCACGTAAAGAAAAAACTCAATACAGAATGGATTATATGTCATATACATAGTATCTTTGTACAGATTATCATTTTGCTGTTGGAAATGCTAGAAATTTCTACGCGGGCATAGCTTAAGGATTAAGAAAAATGCAATCCTTACATTACTTGTTCATTTGACGTTCTTCTTCAGTTCAAGATTATGTAAGGAGAATCGAATTCTAAAGATCCAAATAGGTTCTCGTTTTAAGAAAGCGATTAGATAGTAGTAGCTACTAAAGAGTTCTTCTCTGAACTTGTATCTGATTGATTTTAACTTCGTTATATACAATATCTTCAACCTCTGTGTGGACTTCTTCTTCAGCTTCAATGTCTGAGAACGCAGTTGCGGGTTTATGATTGAAAGTATTAGAGATCATATAGATGCTATGAAAGCTGTCTGCAGATATTGTCATTTTACCTCCTTTGTAGAAATACATTTTCTTATCTTTGAATGCTCCCGTTGCTCTTAAACGCTCGCAAGAATATCTTGTTGGTAGTAAACTTGTATTCAAGCCTGGCCCATAAAGACCTCCCAATCTGTATTTAGTCTTCTATCTGATGCTTATTGTTCCATATCCTATTGCGATCAATTCTCCCCTGCCAATTATTATCTTGTGTGGTTTCAACTTTCAAGCTAGATAGAAAGTGGGACTGATTAGTTATATATGATGAGCAGTATCTGCAATCCATTCTCTGGTATTGCAGTTGAATGAGAGGTGTGCGACCTCACTATGGTGATGATGAGCTTCTTATTTAATCATACTCTCGCGCCGGCTTGAAAGGAGCAGTTCCTGGTGAAGATTGCGACTATATCAACTTGTTGGGGTGTATCCTTTCGGTAGGGTTGAGGCGATTTTTCGATTTGGTTATCGTTGATATAGATTTGGATAGTTATTTTGTAAGAGTGATTCCAAGTAACGTGATTAGCTTAGTTTCACAAGAAGCATTCCCTAGGTCCACTCGAACTACGAGGTCTCTGATTCCAATCACAATTTTGGCGGCGATTACGGTCATGGTCTCTGTCATCTCGCGGTCGTGTGTAGGCCTCTGTCCTCATGGTTTTATCTCTTACACTAACAAATCCAACTCAGGTGCGAATCTGGTCTCATAATCTATTAATAAATTTACAACTCTCTATTGGGTGTAATAGAAAGCTTAAAATAGACTTTGAAACTTTAAAACTCTGTAGATTATATCACCTCTATCTAATAAAGATTCTGGTACGCTAAGACTAGCGCACCTGCGTACATAGATACATATATAGCCTCTCTGTAGCATAAATGAGAACTTCGTCCTTCTTTCACACTATTCTCCTATCACTATGAATGATTCAAGGCCATTCATTCAACCTTTGTTCACACAATTGTTATCCAATTTCAAAATAATAGTATTTCGAAAAAAGGCTCGATTTTGGCGGCTGTTTTTTCCCGTCCAGGGTGTGGTTACTTAGTTGTCGAGATTGCAAATCATACCCTTTCTCTATACCAGCAACTGCAAGCGGAGTTCAATGCGGCTAAGCCAGAAACCGTTGACGTCATACTATGTACAGTCTAAACCAATCGTTCTTGTAAGAGTTCTAGAAGCTACTGTCACGGCGCCAACTACATGATCTGTAGTTGCCTTCGTGCCTCAGACATAGACCACTAGCGTGCCCTGCTTCCTATAAGTAGGGCCTCACTCTTCCATAGCCCTTCTACCCTTATGGTACAATATAAGTCTTTACCCGTACCTTGACAGCTACTCACTACACAAATTTCGGTTTCCCTGCTAAAACCATTAATTATTCAACTTTTATATTGAATAATAAAAATGACTAAAAAGTGATTTATAATTATTCTAATTGAATGTAAAAAAGCTGATTTACTTATTCATAATTTTATTTACAAATTTATAAGCTATTAAAGATAAAGATCATAACATTTCCAAAAAATTCGCTTATTTCAAATCTATATAATCTCTTTATAAAAATAGTAAAAAATAAACTTTATATTTTTTCCAATAATATATGATGTCAATTATGTATTACTGAATTTCTATAATAAAAACTTCTTAATTGATAAAGTTATTGATTTTCTTAATTTGTATCCAAAAACACGAATTTTGCAGAGATTTTGTCACGAAGCAATGCACGTGCGGTAAGTAGGTTCCAGAACTCTTACATTCGTGTCATGTCAACAATTTTTTGATGATACAGTCAGCTTAATATATGTTTCTGGTTAATTGTAGGAGATCAGTATGCATCGTTAAGGGCTTTCGGGGCTCTAGACCAGCAAGTAAACTTACCACACTGCAACGCTGAAATCGCATTATAAATGGACTTCAGGTACTATTCTAATAGTATATATTTACACCTAAGAGTAAGAACATCTAGCGAACTACAGACTATAAACTTTGTGTGATCAAAAGTCTTAGGCGTATATCCTCAATTTGACTACTCGGTATTCAAGCTTCTATTATCACATATAGCACTAGCGCCAAATCAAGCGAATTTTGTCTGCAATGATTAGGAATCGCTCTGATTCGTCAAACGTACTTAGGACTCGGGTCTGATTGTTATTTCCCACCACTGAATTTCCATTTGCGTTCGGGAAACAATCAAGATATACTTGGTATCTCTTTTAGTTTGGAAATTCGCTAGTAAGAGGAGCAACCCTGCACATACCATATTTTCCTGTATTGCCCGACTATCATCTGCTTCTTATAGATAGCGTGTTGTTAGACAAGGAGAGATTCCGAGTATGATTTGATGTTGTTATTGAAGCTAAGTTAGCCTTGAAGTCACATCTGCTTCTCAGTGGGCATGCGCCAGTTTGAGAAACAGTATCCTAGTTCAAGAAAGTGAAGGTGCGCATGAGGATTACCGTAAGTAGGCGAATCACATCGAACACTTGAACGCCGCAGGTAATGATGATACGGTGAGATTCGATCTGGTTCCTAAAGGGAAGCTCTTGCATCGCAGAATGCATCTTCAAGGGCATTAGCCAGAGCAGGCTACTCGAATGAAAGATTCGGATACGAGGCAGCAAACCATACGATAGTAATGCCACCTTCCATCTGAAGCAAAGCAATGACGTAATTTCTCAGTTGACATGATAGCGCAGTTGTAGTAGTAATCCTGGTTGGGATAGACAAGCAAGGTGGTTCATGGTATATAGTAAGTTGTACGGTAGAGTTGTTCGCTTTTCGAACCATCCTTATTATCGTCCTCAAATTCACCCTTCTTCGCATCAACCTTTATCCTGCAATTTACCTCGGTCTTCTATGCTCTTGTCCTGACGGCCAGCATCGCAGCAGGTGCAACGCTATTCGGCCCTTGTACCTCCGATTTCCCTGCTTCTTGCCCATCTGGCCTTGGATGTTACACCTAAGAAAGCAATAGCTGCCAATGTGTAAGTTGAATTATGTCATTTCGTTCTGTAGCTTGCCATCGGGCACTGACAGGGACACAGTCTGGCATCTTGAACCCTCCAAGATCATATCTCTGTGATGTTGATGGCAAAACAATGTATTGCTACTGAAGATATCGGATGTTGCTGTTGGGAGGGAAACGTTTTAAACAGCGCGGTGCAGTGTTGTAATTGGTATACGAGTGAATATGCACGTGAGCGCACACGCTAGTGTTAGCGCACGAACGTATTGCATATAGCTCCCATAGCTCTAGAGCCTATAAGAGAATAGACAAAATATCAATCAATACATTAGACCGATTATGAAGACGTCATAATCTCCACCGAGGTGATACCAACAGATTTAGTGTATCCATGAAGGAACAACCGTCACTAAAAAAAGATAACATAGTCTAAGGTAGCACACCACAGAAACTTCGTAGTCATAACAATCTTGTATATCAGTACCATATTAGACCGCTCAGAACGTTCTGAAAACCAATAGCACTAAATCATGATCCGGCCCCTAGATACCTCCATATAGACCATCAACCTACGCGATGAATAATCAACCAAAATGCACTTACGCCCCCAAAATACATAGTACATCCGGCATACAGGTACAGGTAACTAAGTAGATCTTCAAAAATAAGTTTGCAATTGCCAAATATCAACTAAGATATCACATAAGCATACCAAGACCCAATCAAAATCTCACCATTTCTTCACCCATCTTACCTCATCCGATGAGATTATAGTAATCATCATAATTTATTTTCAAGACAAATCATTTCTGGTTTTTGGATTGAGGGATTGGTCAAGTGCTTATTATGTACAGTACTAGTACCGTGATTCTGGGAATCGGAGCCGGACGAATTCATTCCCCCATTGGTATTTGTGTGAGATAGCGGGATTGACTCATGAACGATCTGGAATAAGCCTTAAATTACACGTGGAAATGCGAGACAATTTTATCAAGGAAAAAGTAGCACCAACTATGGTGGCGCGGTTGGACTCTGTTTGATTTGTAGAAATAGAATTAGTTCAGCCTTGACCGTGATGTGGGGCGATGGATTTTCATCACCAACAAGTTGGGATCGGAACCGCTAGCCCGGGTGTAAACTTCGTACTCGAGACGCTCGCTAAGTCTACAGTCAGAAATGAAGATTCAAACTGATATGATATGTTTCTAAATCGGCCGTTCGATTGTTATTAGCTATTCCGAAAATCAAGAATGACTGATGAAGAGATGGAGGCGCGGATTATTTCGCCCAACTGTAATGTGGTATTTCATGTTAATACGAGGATATAAATTCCAACTTTACTACCAAATGTAATGCTAGCAGCATCTTTGTTGGAAACAATGATTTAAATGTATAAAAGATTGTCTTGAATGAGCACTGCCGAACTCTGGCCGACTAGGCTATAATTCTGTCAAATAATAGCGGGGAGTATATAAAGATCTCCCGTTGGTCATATTGAATGAAGGCATTTGTGTAATATTAATAGTAGGAAACATCTCTGCGAAGCCACTTGTAACAAGAGACAACATAAAAATTGTAGCCGGCCAAGACCAAGTCAAAACAGTATGTCTAGGAATGGTAACATGTAGGTACAAAAAATAGGTGCGTGTGAGATTTTGATCCAGCATTGAACTCTCCCACATTTACTACTGTGTAGAGAGGAAGCAGAGATAAGTGTTTTATGTTGTTGGATTGCCGTTATCAAGAAATTCTATGATTCAAATAGACAGACACATCGATTGAAGGGGGGGACAGTGTGGTGTTTCGCTTTTGCTCCGAGGAGATAGTATCTATGAACTCCTTAGCGTTGGAACCCCAAGATCGAGAGAGGATCCGGAATGCTATGCTTTTGAATCCTCCAAGTTGAAGCTAGAAGGTTCACTATCGTTAAGGTCTGGATTCCAAAAGAAGCTTGCTAGACGCTTATGTCGGCATTTTGTGAGCAGAAACCGTTGCAGATATGAGTTGATTGGATGAGTTCTTGAAGCTCGTATTTATTTGTTTGAGACACACGTGGATGATCTACGGGTAATGTACCGTAAGGTAATGGATCCGAAATCCAAGAGACCATAGTCAAATTAGCCTTGCAGGATTGATCGCAAGGCGGAGGGATAAGTGCGACTGTGCCGTTTTGATATGAATGAGATTATCAAGGGCCGTTTTACAATGAAATTGTGCAACCGTAAGAAATGCTGTGTAATGGATTTTATGTAGAAGGATTGACAATTTAATTGAGCCGTGATAATGACGAATGGCTGACGAAACCATTAATGCTACTGACCTGTTTAATGATTGTGTTAACCCTTTAAAATGAGCAATTGCACTGTGTCGTCTCTTGGCAAGTGTCTTTTTTGGCATGAGATTGCTGAAAGATACTATGGTAGTATTCTGTGCCTCTGGATAAAGGCAGATAAAAAGTCCTTGGGCAAATCAGTACTTTGATCTTGCCGGAGTTGTTGACGAGATGGAGAACGCCGGGTAAGCAAGTCCATTACACATACACCCGCGGGGTAATCCTGCATACACAATTATTCCATATTGTTTCAGCTGGTTGATTTTGTCTTAGGCCGAAATTTTCGATGGATTTTCTAATTTTTCCAAGTTCTACTTGAACTGATTGTGTTTAATACTACCTTCCCAAACTTGAGGCTTAGCTCATCAAGGTAACATCGAGGGGAGTGTGCCAACGTGGGTTGATAACTTGATCGTAACCACGGCTTGAGAAGGATTTGATCTCCAGGTAAAAATCCGAATGCACATTGCGCAGGACAAAGGAAAACGTAGATTGGAATTCGTACATTTCCTGTATATCCTGTGTCCCGTGTAGGTATGGTAGGCAACTAACCAATGGGCTAGGGTTTGCCGTGTGCGAAGAAAGAAAGAATAATCTAAATATACTTCAGTGGATTGACTTATCTAGATTAAGTAATCAGAAAAAACAGCGATGATGTGGCGCAGACTCGATAGTTGCTGGAATTGTACATGGTACGAACGGCAATGCATAAGTCAGACTCGTCAGCCAACCACAACGGTATATCTTAGCTAAATATGAAAGCTGCAGGACCAGCAGGTACGTTGATATCATGTACATGATGTATGAACTCGGCATATACCTACTGACTTGGCTGTATACGACGGAGTGTATGTTTTATTGTTCGTCTTTTGGTCTGGCCTTTTTGTTTGTGATGTTTATAGATTTACCTCGTCTATTTACTGTGCTGCCTTAGCTTTAGTCCTACCAATTGCTTTTCTCGCATTCCTTGGATTTTTGAATTGCAGCATATTGAATTGCGACTTTGTGAGTTTGGTGGTGTGATCACCGAAAAGTAGGAGCCTAGAAAAAGAACTCAGTCCTGTTCGTATTCAATGTCGTCCTGGAGAACATAAAGAGAGCCTGGGCTGTGATTGTGGTGGGTGTGGTGTGGGTGCGGTTGTGGTTGCAACAGTTTGTTAGTGTTGTTATTCTGTTGCTTGCCTCTTCCTAAATGGCTTAGGTGGGGTACTCGCAGCCGCCCGGGACGGGGACTTTTGGGGAAAAGGCGCCACTATCACGTGCACCACATGCATGTTTGTATCTTACTCTAGCCTATTTGCGTATTAATCACCTAGGCAATAGGCAATAGGTAATGTCAATTCATTCTTGGTATTGAACTTCATTGGATAGTACTATTTACTTAGTCAACATAAAGAATACCTAGATAGGTTGTCATCGTCGTCGTCGCCGCCGCCGCCTTTCTCATAAAAAGGAGCATGGCGATAGAGTAGGAAGATACAATCCAGCAAACTCTTTCCTTCCTCTCCCGGTCGTATAAGTCCGAAAAGAGCATGTCAATGCAAAAGGGACTGCAAGTAGAATAAGTGAGGACTGAAATGGGTAGAGCGAACTCGTCACACATGGATTATCCACTCTTAATTTATTTCAACTGCCGCTAAGTTACCAGTGCACACCGCGCACAGCACTACCACGTTTTTCTCCACTACATGCTGATACCGATTGCACATCTCATTTGGAAACCTTGGATATCGAAATTTGTTTCTCTACTACCTAATATCTCTTCATCAATTCCGTTCCTCTTGTCAGTATCAACGTCGACTCCGGTGATGAAGATCTGGTGGAAGTCTCCGAATCCCCGAATGCCGGAGCGAACAAACTCCTTTTGAACACAACTTCACGCGGCTTCTTGCATTTGTGTACAGATTCCTTACCTCCTTCAGACCATGAACCATCCCATTCTTTATGCAAACTACTAGTCAATGTCATCCTTGCTAGATGAGCATCTTCAAATATTGTACACAATCACGTCACTAGCATCTAAATTTAGCGCAGTACCTCAGTCACGAACATGTTTATGCGCTTATCCGTCGTTGTGGGAGTCTTTGGAGTTCTCGGGGACGACCCTTGCCGCTGCTGTGAAATTCCAAATCCCCGCAATCAAGTTCAGTAAGTGGATGTCTCTTTGAGATTTGCCATAAGGAAGTCAAGTCCACTCTTCCTCCTGTTGCATAACGAGAATATAGCCTATCACTTATTTGTTATGAAAACTGTTGGTATTTTGCGTTTGTCATGGGCGGCGCTTGTCACTCGAAGGAATCTGGCCTTTGGAATCCAGTACCACGAGGTCGGTGTGGATGTGCTATCCGGCGTGCATATTGTTGATCTGTTAACCACGCGAGTTTTGTGATATATCGTCAAGCGGTGCACTAGCAGGCTATCTTTAATATATTATTTGAGCTAGATCTTTAACTCTAAAGATGAGCCCCAATGCTACAAGTGGATGCGAAATCCATTCCTATCAGATGTTTGTAGATATACCTTAGGTATCCGAGTGTATCCCTTGTTAAAGTGTTGTGCCAATGTCGTACAGATGATTGCGCCGTGTATCAAGTTGTATTGTGCATCATCTCGAAACCGGAAATCCACCCTAATTCGTTCAATCGATATACACGGCGGACTTACACTCGAATTTTGTTTCTGTCATACTTTCCATTGAATACTCTGCGACCATGCCACTTCAACAGTCAGGGTCGCGTCCTAAGCAGATGATCTTTCATCGTGAGAGTAACAGTGCTGATGGATTTTTTGAATACGATCGTAATACTAGCAATAGGCAGCCAGAAAGCTTTTTCTGGATATCAGAAAATCCAAAATCCGACAAACTTGCGGTTAGAAGGAATGCAGCTATCATGGTACGAAAACCTCCTGAGATCCGGATTGATTCCAGCCAAACGGCACAGTCACCATTAAGTCCTTTACATTTCGATTGGGGGTTTAACGATAACTCGGCGAGCGGAAGTATGGATAAAAGTGTGGATGAAAGTGTGGGTGGCCAAGGGAATAAGAGTACACCGAACCTAACAAAGGTAGAATCGACACCAATTGAGGAAGATGTTGGTTCTTTGTCTCCAACTATATCCAAGTCCAAAAGTTGTGTTTCGTTAAGAAGTGCGACTCGTACCTTGCAACCAAGTCCGATTAATGATAATAATCAGCATCATAATCGTCAGCCCCGCTATCATTACTTCCCCCAAACCCTGGCGCCCCCAAAATTGGACTCAGGTGATGCACCATTAGCAACACAAGCGCAGACTTGCAGCAACACTGGCATGGTATTTTCAGAAAAAGAAATTCCGCAGCAGGCACAAGGAAAGTCGAAGTTGAGGTTACATTCTTATAAAAGAGAGGCGCAAGCTACCTCGTCAGATAAGCTTATGGAAGGGGAAGGGAAAGAGGAAGGATCAAATATTAATCTCTTCCATAATCCAAATACTTCATCGTTGTTAAATCATCTTATTAATGATAAAGGAAATCCAATTCCTACCATTACTAGTATCCCTAGCATTCCTCAAACTCCTACTACCACCAAAAAATTAATACGATCAACCAAGTCATACGATAGATTTATTCTCAGATCAAGGGAAAAATCTTTCTTTCATTTTCATTCTCATCAAAATAATTCTCATCAGCAACAAGATCAACAACAGCAGTCCAGTCATAGCAAGAAATCGATATCAACATCTGCTTCATGTTCGAATCTACAAAAGATGGTCGAATTTACCGATAACGTCGAACAATTAATTCGCGAAACGGATGAAGCATTTCAAGCAGTTGGATTTGCTTTAGGAGATGCAAAAGCTGCCACTCGAGGATTTCAGCAATTCGAAAATAGCAAAGCAGCCAGGATAACTGGTATGAGTGTTAATGATTTGAACAATATGAATGTCAAGAATATCAACAATACTATCGTTACCCGCCAAAACCGATCAACCTACTCGAGTAAACCTCTCGCACGGACCAATTCAATCTCGAAGCGCAATCAAATGCAGAATTCCAACTTTTTGAACGAACGTCCATCTTCAACCAGTCTTTCGGGAAAATCCCCTGTACCAAGATCTTCCTTTAATTCAAAAGCAAAGAAATCAATTTCTCCTAAACAGAAGAAAAATACTACTTCGGATAAAGCTTCGAGAAAGAGTTTACCACACCCACATTCAAGTGCAAGATGGAACTTGGGAGATGTCACAGCCAGTATGGCTGATGTTTTCAAAGGAAAATTCACCAGACTGGAAGCCGATGAGATGTTGACTCCGGATAGATTACAGCAACTGGAGGAAAAGGCTGAAAAGGCAAAGTTAGATAATGAACGAAAAGCTTCATTGGAAAATGCTCAAACTGAAGCTGCTCGCAATACCGACACAGTCAAAGATGCGGATGGGATTGCTTCAGCAGGACATGCACGGAAAATAGATGCTGATAAGAAGCTTGATACCAACATTACATCGTCGGATAGCCCAAATAGTGTATCACCAACCGAACCATTTCATCTGGAACATTTATTACCTCGCATCAACAATGACAAGGACAAAACATCCAATTCAACACAAAGTCTTGGTTCTTCTTCACCACTACCATTTACATCAGCAGATGTATCCGAATATTCGGAAAATGACCATCAAAGAGGTCGAAAAGCATTATCCGATGTATCAAATCCCGATTATGCCGAAATCGATGCTATCGAACAAGCATTTGAAGATCTCAACTTCCCCTCTCCACCCCGCGATTCCCCACATTCTCCATCCAGACTCCCACGGAGTCGTTCCAACACAGGAATGACAAGTCTCCTACCCACCATTCCCGAAATCTCTCCCCTAAACATCTTAGCTCCACGAACCCCTAAACGAAGCTTCTCGCAAGATTCGGAATATTCCCAAGACTCAAGCACATCCTCTGTAGACTACATTCAATTACCCTCTACACCATATACTCTCACATCTCCACTTTTCCGCCACGGTCCCATCCGTCTCGAACATGTCTACCATCGCTCTAATCGCGATTCTCTCTCTGCGCCCGAGTTTGAAGAAGCACTCGATTGGACCGCATTCCAGATGGCAATTTCAGGCACAATGGACGATGGGACATTAGGCGCTAGCGAGGAAAGCATCTGGGAAGCAGATGAAGCGGAAGTTGAGAGTATTTTCGACTGGTGGAGCGGGTTCGGGTATCCTGGAATTGGTCGTTTAGTTAAAGAACCACCTGTTTCTCGACGCAAGAGAGGAAAGTCCCTTGCGGCTACCGATGCGGAAAAAAGTCTCCGGAAAATTAAAGATGGAAGGGATAATCGCGCGACGACTATCGGACTTGGACTGGGCTTTGGTATTCCTAGCGAAAGCAGTAGTGGCAGATCTAGAACCCCAGAATATCAAGGTGGCCTATGGGTAGAGACGATTCGGGATAGTGCGCCACAAGTAGTGGAAGCCGCGTCTGGACCTACGTTAGGAGCTAGAAGAGATGTGGCGCTCAAAGTGAATGTTCCAGAGCCGAAAATCGATGATGATGATGATAATGATTCGCTACCACCTTCGCCGATTAACTTGGTTAAGATTAAGGATGAATATATTCCTATGGGATACAACTTGGGACACGATTTGGGGATTTCCTGAACTGGGAAACATATCATGTACAGAGTCTTTTTGGAGATGAAGATGGAAGACATTATATGTAATTTTTGGAGGGTTAAAGAGAAGGAGGGAAGGGCGCTGTGGATGTGGATTTAATGGCTGAATGTTTAACGGCCTTGGAGTTATAATTTGGGACGCGGAAATGGAAATGGAAAGGAAGTACATGGAATTGGGTATCTGGAATGGGATTATATATATCGCAATGCATATATGGCTCATGAGAAACGGACGGAAATGGACATGAGAAAGGAATTTCATGTGAGAATGGATGGAGAATATCTAGTAATCTTGGAATAGTACATTAATATCTATCAAAAATCAGAAATATCGTGGACGAATTCAGTACAGGTTCTCTCATTCTTGCAAGTTGGTGAATTTCTGAAATATGGGTCTGTATTTCTCGATTCCCAGAATATATAGCCGTGTAAGTTTGAGAAGAATGGTTATTTGTTGATATCCTATTCAGCTCTATGTGTTACTCAATTTTGGCGACGGCGGGGAGTTGATCGGGGGGTTGGGTGTTCGGGGTAGAGTTGTATCTGATCAGATCATTGGATTGCACTATTTCGGTGTTTGATATTTCCAGGAGATGTGGGATTTTATATTTAAGTCACGTGCCAGTCACAAAAAACAGATGCTTGAATGCAAACGGAATCAACTCCATTTTATTCTGTTCTACGAAAGTGATCGATACAAGCATTTATTCCATGGCAGGGTGAGTATAACATTTTGCATAAAAAGATTCCACCGAGTTCGGCGGAAAGAGAGAGAATGAAAAAAATCAGATAATAATGGACCAACAACTGGATCTGACTCGCGTGTAGAGAAACGATGATTTGCCGCATGGCAGAACTCTCCGAAGCGGGGCAATTTATGTACCGATGCATTAAATGTACCTACTACCTGGAAATCTGTTTGAAGCTTGGAGATGTTTTCGATTTTGTAAGCATCTCGAACTTCGGGGTCTCTACACGTATGCCTCGGGAAGTTAGAATTTGGATTTCAAGGGGTAAATAGCGAACTCACTGATGAAGGGGTAAATACTACCTATTTCTCAACAAGATCGGTTACCTAATACTTGTCGGAAGCTACAAAACATGGCTCTACACTTACGATAGGATATAATTCTGAATCAGCCGAGTCAACCTTAACTCCTACGTCGTAAGTAGAAGCGGATGTTTTTCCTCAAGTAGCTATTTTATGATATTGTGTGGAACATTTTCTTTCTTCGTTGTCAAGGTGGCGGCTTTGGCGGGGTGATTATCTGAACATTGATGTAGGTCCGACAACCTCGGCATAGAAAACGATGGGCAAAAACAGAATCTCGTATCCACATTCTTCAACAAAAGCTTACCAATTCACATAAACCTCAAGTCATGTCTCATTCACGCAATCAAAAACGGAGATTCCGTTTCAATGGAGAGAAGATGTCCTGGAAAGACGACGAATAAGAAGGAGTATCTGATAAAGTGACCCTGAAAGGTAGGTAGTCTTTAGAATGTTCTACAAAACTTGCATGGTTTGAGCTTGGATGAAGACGTTTACTAGCAGGAACGTCATACCTAAGGAAAATTCAGTCACAAAGACTATTCATATATATCTATCTCTCTACCCCCCTTCATTCCTTTTGGCTATACTCAATTGCTTTTTCTTTGACAATCCTACATTACAATAATACATCTATATCTACATAAATTAAACCGCAAAAATGGTTCAAAACAAAGGTCTCATCTTCAAGCAAGTTCCTCAGGGAGTTCCTGTTGCAGGAAAGGACTTGGTAATTGAGACTCGTGAATTCGATCTTGACCAAGCACCACCTGCTGGAGGTATCACAACCAAGAACTTCTATGCTTCCTTCGATCCCTACCAACGTGGACGTATGAGAGCTGCAGAAACCAAATCCTACTCCCCAGCTTTCCCATTGGGACAACCTATTAACAACAACACTGTTGCCAAAGTTATCAAGTCAGACAACCCTAAATTCCAACCAGGAGATCTCCTCACCGGTTTCATCTGGACTGAAGAGTACTCTGCTCTTCCAAAACAACTCGCAGATGGCGCAACCAAAGTTGAGAACCCACACAACTTGGACGTAAAGCATTTCCTTGGAGCGTTGGGCAGTAAGTTATTTTGATCGTCTTCACACCCCGAATCATACTAATTTTCTTTTCACTCAGTGCCTGGATTGACCGCATACTCCTCATTCTACGAAATCGGCAAGCCCGTTAAGGGCGAGACCATCTTCATCTCTTCCGCTTCCGGAGCCGTTGGAGCCCTCGTCGGACAGCTCGCCAAGCACGAAGGCCTCACTGTCATCGGATCCGTTGGTTCTGACGACAAATTAGACTACATCATCAACGAATTGAAGTTCGATGGCGGTTTCAACTACAAGACCGAGAAGCCAGCAGATGCTCTCAAGCGTCTCGCACCCAACGGTATCGATATCTACTATGAGAATGTCGGAGGAGAACAATTAGAAGCTGCCATCAACGCCATGAACGATCACGGTAGAATCGTCGCTTGCGGTATGATTAGCGAATACAGCAAACCAGAAGCCGAGAGATACCCAATCAAGAACTTGATGAACGTTGTTGCAAAGAGAATCACAATGAGAGGTTTCATTGTTTCTGATGCTAACATGGGCCCATTACATGTTAAGGCAAGAGATGAGAATGTTGCTAAGTGGTTGGCGGATGGAAGCTTCAAGGCTTCTTTGAGTGTTACTGAGGGAATCGATAATGCTGCAGAGGGATTCGTTGGTATGCTTGAAGGAAAGAACTTCGGAAAGGCAGTTCTTAAGATTGCTGATTTCGAGGTGAGTTTTGTTCATTGAGACATTCTTGAAGTGCGGTGCTAACATATTTCACAGTAAACAAACAACATATATAATCGGCTAGAAAAGCCATGAAATAATAATTTAAAATATATATACCCAAATACAATTTGTTTATGAATTTCTCCATTTTAGCAAAATATTGTTCTATATTACAGATTCAACGGAGCTCGTGAAGTCCCACGAAGCTTTATCTTCTTGCGCTTGAATCTATCCAAATCTCTGAATAAGTATTCATTCTCTCATACTCGTTCCCAAAACCAAACACCTTTGATGCCCTCGCCGAATCCAAATCAAGTCTCAGCGTTTTACTACTGCCCACCACAAATCCACGAAGAACAAAATTATTTGAAATCAAGGTTGCCTGCATCCCTGGTTGGACCAATCACACATCCATCCATGCTTTATCAATTCCTCACACCATGACTATGTTCTCTGTTCTTACAACGTCACCTAAACAATCAATCTTCATATTAATATCAATATTTCTATAACTGCAATACCATTCATTCATACATTCATTCTCCACCAAATCGTAAATTCCCGCTGCAGAATAAATTGCACAACCCACGATGCACAAAATTCTCACCGCTCGGACTACACATTTTTCACCCACCCCACAGCCCTAAATTATCCATCGCCTACCCACTACCTATCCACCCATTACCCACTCACTTTCTAATTACCTAAAAAATTGGGTGTAGGACACCCATTCATTCCAGTTCTGTGTCTCTTTCTTGAATTATCTTGCTTGCTTGGTTGCTCGAAAATAAGTGTTTCGAAGAGTTGGTAAGATTTGAGCAAAATAGTTTTGACTGGCAAAAGATTTGTCATCGCAGAGGGATGCTGGAGTATGCCCGTTCTAGGAATCGAACCTAGGATCTCATCATGGCAATGTCTGAAACAAGTACTAGTGATGCGCTTTACCGCTAAGCCAAACGGGCGTTTTTGTTGGTTGTTGTTGTTGTTGAGGAGAGAGGTGATCTGTCAGATTATGAAGGTGAAGGCGTGGGTGTGCTATGGGATTTTACCATGGCTAAAGTTCGAATCGTACCAGGTACTACCACTGTTCCCTTCTGACTTGTAATCCTATATCCTACCCTCATCCGTTAAAGGTCAATTCACACGGTAAATGCTTTTTGCCCGTCCTCAACACGAACACACCAAAAAAGTTTCATATTAGCCATTTCCTAGAAAACAAGCTGGACATCGTTCAAACTCCCCAGATAACAGTACTTTGTTGTTGAAGCTTCGGTCAGACATTGAATAGGCATTGCTGAAGTATACATCAGACCTCAAGACATATCTATTAAACGGATTTTCCGTCAACTCTTAGGTCAAGAAGTTTCAATACTAAGGCTTCAGATTGGAATTCATAACTGGCCATCTCTTTTCTGTTTTCTTATAGACACTATATGCAAGTCTCCGAGTGTCTAGTGACGCTATTGTTACTCAGTACTCATGCTAGTGGCTATTCGCTGGTTTGATCAGAGTCTCATAGCTCAAGTTCCCGTGCCCCAGCTTCACACTATTCCTCGCCGTAGAGAAGTCTAGTCCGTTCAAGATATGCATTTCCCTTTCATACGCGTAAGATTTTATGTGAAGATCGAAATATTGTTGTCTTGTCAATATAATCCTAATCTGATGGAAATGTCTAATCTCCAGTATAGCAGGCTCCAAATAGTTTCTTCTCAGGTAGAAATTGAAGTGGTCTTATCATCTGTGGTGAATCTAACCCTCGTTTAATAATTGCTAGCTCGTTTTTCTTTACGAAGATAAATTCTTCCTTAGCTGACAAGTAAAACTGCATTTCGTCTGTAGGATTAATCCAATCGGCCGGAATGAAGAAATGGCGTTTCACATCGGGGGACAACCAGAACTTCTCCATATTTAGACTACAGACCCAAAGATCAGTTGCTAAGAAGAACAAATTTGTGCCGCGCAAACCAATGATGTGGTAGATATATGGACCAAGAGACTCAAGTCCGTTGAAAGCTTTTATAGTAGTCGAGTGGCGGTCAACAGTGGACGTGTCCCAACATCGAAGTTGAGAAGGTGTTTGTTCAAATCGACTTTTCGTTAGTGTAACCAGGGTATATTGGCTTTCAACCGACTCGGTTACTATCACTGGGGATGACGTCAAATCAGGGACGTCAAGATTGATGCCACCAGGGCTTGAAATTTCTTTCAAACTTCCCCATTCGAATATTCGGGCACAATTGGGATAAAACGCAATGAATGCATCTGGTATTTGGGCGTGAGTATTTATCTTGTAATTCTCGAGGTTGTGGCCAGTGGGCACACGATGTTGAATATCTCCACTTTCACTTGTCCAAATGTATCTGAAGCTGGCAGTGGTAACGAGAAGAATATTGTTCTCAGGATTGAACAATAGCCCTGTGATAGCATCAGGGAAGCGGTAGTCGAAAATTGTTTCAGACAGTGACCACATATCGCTAGAATTCACTAGTCTTTGTATAAGCATACGACCAGACTCGTCCGCTGTGGCTAGCATGCGAGTATTATCTCCCCACACAATTTTGTTAATTGAAATATTCGTAGCATGTTGGTAGAGACATGTGCTCTCGAGGCCATCGTGCGTATTGTAGACAGCAACAGAGCCATCCTGTCTACCACAGAACACCCTTTCTCCTCTCAAATCTATTGCAATTGCTGTTATATCAGGCTTCAAACTTCCTTCGATCATTCCCACAGTCTGAACTATCGCTTTCGCTGGCGCACTTATATCGCTGTTGTTACCGTCACCCAATGACTTCCTCACAAGTGCAGCGGGCTCCCATACTCTGCAATGGGAACCACGAATGTCAATGAAACGTAAACCGTCACCACTGAAAACTAGTGATCGGATTCCTTCATCGTTTGCATTGATTCGGTATATCAGAGATAGATTTGCATCTTCCGTGCCGTCAAATTCATAGAGCTGAATCGTACCGAAAGAACTACCTGTTGCCAATGTTCTTCCATCAGGTGAGCAGGCCAACGTCTGCGCATTGACTTCTGGTATACGATGCTTGAGCTCAGTTGTTATTGGGTCAAAGATAACAAGCTCTCCATCTCCATAAGAGACGACTAGTAAGTTGATATCGGGATTCGGATTGAAAGCCATGGCTGATGCATGATAATAAGTACCACCTATACTTTCCATAAGCCCTCGATCTCGGACAAGCTCACCACACAAAACTTCGTTGTACAAATCAAAAAGAAGTATAGGACTTGCTCTGGAGCTGATTGCTATCATCTCTAAACCTGGTGCAATGAGAACCTCGGCTGGTGGCTGGTAGATTGTCCCCCGCCCCTTATGATGAATTTCATGCCAGAATATGCGGTCTTTCTCTTTCTCTTTCAATACATCAAACCAACAAATGAAATTCTCAGATGTTGCCACTATCAATCCATAGTTTTCAGGGGTAAACATAAGGGCCATTGCTCGACAACCGAGCTGGAATGAACACCTCACCCCACCTGTTTCGAGATCCCAAATTCGTATTGAGCGTATTCCTGCAGAAGCAAGCAATTGATCTTTAGTCCCAAAAGTGAGGAATTTCACTTTCTCCCCGTGATCAAAGGTAAATCTAACTTGACTTGTTGCAGTGTCGTACACTATTATTCGACCGCCCGATAGCCCAACAGCAAACATATATTCTCCATGTGTGAGGGTGATAGCTTGTAGGCCCTGTCCCTTGTAATCAATTTGAGTCAAGCAGTCATCCCATGTACCTCTTGATAACCCTATGATATTCAAGCCATGCTTCAACTGCTTGTGTTTTGTAGCGATGATTGATTGCGAAGGGCACATCGATGGAATTTGGCCATGGATTGATGAAGGCGATGCTAGAAGGATGTTTCGAAATTTGGTGCTAATGCGAATAAGATCTGTGATCCAAGATTCCACCTCGCGGAGGTCCTCGCCGATAGGAGGGAAGTACTTCTGACGGCGATCGAGATAAGCTTTCATGTTTTTGGCGGCACGGCTTATATAGTTTACATTACCTATCCTTGCAACGGTCTCAATCCACCATAAAACGTTCGTGTCAAGGAATTTGTGGAGCTTCTGAAAAAGCTCGGCACGGGAAGACGGAGCTTGATACAGGTGCTCAGAAAAGAAAGTGGAAGCGTAGTCAAGTAATATGGCTTCGTGATTTGCTGAAGATGTCGATACTTCAAATCGTTTTAACCGAAAGGCCCGTAAATAGCCTTTACTTAGCACATCAATGAACAGAGAAGCAAGTCGATAATGCCCTTCCCTTCGGTCCACAAAAAAATCGGAACATAGGTCTTTTTGTAGGAGAAAATCTTTGGCACTTTGATGGATTAGGTGTATACGTGATTGTTGATCGACGAACACAAGTTGTCCGCAGATAGAGGTTATGTCTCTTCGTAGATTGTTGACCGTGCTTTTGGAATCTAGCTTCAAAGCACATTGCATTTCGGTAACAGTCAATGGCCGACAGGAGCAAACAATCCACATGAAGATAATCTTGGCCAATTTGGCCCCTCTCCGATCTTTTGACAAATTTTCCAGAATTTTTGTATAGAATTGATTCATATCCGCTGGTATATCTGAAAGAACACTCTCAATATCTTCTTCGGTGTAGATTTCAGAGAGTTCTTGCATGACAAGTCGCACCCAAAGAAAAGACCCGGAAGACATGGCTAATATCCGCTCGGTCAACTCCTCCTGTTTTGAAAGCGTGTCCAAAGGAAGGCTATCCATGTGAGCTTCCAAGAATAGTTTGATATCTCCCATCGTATCTGATGCAAATATTTCTTGGCTGATTAGACTTTTACCGAAGCCGAGAAATCCCTTATCTAGAATCTGGCTGTGACGGCTTGTAATGAAGATCCGAACCCGAGATCTGGGAGAATTGATGAGCTTGATTAACATAGGAAGAAGAGCTTGGGAACGAGTACACTCATCGAGCGCATCGATAACCCAATAATGGTGCACCTTCATCGCAATTTGAAGAATCCCATTAACAAATAGTTTGTTCCAAATCACAACCTCGTCGTTGTTGTTGTTCATAATGCCATTTGATTCCATGTCTAAGAGAAACTTGCGAATTTCAGGACTATGTAAGGCCATCTGATACGCGAGAGTACGCAAACAATAGCCAATCGATGAATCAGCAGCTACCCCATCCTTGAAAAAAAAGTAACTACATGCAAGATTACTTTGATCCAGATGGTCAATAACATGGCCAGCGAGAACGGACTTTCCCGATGCGGGATTCCCACTCAGCCAAAAGACTGAAGGCGAGTCAGAAGTAGGATCTTGCCAGCTCGTGAAGTTTGGAGTGGTGATCAGCCAATTGCACGATCCTTCAACTTTTGCGTCGCGGGCTACTATTCGATCATCCTCTTGAACACCGTGGATGCCTAATAGGCCATGAAGACAATGTCGCTCGGCTGATGTAGTCTCGCACTGGATCCTCAAAGCTTCAATTACAAATCAGTAAGATGAAAGTGTTCAGATGATGGACTAGCTTACTCTCCGCTGTGGCGTGATCGACAGTCGAACTAAGCGCGTTTTTAAGAGTCTTAAAATTGGGGTCTGAAGGCAAATCAAACTTGCATATTCCTCGATGATCAGCATTAATGTAAGCAATTCTTTCCTTTGGCCATTCCAGCGTCGCAGATTCCTTCTCGACAATTCTTGCATTTACGAAACTCGTTTCCTGATTCTCATAGAAAGACCATATATGCAGGTTTTCAGAGTAGTGACGGAAGCTTTGGTTGATAGTGCCTATCATCTTACTATTCACCTCCAAATCGGTCGTAAATTGCTTGGTTCCAAACGATACGCGCAGAATATTGTTGAGTGTCGTGGCAAGATTCGATCCTCGGTGTGGAGTGGCCAAAAAGTACATGGTGTCAACTCGCTGAACAAGATCATGCATCGTAGGATCTTCTATAGCCAGTAAATATGTCTAGATTGGTCAATTTGTGAAAACTTATCGCGTCAGATACTATTTACCTTCTTTATAACCAAGCCACCCATGCTATGAGCAACAAAAATAAGTTTTGTCTAAGGAATGATTTTAGCAAAATGTTTGGGAATTAAGTTAGAAGATCTTACGTTGCTCCTGCGGATTTCTGGACAAGTGTTGATTTCTCCTAGTAGAGATTGCGCGAAGTCGTCAATATCAAGCGCATTCCCATTTCTTTCTGCCCAATCTGCTCTGTATCCGAATGAAAAAATTCTGACATTTTTGAAGTCCGGATCTCGAGGTAGCCATTCTTTTGGCCAGTAATGGTATGCGTCCTCTGATTTCGACCATGTCTTTCTGGATCCTCCCCCCAATCCATGGACAAATATCAGATCTATCAGCGGTTCTGATGGTGTATGAAGTAGATTGAGTCCTAAGGGACCCTTCAGATCAGCCGCTGTCTCATGGGATGCTTTAACAGTATGGCGAAATGACACTCCTTTCAGCGCTCGATCGATGTATTCCAGACCATGACTGCTTGAATGATGCTTCCGGAACTGTCAAAGAGTGGTGAGTGGTGGATCGAAATGGGCTTGTGCTGGATTGATCACAAACCTGGTCCATTTCGCTTTAATCAACATTACACGTTGAATACTCCTAGTACTTCACATACTGGATCATTCAGCACAAGGCTAGAACCATACCTGAGATATGGAGGGCTTCTCAGATGTTTCAAATTTAATTGGTATAATCTAGCGTTAGGATCAAATGTGTTAAGATAATATTTCAAATTCGTAGTGCTCTAGTTCAGTACAAGAGTGTGAAAGCGCTATTGCGTGTGGCAATTCCAAAGCATTGCAGACTGCAGGAGAACAAAGTGCAAGAATTGAACCGCTTGACTATCGAGGATTTCATAGACTTGATTGCCATAAAGTTAACACAGTAATAATCAAATGCGGCTCAGTTCCACACGCACCGGCTCATGATTGGGTAGTCAGCGAGTGTCAGCAACTCCAAAAAATGTAACATCAACCCACCGATATTCATTTGTTGTCGGCGAACGAGACTCAAACGCGAGGTGATACTAGAGCTAGTGCTGCGGGTGAATGCATGTTAGCTATTCTTACATGTGATCTTGAGTCGAATGCTTGCTTGAGGCGTACCTGAATAGGAAGTTCTCTACCCACCCCGGTCGACGAACCATCGAAAGAAGAAAAAAGCAGGCATTCCATCGAGGAATTGAAGCCTTTTCTGTTCCTTAATTGGTGGCTATATTAATCTGCGTTACATCAATCGAAGTCACACGGAGTTCACGCTTCGTGTTCCCTTGCCTATGGGTGCACCTAAGTTATCGTAATATTATTATGGCGCTGTCTATAGAAGGTGGTTAGGATAACACATCAAGGAAAAATGATATCGAAGTCCAATACGTTATTTGAATTTGAATTGATGTTTAGCATGTTTAGCGGTGCCAAGTAATGAGGGGAGGAAGCGAGGTGCTCGGGGTGCTCGGGGTAAAGAGAGACCAGCGCGGGGGAAGTAAGTGAGTGGGGAACGGGGAACAAGGAGTCACGTGTGATAGAGTAAGGTTGCAGTACCAAATTACCTCCCCGCGTTTCCTTCGTCCCGTATCTGACGTCTATCAATGCAATATTATTGAATTTCAACATTTATCCTCAGATCCTAGAGCCTTGTATTCAAAAAAGGTTGTCTTGCATATCGACTTGAAGGATTACGAATGCACTGCATTGTTCGAATGCGCAGCTAGGAATATGATTGGCTGTCAGATTTGCTGTGCCGCCCTTGAAGTTGTATCAAGTTGAACGCGTTCTGCATGTAACCGCCAACCAGGACCATCTTTCCTCTATATCTCGCCACTCAATCCTCAGACGATTAAGGAAAATGAATCGAGGAGAAATTTTGGAAACTTTTTAATCACTACTATCTTTCTCGTCTTATTATCTTCATTACCAACATGGAACCCAGTTCAGCTCTTGGAAATGATCTAGATCCGCATATTCTCGCTGGTATGTTCATTCTTGCCTTCTGTATCATTGAGCTTCCAGAGGATGCCGGTCCGTTTATCCGCATCTCATAAGAGCATAAAGAAAACATCAGATGTACAAATTCAAGCGGTACATCCCTGTCGTTGGATCTCAATGGGCTGATGCAAATTGTACAAAATGAACCTAGACATTTGTACCAGAAAGTCTCATCAAGATACAGACAATCAGTTCAATTGCACGAACTGAATTTGCACATTTTGACCATGGAGTCTTATTAGTATAAGATCTGGAATCTCATTGAGTACCTCGATGCTGAGATTTAGACACAATATGATATGAACAATCAGCTGCCGGTCGACCGTAGCTAACATACCCGTGCAGAGCTTCCCGAGGTGCAAAAAGTACTTCAAATATCTGGCTTGGGCGTCTCCGCCTGGGCAACTAAATCTAGGATTTCAACGCTACTTAAAGATGGAACAAATCAAGACTACTATCTAAAGGTATTCTTATGAACATTGCAAAATATGATACACTAATATGGAGCTTCAGACGACAGTTGGCGACTTAGGTCGAGCTGCTATCAATGGAGAATTTGAGTCAATGAAAGCCATACAGAAAGTTATGCCTGGTTTTATAGCTTCACCAATCGCCCAAGGATCAATGAAGAATGAGCCAGAATGTCACTTCTATCTCGGCCGATATCTACCAATCATTGATGAATTGGTAGAGCCCAGTTCATTCTGTGAGCAAATTGCCAGACTGCATAGAAGCTCTGTCTCTCCAAACAACAAATTTGGCTTCCACACAGTGACTTTCAATGGGGATCTCCCACAGAAAAACGACTACTCTGATAGTTGGGAATCTTTCTTCGCAGATGGGTTTCGCCATATGTTAGATATCAATACAGCACGTGCAGGACCGAGTGAGGAGCTAGAAGCTCTGCTCCCTGCCTTTTTTGAGAAGGTCATTCCTCGACTACTTAGACCTTTGGAGGGAAGAATCAAGCCAAGTCTAGTTCGTAAGTCTTTCGGTTCTCACATCCGCTATCATTCCCCCGTTTCCCGAAATCTGACCATTCCAAATTCTTATAGACGGAGATATGTGGTATGGAAATGCCGGTGTCAATACCCTCGAAGACGAAGCTGTAATATTTGACCCTGGATGCTTCTATGCCCATAACGAATGTGAGTACAACTTAACTACAGGCATTCTCACTACAACTAATTTGCTCACTGACACTTTGGTGTAGATGAGCTGGGTAACTGGCGACCAGAGCGTAATAAGTTCTCGAAAGCATATTTCAATGCGTATCATGCCCATATCCCGAAGGCTTCACCCGAAGAGGACTATGAAGATCGCATTGCTTTGTACTCCCTGCGCTTTAATCTGCATGCTGCAAGTCTCTTCCCGACAGTTTTAGGATTTCGAGAGTCGTGAGTATATATTCTTTGGTGTCGCTTTAGCGATTCTTGACAATTAAACTCTAATGAATGACACAGACTTATACAAGATATGAAGTATTTGGTAGAGAAATACCCTGAAGGACTGTCGTCTGATCTCGAAGTTTGATATAGTTTGATACTTGTATTTGTTTTGGAAAGTTCACAGTCATTATCATGTCTGCAACACAATGTTAGACCATGCGGGTTTGAGATCATGTTTAACATTAGTTAACATCTTAACCGATAACCTCAGGTTTTCACCTCTTATTTATTCAAATCCCCAAAGAATTGAAGCCGTGTTATTGACGTGCCAATCTGGTGTCGCTTTTGAATGTACCAAACAGATACCAGCATTGATCTACTATTGTACCAGATTGACTCAGAGATTCATGTCGTGTTAACCTCCCAGACGTGCTTGAATAGTGAGACTTGTTCGAACGTATATGTTCCACAATTCCCAATTCCATACCTATTACGATGGCGCCAAAGATTCTGAACATCGGCCTCTTATGCTCTCTAATTGATTCAATGAGTTCTATCAAAACAAATATAAACCATGAAAACTTTTACTCTCTTCACAGATTTATGTCAGATCATTTTCGAACACTTTCGAATCAATATCCATCTAGAAAAATTACAGGTCTGTTGAGATTTTGGCTATTCATAGGGTATATGGGAAGTATAAAGCATAGAACACGAAGAAGTTCAAACTACAATTATTGTAAGATTACCAAGGTTGTAAAGAAGCTGTGTGGTGAGCGCTCTGATATGTTAGAGCTCTTCTTGAAGAGATTGGTTTGAGTTTCCCCTGCATCATATCACCTTATGAACTATTTTCTCAACGGAATCTTAGATCGGTGATTCTTCCAGATGGTGTTGTGTTGGAATTTTAAAGAATAATCCCTATCCAATTTTGCAATGAAGGTGATTTTCAAAGCGGGTTCCAACGGTTTCGTCACAATGGAGATGACCATGAGGTACCGATATAACCACAATTCAGCAAGTTTTGTTGTGATTAAAATCACGTAAAGCGTTAGACACTGAAGAGCTTTAGTAAATGCCAACTAGAATGATTGTTGATTGTAGCTGATTACACTATTCTTAGCCAGTCAATATGTTGGTTCCTACGTGAAGAGTTGAGGCACTGGGGGTTTTACCTCGTGAACTGTTTTTTGTATCGTAGAACAAACAGTATAGGCAATCTTCCCTTCTCCTCTTTTTCTCTTCTATCCTAAACCCTTAAATTTCTTATCGTCTCCTAAAAAAAATTCCTACATCTCTTAAGCTACCCAATCCTCGAAAAAGGCATCTCTCCTCTCCTTGGGTCGAGGAGAGGAGGGGATATCGTACACGCTTAGAGAAGAGAAGGGGAATAATCAACCGTGATCGTGTGTTGAAAGAAAGTCAAACTGTATTTGGCTCTCAATATCAATGTGCAGGTACTTCTAGCTCTCTCCTTGTTAAATTTTCATCAAATTTCAGGCTATTTAATCAACACGCGTCATTTACCACCTTCACTCTAAAGTACCAAACTCCCATGAGCTTCAATTCTAGTCCGAGCTCATGCAACTACTCGCTGATAGCAGAGGACTGTCTCTACTATTTTCCAGTCATGATTCTTCCATTAATCCCAAGGAGCTTGGTTGTCTACCGGCTGATCGAGTTCCTCGTCAAAAATATCAAAACCCAAATGCTTGCTTGGGTCTAAATATCTCACAGGTCCACTCTCAATGGTTGTCGCCAAATCATTGATGATCACAAAGTGCTCCTCACTTAATGGCGCAGTACTGAGATTCTCAGAGAGCCGGCTCTCATTAGAAGTCTTTGGAATTACTGAAGTGCCACGCTGGACCGCCCAGGATAGAATGACCTGTGCCGGAGTCATGTCAGTCTGATCGGCAATCTGAGCAATCTATTATCGTTAGATCTATGTTATTTGAGTTGAATATAATTTATTATTCACCTTTGTATCAAAGAGAGGTCCAGGAATATCGGCATGAGGTGCCACTACTCCAACAGGCTTCCCTCCTAGTGGCTGGTGGGCCATGAGATGGATGTGCTCTTTCTCGCAAAATGCAAGCAGCTCATGCTGAGGAAAGTAACTAAGCATGAACGTCATTAGCGCTGAATCATTGTTGGACGAAAGCTCTCAAAGCTTACGGATGCGCCTCGACCTGATTGACCGCGGGACGAATTCTCGCAACCTCCAAGATACGTTTCGTCTTGAGGATATTGAAATTGGACAAGCCTAAAGTTATCAGTTTTCATTCTGATTCACTAGAAGGATTCACATCCTACCGATGGCTTTCGCTTTACCACTATCCACTAACTTCTCCATTGCTTGCCAAGTTTCTGTGTACTTGCGAGATCGTTCATAATCAATTACTGGCTTCAATTCACTTAGCGGTCATCAAGTTTCATGGAAATGCGATAAACTTTACCTTTCCATTGCCGCTGGGATGCCGAATCGTACCGTTATTTGGACCTGGAAGGTAGGCATGGGGACTGGGTATCAATCGTCAGTCCATGGTTTTGAATCTGGAGGACCTGAAGATTACTGACAATGCATAAGATATAAATCAACTGTTGTGTTGTTAGTATCTAAACCAGGTGCGCTTTCAACATGCATCACTTACCATATTCCAAGCCCAGAGCTTTCAAACTCAAATCCAACGCACGCTCGACGTCTTTAGGCTCATGCCACGATTGAGCTCTTCGCCAAATCAGCAGGTATTGTTTGCTTCAATTCTGATGGACCTACAGTTTAGTGGTGACAAACAAGTCATCTCTCGAGATACCACTTTCTTTGATCGCATCTCCGATAGCCTTTTCATTGTCATACGCTGCTGCGCCATCGATGTGACGATATCCAGCCTGGATCGCCGCCTTCACGATGTTCTTTACTTTCTCATTTCCATCATCGCCTTGGAAGGTTCCTAGGCCAATAGCTGGCAAGGTGCTACCATTTACCAAACGGAAACCAGTAATAGGAGTTGCCATGATTCTACCAGCAAGAGAAGTGTTGTGTTTCAAGGTTGTCAGAAGTGGTTGATTTTTGGGCAAGGTTCCATCAGCAGGTAGGTATGCTGAGCAATTAATCGATTGGCCTTGCATGCATTCACAACACCTGCCCATTGCAGCTATTCACTGTAATGGTATGGTACGATCTCGATGTTAAGTTTACACCAGCTTGTGCTATGCAGATTTGATAAGTCATGACCGAGGACTGAGATAATTTCACAATGCAAACATACCACTCTATCTCGAATTTGACGCTTCGTTGGCCGGTTAATCTCAAGTATTTAGACTTCATTCTTCATTCTCCAATTCAATATCGAGCATTTCAGCTCTATTGTTCAACCCAATTTTACCCCATGAATTCTTATCTTGCATTTCTCTTACCTAGGTATATAGCTATCTCTGGTCATCTTTTAAAGTTCATAGTTATAATTTATTCAATGAACCGATCAATATGTATCTACATGGATGTTGAAAATACATGGAAACTGTACTTCGATTCGATATGATCACCCTTCGCAAGTAATACATCCACTGGTGCTCCCGAGAATATCTCAAGACCATCAAAGACGACATCAGTTCAACCCCATCAAGACCAGTGATAAAAAATAAATAATGAAGAATAACAAGAAAAGCAGAAATAACGATTCAGAGGAGGCATTTAACTTTTGATATTGAAGTCACCAAACGACTCCAGACCCGCTTAGTAATCTAGACTAATTATTGGCTGCATGACAAGGCGCCATTTTTTCTTTTGTCAATTCTAGCCTCGTCTATCGTCCCCCTCCAAAAATAATTTATTTCCCTCGAGAACAACCTTTCTACGATTCGACCACCCAAATAGCAACATCGATTCCCTACATAAATCCTCAATGTTACGTCAACACCGGTAGCATAATCTCCAGCTTCCAATTCGCACAACCATAACCCATCATGTCTTCACGAGCAGCGACCGCGGCGTCAGCGCCCGATGATAAAATCGCAGCCTTGAAAAAAGTCCTCTATGACGAGTGTTTTGAATCTTTCGAAGATAATCCTACATTTTTCCAAGAAGATCTGTTCGAACTCAAAGTTCTACCTAATGATGATGTGGCTATGCTGTTGGCCGTCACCCAGGGCCTCACAAATGATAAATTGTTCAAGGTGGTTCAGGATTCGCAGAGGGGAATTGGATGGAAATTGCGTACTCAGGAGGAAGCTAAGAAGTAGGTATTTCCTTTTCCTTTCGCGGCTGATCTTGCGATCAATTCAACCTAGAATTGCCAATTGAAGATGTATGTACGATGCTAATTAGTCCCCGAATAGTTATCGCAGTCTTTCCTCGGAACAAGAAATTGTCTACGCTCTCATCGACGAAGCCGGCCAAGAAGGAATATGGACCAAAACCATCAAGGCTCGGTCCAATCTTCACGATGCAGTTTTTCGCACGGCGCTCAAGCACCTCGAGACTAAACACTTGATCTCAGAAATGAAATCTGTAGAGGCACGTAATAGGAAAATGTACATCAAGTCCAGTCTGCAGCCTTCCGATCGAGCCACCGGTGGAGCATGGTATACCGATAATGAACTAGACGAGGAGTTCATCACACAAATCTCGCATATTTTATTTGATCACATCCATAGGAAATCTTTCTATAAATCTAGTTCGGCGAGTTTGAGGAGGCCAAAGAAGGTTATGGGAAAGAAAATGTCCACGGATGAAGCAAAAGCATTGAGAGACAAAACTTTAGGGTCCCGAGTCAAAATCGAAGATGTTACTGAGGACGACGCTATAGATGGCGCTAGAAGACACTACGATGCTCTATTACCTATGCCACCCGGCTACCAAGGATATCCAACCCTCAATGAACTCACATCGTTTATTGAGAATTCAGGTGCTACAGCTATGACTTTAACTGCTCAGGATATTCAGCAATTACTGGACATATTGATTTTCGATAATAAGATTGAGAGGGTTCTTGCGGGTCCAGAAGGTGTTTGTTATAGGGCTGTAAGAAAGGGATTTAGGGAAGAACAGGAAGGTGGCCCATTTAGTGCCTTGACGGATGTTCCGTGTGGACACTGTCCGGTTGCCGATCTGTGTGAAGAGGGTGGGCCTGTAGGACCAAG